ACAAACATGAGCAGAGAATAAATATATACGCCACAATCACCGAGTCGATCGCGAGGACTACACCAGACCTGGACCAGGACTAAACCAGGACCGGACCAGGACTAAACAAGGACAAGACCGAGACTAGACCATGATTAGACCGGGACTAGACCGGTATTAGACCAGGACTAGACCAGGACTAGACCGGGACTGATCCAGTGTCATTAGTGGAGTATAAATATATATACGCCCCAGTCGTCGACCCGATCTCCTCCGCTGATGTTTTATGTCATAAAAACACTAAAGTCTCTATCAGTCTGGTCTGACATTGTTTCGGGAAAAGAGCGGGACCGAACTCTTGTTTCCAGGGCAACGGGCGCGTCAAGTATTTTTGTCCCGTTCGTCCACGGCGTCAAAGACGCGCGTCGGGGGCGTCTAAACTCAAATGCAAAGGCGTCCATATAGAGGCGTCAAGGCGTTTTTTGACACTTTAGTGTGACCGGCCCTTGAGTTTGTGTCACCGCGTTGTGTCTCTCCTCACACTCTCCTGTGTGGAGGTTTAGACGAAAGTAGCCGCCATTAGCCAGTGTGTGAATCAACACAAGAGCCGTAGGATATTACTGCAGCCGGATGCGCTCATTTCAGCTTAATGTCTCTTTTCTCGCCACCGAGGAGCTTGCAACCACCTCAGTGACTTCAACCAGGATGATGGACGAGTCCACCTCCGAGTCCCCAGCCTCTGAAGTGACGATGGGATTGAGGAAATCCTCAAAGTATTCCTTCCACCATCTGACAATATCCCCAGTCAAGGTCAACAGCTCTTCCCTCCTCACTGTAAACAGTGCTGGTTAAGCAATGCTTCCGCCTCCTGAGGCGTTTTTTCATTGAGGCCGACTGATATTCCTCCTCCATGGCCAAAAGCTAGTGGCATGTTTCCGTTTTTAGCTGGTAGCCGCAGCGCTCGGCCGCTCTCACATGCCGGAGAGACACTCGTCTCCTCCTTTATTATATTATAAAAGCGTGTAACCTTGTGCACAACAATATAGTGCCAAACACATGTAGTGGTGATTATCGCTCTCTTACTGAATGAAACACTGCGAACGTCCGATGGGAGAGGAGTGAAAGAAGAGAGAAACGTGCTCATGCGTCAGGTGTAAGTGCAGACTGAGTGGAGGGTCTGTACTCTACTTGGTCGTGCATATTTTCCCAAAAAATCCTGCAGGCGCCTCAGTTCACACCAATGAGTTGAGCGGGTTTCACAACTTTCAGAGACCAGAAGGTGTTTTGTTCCATCGGTAATGCTAACAACAACTACTACCATGCTAACAGTACACGTTTTTCCCCCAGGACTGCATTTACAATATATCTAGACACATTTTGTTCAAATACATGCATAAAAACAATTGTGTACGGGTCCTATATATAAGAAAACAACTTGAGTTTAAGCTGTCAGTTTGTAATGTGACTGTTGTGCGTCTGTTGCAGTGACGGCAGGAAGTTGGTTTAATCACATTAAGACTTGGTATTCTCACAAAGATGAACTGAACATGCTGTTCATCACTTATGAAGAAATGATCATGGTAAGAAAATCTACCATTTTAAACATGAAATTTTATTTGAGAAAACACATGAAATGTGGCTCATTATACTATACTGTACTGTACTGTTCTAAACTTTACAGCACAAATGAGACATTGCACATTTGACTGAAATGTAGTTAATATTATTATATTTAAAGGTCCAATATTATGGAAAAAAATGTGACTCTTGTGAGCTCAAAGTCATGTGAGAATGTTTTTACCTCATCAAAAACATACCCAGAGTTGTGTTTTGTTTCATGCACACATTTGAGTAACTCTTTATTATTATTCTGTCTACATCTCTAAAGCTCAAAATGCTCTGTTCCACCTTGTGATGTCATGAAGTGGTTGTTTACAGGTTAACTAGTTGAAGGTGTGTGGAGTTTAAAATCACAGTCGAGCACTTCCTGTATTACCACATGACATCAAAAGGTGGAACAAGGAAACTTTTCTGTGTTTGGGAAGAACTCAGCCTAAATATGTAGGGTTGTTAAACACGTGTGAATGAAACAAAACACAACTCTGGGTATATTTTTTATGAGAAAACATCATTGTAACACAGATCAGAAAATAGCTCAATATGGACCCTTTAAAGAGCGGGTAACACTGAAAAGAAGATTTTTCTTATAACATTGTTCAAAAACTTGTCTCAAGAGGTTTCAGGTGTCATTCGTGCATGTTTCAGTAACTTTGCAACCTCTTAATACCTCATAGAAGTAAATACCCTCTCTTTAAGACTTTAGTACATTTTACTTGCCTAGTTTTTCCTACTTTGACAATTTTGGTGAAGGTTATAATTTTACTTCCTGATTGGATACAGGCAACAGATATGACGCACGGAGAGGTAATTCCATAAATGTTACCTCACAAAAATGTGCTCTTTGTGCATTAAGTGTCCCTTAATTTTGGATGGAGTTTTGTGTATTGATGACACAGATACTGGTTTAGAGCCCAGAGCTTCTTGGTGCAAAACAAAATCTTCACAAGCAGCCTCTTCACTGGTGTTGTTTAATTGTATTACCTGATTTTTACTGTCCTAAATTGTGAAAAACAGAACTTGTTCAACAGTTTACAGTGAAGCTGTTTTTCACTTACTTTAAGTGTTCTGAGTATTTTTCACCACTATTAGTGTATGAGCACTTTTCACAAATTTCAGAGATCAGAGCGAAGACCTAGTTGTTTAATTTTATTTGTGGTAAAAGTATCTTTTGTTGTTTTAGGACCTCAGATCTGCAGTGAAGAAGACTGCAGACTTCCTGGAGATAGAACTGACCGAGGATGAGCTGCAGAACGTGGTGAAGCACAGCACCTTTGAAAACATGAAGCAGAATCCAAATGCCCCGTATAAAAGAATTCCTGCTCAAGGACAATAACGAGGGCACCTACATGAGGAAAGGTACAACCTCTTCAATCATGAATGAATAACTGTAATCTGAGGGTTTAACAGCAAATCCCACCATAGAATTCTGACCTGGCTTCATCTCATTTTAAAGGTCCGTGGCTTTTGGCCATGTTATAATGTTGTTCCCCCCTTAAAAACACACCTGAAGTTGTGTTTTGGTTCTTTCACACATGTTTGAGTGATCCTGCATTATTAGACAGTCTATATCTTCACAACATCCACCCTGTGATGTCATGTAGTGGTGTTCAAGTTGTGGAGCTGAAACCATCCCAGTGATTCTAGTGAAGTTGTACGGAGTATGGGCCTAGGTCCTTTAAAGTGCCTATGAGCGGTTAGACTCATTTACTCATTTCACTAAACACACTTAAGATCTTTATATATTAACCTCAAAATCTTACATTTTTCTCCCACTTTGGCAATTTTTAGATGGAAAAAAAAAATCCTGGTTGAAAATCATGACATCACTTTCATAACTTATCAAGCAAGGGCAGGTATGCAGGCGGGTAGTGATTACACACGGGCTGGTCAGGACTGGGCCAGGACTAATCCAGGACTACACCAGGTCTAAACCTGGACTAGTCTTGAACATGAGAGAGAGAACCCTGACTCCGCAGTGAGTCCTGTTTTAGTCCTAGTTCAGTCCTGGTGTAGTCATCCTGTTTCAGTCCTGGAATTAGTCCTGGTTTAGTCTTGGCAGCGCAAAAGTTTGATATAATCTCGGGTTAACGGGCGGGTGCGGTCCTGTACTACGTGGGTGTGGGTCTCCAAAAATGGACCCGTGCAGGACTCTGCGCTGTAGGCTCCATTACGGAATAAATGACTCTTTGGTTTGTTACATAAAGAAGGAGGAAAATAACAAAAGGACGACAGCAGCAATAAGTTTTAAGAAGGATGCAAAAAGGGTTGTAACTGTCCTGTGTGAGAAAAGTGTATAAAGTGTGTGATGAGGGGTTTTACAAACTTAAAACAGATATAATAATTGTAAAATATAAAGGTGACTTATTATTTTTATAACGTAACTCCCACGACAAACAAGGGATCACTGTATTTTAGAACTGTTTATGTGAAATTATGGGAAGAAGAACCAACTCTTCATTCCCTGGTGATGTGATGCTAACTGTAGGCTCTGCTCTGTCTGAAGTTCTGTTCCTCACTTGAATGTTGTGACGACATGTGAACACAACATATTTAAACACAATATATCACTTCTGTCATTCTTTTAGGAACTACTGGCGACTGGAAGAACCACTTCACTGTTTCCCAGAACGAAAGGTTTGACCAAGTCTTCGAACGAGAGATGAAGGATTTCCCTGTGTCATTTATCTGGGACATCAGAGACAACTCGTAATCTACAACCTTTTGTCCAGTCAAAACCAGAGCATCATGGGAAAAAACTACACAGACTTGCAAATTAAAACTGTACACAATATCACAGATCAGTATAACTTTCTATGCAGTGTGAAGCGCACTTAGGTGTTTATGAATCTTACTGATGATAAGTTTTGGGACGTCATGCAGCAAATTTGCTTGTTTTTATAATAGATTTTAAGGTAAAGTTTAAGTGTACTTTTCCTAATCTTCTGCATTTGACCCATCCTTCAGTGTCACTGGGTTAAACCTGTCAGGACCAAGAAGTCACTGTGTTACTAAAATAAACTAAACTCTGCACCATTGGCCTTTAAAATGTTCTGTTGTCATCTGAAACCGAGTGATACATGAGCAAACATTTATTGCAAGAAGAATATTTCAGAATTCTAAATTTGGATGACACTCTGGTACTCTTGATTGGAGTGCCCACTGATGTAAAATGTAAAACAGTATTTCCATTTGTGTGGTTCTAGTTCTGTAATTGCATTCGTTTCTGAAAGTAAATGATCTAATTAATAGCAGACTTTTGTTTTTGATTGAAGGCACAAAATTACTCGTTAACTGCTCAGTGAATTTCTGTGCTGTAGTATCTTTCACTTTCACATTTGTTACTTTGGCGCCATCTCCTGGTCATATTATGTCATTAACAAATAGAGCAAGCACACCACATGTTACAGTATTTGTTAAATTTAATTGCTCAGCCATCTTGATACAAATAAAAATGTAATAAATGTGATTATGCTGTTGCGTACGTTGTTAGGCAGGTATTTCCATTTGCTGCAGAGTCTTTAGAAAATAAATGAGTTTTTGCATTGGACTGGTTTGAAGAGGGAGCTCTGGTTTTAAGTCCTTCAGTCTTCGTCGCTTCCCATCTCCAAGGGGTCAAAGTCTGGATCATCTTCCAAATCCAAGTCCTCCATATCCTGGAACAAAGACTCGTCCACTTCCACGTTGTTCCCAGCTACAAAAAAAGTCAGAAATGTATTCAGTTTGATGTAAAGGAACGGTTTAGCTGTAAAAAAAAAAAAAAAAACGTGGGGGATCGTCAGGATAGCAGTGTCAAACAAAGTAAAGCTGAAGGCTGCCAAGTCTACAGTCATATTTTCTTCTTCTGGAGTCCTGCAGTTGTGTAAGAGGTCCAAATTGAATTTCCTTCAGGCTCAATATTTAAGTATTAATGATCAATACTTCTTTTAAGAGCTCAGTTACACAATATTAGAGAAAAAACTGAACTCAGCAATCAGGGTTCCCACTCTTTTTCACTTTTTCATGACCTAAAAGTAAATTTTCCATGACTTTACGGCACCTACATGTGCAGAATAGAGCATAAATCTGAAATGTTAACCCTTTCCACTCACTTTATGGTTTGAGATTTTAGTTTTTTATTCATTTATTGTTGTCTCTTTTAAACAGAAGGCATATATGTTCAGAAATAATCATAACAGCCTCATGAGAACTTAACAGAACGGTGTAGTTGTGTGAAAGAGATACTAAAATTCCATGACTTTTCCAGGCCTAGAAAATGACATTTTCAATTTCCTTGACTTTTCCAGGATTTCCATGACCGTGGAAACCTTGAACAATTAATGGTATGGAGGTGTGAAAGAACATTCTGGCAGTAATACAGCGGCCGGGGTTTAGATCAGTCTTTTCTCAGCATTGAAACTGAGAGACTCGTGTGAAGCTCTTTCATTTTTCTGATTGGATAATACTGACAGCCAAAACACCAAATTATAACAAACGATTTGGCCATTATGTTCAATGTTTTTGTAACTAAGAACTGAACAATTGTAATTCTGATTCAAACAGCTATATAAAAAAAGAAAGGAATATGTTTATCGAATTTTAAATGAAAATCTTACTTAAAGTCCCTCTAATGTTTTGTTTTTGTTTGTTTGTTTTTTGTTTTGTTCTTTCTTTTCTTTTTTTTATCTGACAGTTCAATTTAGTCCACTTAAGTGTGTCTGCATAGAGATGTTGGTGCAGATTTTACACTGACAAATAACAAAAGTCTTACCATCTTCAAGAAACTGAATGTCAGACGTGTCGAGGTTGTGGTCTCGCTCAAACAGCTGCTTTCCTACAGAGAGAACAAGCCACAATTTACATTTTATTTGAAAAGATTTTGCAAAGTTCATATTTAAAATTTTTGAACTCCTAGTCCGATTCCGATTATATAGCTAGTTAGTATTCGCCAAAACCCAATATCAGCCATTACCAGAGTATGGACGAAACACAGACTTTATTTTCCTGAAAACAATGTTGTAAATGTTGTAAAATTTATTTTCATTTTAATTAATAACCTGCAGCAGTTTATAACTTGTGCAATAGTGTTTAGAAATGTTGGGTTTGATCTGCAGTGGCTTGTGGGATGCCTCACAGCTCCTTACCGCTGGTGAGGAACATGGATCTATTAAAATAAGGAACCTCCCGAGCTTCATCTGCTGAAGGAGCTCATGGTTCTGGTTATCGTTTACAGCATTTTTTTTTTTAAATGCCACAGAGGCACTTTGTTCCTATAAGAACTGCCTCTTTGCACTTCAGTAAAAAAAGGACCTTGTGGAATTTGTCGGATTTGTTTTTGTAGTAATTTTTGGGGGGTTATGTTTCCTGTACAGATATGAAGGTATAACAAAATATATCCAGATATATTTTTTGCTCCATATCGCCCAGCCCTACTATAGACTATACTTTAAAATCAAACTAGTGCCAGGTTAGGGTCACGCATGTTTAATCTGATTAGTGTTTATAATAAATCTTTGTCTATGATTTCCTTTAATGACAAAAACTCCAAAAGCGGAATTGGTGCAAACTGACCACTGCCAACATGGCGTCCCTGTCAGATTTAGTCACATGGGTGCAGGAGCTGTTTGTAGCTTTTATTTATCTCACAAGTAAAGACAGAACTACTCCGTACTACAAAGCATCAAATATTCTGAGACTTTCTGGGCGACTACGACCAGTAAACAGTCTTATTAGATCAATTTATGTGTCCAACCAGGATATCAGCTGAACCGATCACTGGAAGCCGATAACCGATTCACTTTTCATGGATCAGCACCAGTATTCCCTCGTGCATCTCCAGTCAAAATGCAGACTGACAGACGGAAGTGCGCTTTAGCATGCTAGTTGTTGTTCGCTTTACCATCACAAAACTCTGCTGTGTTGTCTGAGAGTTGTGACAAGCACTTATAAACTCAGCACAGTGAATAATCAGGATAAGGAAAGTTAGAAAAAAAACTGTTTAAAATGAACAAGTTCAGTTTTTCATGTTTTAAGACAGTAAAAATGTTGTACAGCACCTTCAAATTTGTAAAGATGAGTTAATTTACCTGTGAGTTTGTTTTTCCCCGCCTGCTCCTCCTCTTTCTGCCTCTTCTTCCTGATTTCTGTCATCTCCAGCTCAAACTTGGCTTTCCAGGCCAAAAAGTTTTCTATTGTGACCACTGTGCCTTGGAAGGCTTTCTGACAATTAAACAGAAAACAAGTCATAAGTCAAAACACATTTGAAGCAGAGCTAAAACAATAATGAAAATATACTGAAATACTATACTACTATACTATACCATACCATACTATAATAAAAAGCAGTTACAGTATCTATTCGAAATGTTCCCAAATGCATGTGATTAATAATAGTAATAATACATGTAATTAAAAAAAAAAAAAAAAAAGATCAGTAAAACAAATTGAAATATAGCCATTTTTATTGAAGAAAAAAAAAACTGCTTGTCTTAACATCTCAGTAGAGACAAGAAAGTTTCAGACCTTCCACCGCTAAAGTGACATAGTGCATCTTTAAAGACCTGTATTACACAATTTCTGATCTATGTTAGATTATTGTGAGGTTAAAACTCCTCCTGTCTCCTCTCTGCACAAACCTTCTCTGCTTCCTCTGCCTCCTTCTCTTTCCGTAGTTTCTCTTCTTCTCGTCTGGTTTTTATGGCGTCCACAATTTCATTAAGTTTCTCCTGAACGGCTGTGACCAAAGTGAAAATCATCACCATGCCCAAGTTTTCCTCAGCCTGTTTAGAGCAAACACATGAAATATTCAAAACAAATGACAAAAGCTGAGGAACAAGCAGATCAGTGTGGTCAATGCGAAATGATAACAGTGTTACAAATTTAACTTTTTTTTTTTTTTTTTTGCATAAATATATTTAATTTGAAATATATGTGAACTACACTGTTCAAAACAGTAGAGCTTAGAATTAAATAATGGGCAATAATAGGCAGACTTTTTAACCACAAGTATTCATATTAGATACTATCAGAGCTGCACAGTGTTGAAATATTTTGCAAAATGTGATAAGGTTGTTAATCATTTCAGTTACATTAAAACAACAAAGTGCATGCTTTACTTTACTAGTGAAACTCAAATTATTATTACTATTAAACCAGGACAAACTCCTGGTTTACGTAATATTTTTGGACAATTATTAATAAAATCAGATTTATTTAACATGCATTTTTGTCAGATGACGTGGTGTTATAATGAGTATCGTATTTTTCAGACTATAAGTCGCATTTTTTTTCATGGTTTGATTGTTTCCTGCGACTTATACTCCAGTACAACTTACAACTACGTATATTAAAATTTTCACACTGACACCGGTGAGAGGCTCTAGTCTTGTGTGTCAGTATCTGCTGCTCCTGTTCCTCCTGTACCACTGTCACTTGGCGCCCTACTGCGCATGTCTCCTGCAGAAAAAGCCTCTGTCCTGCTGCAAGTGGTGAAATACTCAGCCAAAAACAGTAATCGAGCAGCAGAAAGAAAGTTTGGATTGAGCGAGAAACTTGTGACTGACTGGTGGAAAGCGGGCACGGAGATCACAGCTTCACAGCAACCAGGAGGATGCACCATGAAACTTTCCTGAAGTCACTGGATGGATGAACAAAGCCTGAACTTCAGTGACACCGAAACCATCCTGTCGGGATTCAGAAAGACCTGAATAATTCTAACTGGAACTGATGCTGAGTCTGACGACAGCTACACAGAAAAGGAAGCGGCGCTCTGTTTACCTCTGGAGGTCACGCACAAATGACACAGAGGATGAAGAATTCAGTGGATTTGGTGATTTGGAGTGAGATGGAGAGATTGGTAAAATTATGTTCAGTTGTTATGCTGTAGTTATCTGAATAGTTGTTAATATGTTACGTTAACATATTGACGCCTATTCAGTCTGTTGTTCTCTGTTCTGTTTTTATTACTAGAACTTGCCTTTCAAGATGAAATGTCGATTCCTGGTCCCTGATTTTATAAAATACAATACAATACTTATAGTTCAGCACGACTTATATATGTTTTTTTTCTTCTTCATTACAACTTTTTTGGTTGGTGCGACTTATATTCCAGAGCGACTTATAGTCCGAAAAATACAGTATGTTGCAATATTGATTGTCTCATTCAGCATTGTGATCTCGATACGTTTGCGATATATTGTACAGCCCTGATTTCATTGATCATTTTGTGCAGAGGGACCCACCTGTTGCTGCAATAGTGCGAGTATCTCCTCTACATCTCCGTCTTCTAAGTTTTCCTGTGACTGAATCTCCCAAAGCGGGGGCTCGTCTGGATAATTCTCCACATATGTGAACTTAAGCAAGGTTTCGACCGCTGTAAACAAACAATTGTCACTCACTCTGTACACGAACAACACTGGGCTGCTATTACTAACTGATCATAAAAGGCAGAGCTATGTTATCACCACAGTATTTTTATTTCCATATAACACAAATGTAATGTTTTATCTCTAAAGTCTATATTTACGTTAATTTGCAAAGTGAACCGCAACTTGTCTGTGCAAACCCTCAGTCGTCCAGGTAGGTTTCACAGCAGAAATTTACTTCTGTCAAACTTTTGTCCAGTTGACAGAATTAAATATTTCTTTAGCTACACATCTTTTCTTCAGTTTGTGGACCTTGCCATGAATTGTAAAATTGATATTAGCGATTATCACACATCCACAAAATCGTGAAAAATACTGAATATTGGTATCAGCTGAAAAAAATCATATCGAACCATTCGTGATTTTTTCAGAAACATTTAAAAGATGTAATACTCACTTTCTCCATTCTCTCCAGCATCTGACGTGACTGTGATGGTGAAGCTTGTGGGGTTGTCTGAAAGGACTAAAAAACACAAAACAGGGAGCTTGATTTAGTGAATTAAAAAACTCCAATGACAATAAATGCAATGCAATTAACACTAAACGCAGAAAAAGTAGGGATTTCCACTGATATTTGGCACTGATATTTTTATTGCCCACGTATCCCAATTTGTCCTCTGTGCATCAGATTTGTATTTTTGACTAAATAAGTGAAAACATTAAATTCACAAGTGAGTTTATGTCCCATATAAATACATTTTTTATCATTATTTTTACATAAGCAATAAGTTAATTCGCAAACTTCACTAAAATTTAACATAAAGCTCGATCTGTACTAATTCAGAAGCTTAATATCGCGATCTTCAATTATAGATTAACGGCCACAACGGCAAGATAAATATTAAAAATAACAATAATAATCCATATCGTATCCTTAAGAAAAAGTGAATGATTTTGAAATATATCAAATCCAATCCACTTTATTTACATAGCGCATTTCACAAACAAACAATTTCTAAAGTGCTTCACAAATACATAATAATAACAGCAATAATAAAATGATAAAATAAACACTCAGATTTAATCATACTAGTCTTAAAATAATAAAACCAGTAAAATAAAATAAGAGCAAAATCATAGAATGCAAAAAATAAATAAAACCAATAAAATACATTAAAAATAAATGAAATAAAATAAATAAAAAGACCCAGAGGACCACACACAGCCAGAGAATAAAAATGGGTCTTAAGATGAGATATCTCACACATTTCTTTTAAAATCCCTTTTCAAAACATGTCTGGTATGAAAGTCTGCTTATATTGATAATAGCTTAATTAAATGTAATTTCTGAAAAGTTATTCTGATTACTTGATACATGTTTATATAGCTGATATACATAAGAAATTGTGTCTAGTGTCTAGTTTAACACGCCCTTCCACTATGGGTGTAAACGTTTATGGCAATTTATCTGGCAGGGCATCTAGATAGGAAGACTTGTTTTTATTTTGGACTGATGAAACACTTTGCAACTGCATTTCAGTGACAAGTACTAGAAAGTCAACTGCAAATCCATTTTTTTTCTGAGATAATCTGACATCTTATTTAAAGAACAATAATAGTTGATGATACGGTACGCTGTATGCATAGGGTGAAAGAAGTGTGCACAAATATCAAAATATCAATATATTGTGTCGTTTAATGTGATGATACAGTATTGGTATCGTGGGCTGCTGTAACGATATATCGCCAAGAGTATTTTTTGGTGTATTTTACTCAGTTATTTTGTTACAGCGCTGCAGTTTTGTTGCTTGTTTAGAGGAAGGAAACTTGTTTATGGGACACATTTGATATTTTCACAGTTTTGATGATTAAAATGTTTATGTTTCATTTTAATTTTGCACAAGAAGTGGTTTAACACAGACTTTTAGTATCAGAGTCATTATTTTTTATTGAACCGTATCGAATCGATTTGAAATATATCGTATCGAATCGAAAGCTCACTATATCGTATCGGTAAATTCTGAATGATACCCAGCCCTAATGGGTGACCAGAATTTCAAAATAAAAAACTCGGACAACGCTGTTTTTTTGGTGGTTGGTAATAATAAAATTGTGAAACGAAAGTGTAACTAAGGAAAACTGTTATGCAGAGACCATTCATGACTAACATATGAGTCAGTATGGTCACATTTTCTTTGTGTTTTGGTAATTTTTAAGCGGATTTTCTCTATTTTACCTAAACAAATTACAATTTATGCCTCTCTTTACTGTAGGCAGGGATCAGATTGGTTAAAAATAGGGACACTTGGGACATTTCTTGTATAAAACTAGGAAAAATGTGTGGTTTTGTATAAATCTGCTAGGAGAGTGTGTCAGTATAGTCACATTTTCTTTGTGTTTTAGTCATTTTTAAGGAGTTTTTCTGCATTTTACCTAAACAAATTACAATTTATGCCTCATTTTACTGTTGGCAGGTATCAGACTGGTTAAAAATAGGGACATTTCTTGTATAAAACGGAAAAAAAAATGTGGTTTTGTATAAATCTGCTGGGAGAGTGTGTCAGTATAGTCACATTTTCTTTGTGTTTTAGTCATTTTTAAGCAGATTTTCTGTATTTTATCTAAACAAATTACATTGTATGCCTCTCTTTACTATTGACAGGGATCAAATTGGTCAAAAATAGAGACATTTTTTGTATAAAACTGGGACAAATCAGTGGTTTTGGATAAATCTGACGGAACAGTGTGTCGGTATAGTCAAATTTTCTTTGCGTTTTGGTCATTTTTAAGCAAATTTTCACTATTTTACTTAAACAAATTACAATTTATAGCCCTCTTTACTATTGGCAGGGATCAAATTGGCCAAAAATAGGGACATTTCTTGTATAAAACTGTGACAAATCAGTGGTTTTGGATAAATCTGCTGGGGCAGGAGACACAGGGCTCAAAACTGGGACTGTACCGGGTAAATGGAGATGTCTGGTCACCTTATATGTGCAATAATTGTACAACCAAGAAGACAAAGTCAAGTTATAGAAATGTATGAATCAGTATGCACTATTAGGTTTAACAATACAGAATTAAAACAGTTTAGCTCGAACATGCTTTCCTTCACTTTCTGAGCTGCTTCTGCTATGAAACGTCACTGTTAGCTCGCCGATGCTAACCGTGCTAGCTCAGGGGGGTTTTCTGCTTAAATCTCGCACCTGTAAAAGAGTCCGGGTAGATAGACTCAATGGCCTCCAGCTCGTTCCTCTGCTCCTCGGCGTAGTCCGTCATTTTTTTAAGGTTTTTCGGGTTATCTGGGACGGAGATCCACCATCACGCCGCTACACTCATGTCAGTACAGTACGAGGCTGCGTGCTATTCGAGTCGACTACTTTGGTCTGGCTCGGTTTCTGAGTGGTTTTGCTTTTATTACTAAGACTCAGACAATATTGGAGCTGTTATTTATATATATATATTTTTTTTATTAATTAATTGATATAAACCGTTTACCTAATTTTTATGCATTAAATATCACACAGTTTAAACATTTATTAGTTTCACACGCCTATCAGCTAGTTTAGTCTGGGAGGTTGACGAAAAAAATTACCGGCGACTTTTTTTTTCTTTTCCTTTTTAAAAATTTAAAAAATTATTATTATTATTATTATTATTATTATTATTATTATTATTATTATTATTATTATTATTATTATTATTATTATTACCGGTGACTTTGAGTGTCAAAAAAAAAAAGATCCATTATTATTATTTCTATTAAAAAAGGGTTAATAAATGAACACGTGTTTGAATGATGAGCAAAGCATCTTTATTTGCATTATTTGCTGAAAAAAAAAAGCATGCAACAGATTAAAAGCTGCTGGAGTAAACATATTTTTATAACGTTGACTCAGACCAGGGACTCCTCAACCCTAGTGTTCAGATTTTTATTTTTCCCAACTTGTCTGGTCCTCTTAGACACCTGGGGGGGAAAAATAAATAAATAACACAAATTATTATTATTATTATTATTATTATTATTATTATTATTATTAATTATAATAATAATAATAATAATAATAATAATAATAATAATAATAATAATAATAATTGTTCTCATGTGGGTTTTACAAAAATGACATTAACAACAAATTTGCTCACAAAAAAATAATAATACAAAATGTATAAAACAGTATGTTATGATTGGCAAGACATACAAAATGACCATAGATATGTATTAGCCAAAAAAAAAGTAAACAAAAGAGACAACAACAGGGATATACTTATATCGTGCTTTAGAATAGTTTTGAATTAACACCAAGTTTAGTATTTAGCAAAGTAAAATCTCAGTTGGTGGGTTTGACATTAACTGGAAATTCTAACTGGAAATTTGTTTGTTAATATGTGCATTGTGTCACCATGGTAACTGCTGAACATTCCTCCATAGACTTGGGTTATATGCAGTAAACCCCCCAGTGTGAAACAAAAAAGTGTTCTGTTTTATGGGGACTTTCCTCACCTGGCGGTAGTTCAGAGAACGGTAGCAGGCGTGCACTGTACAGAGGGACGTATTAGACACAGAAAAGTTGTATAAATGTGACTTAATGTTAAATCTCAGTCTGACCTCTAAAAAGTATCACTGTGATGACAGAAACCATCAGTAGCTCCACTGAACGCATCAGCAGCATCAGCACAGTTACAACAGGGTGAGGGTCTGTGGAGAGAGAAGAGCAAGAATGAAATTTAGTGTTCTGCCTCAGTTGATAAAAATAAATAAATAAATAGTTTTGACTTTATCTGTTTTGTCTACTGCAGCTACCATAGCTGCCATATTGTTTTAGGCTTTTCAACTGCCAGTGTCAACTGTCAGTGTCTTCTGCCAGTGTTTTTGTTTTAGCTGTTCTTGTCAGTTTTTTATTCCTGTGAACTGTTTTTGGGCCTATAGAAATATCTGTCTGTGAGTATTGTAACACCATAACATACTAACTCACTCTATGAGGCACTTTGAATTGTTTTATTTTTGAGATCCCTGATAAAATGTAATATGCTAGTAGCGTTAGCCTTTCTAAGGAGATTTCTATTGATGTTAGCATGATGCTAATTGGCTGTTGTATAGATGTTTTTTGTGATGTTGTTGATATTGTTGTATATATTTTGAATTGTTGAGTTGCCCTATGTTGTTTTATATAGCTCTGATTATTCTTTGTTTGTTGAAATGTGAAGATAAAATTGTAATATGGATTTATTTTTTGTATGTTACAGTTTTACAGTCAACCTTCAGTAAATATCCAAAACAGCAAGAGGCTTCCTGGGTGCTTATTGAGAATACTGTTCGCTATCTGTAAAGCTAGTTCCGAAACGCTAGTGGAGGCAGAATATTTAGATATAAACACTTCTTCAACTGTAGCAGTGTTTAATCACTGTTGACAGAAAACACAAGTTAAAAATACACCAAACTGCAAAATAAGTTTGCACAAAATGACTAGCCAAAAGTATTGTTGTTATTATAATGTCATTTACACAGTTTAGTGGTAAAAAGTTGAGCTGGACTCTCTTTAAAAGAACTGTATGTAACATGTACTGATCCTGGGATTGTGCTGCAACCTGCACATAGGACACATAAAAGTATTTCTCATTCTCAGTATACGGACAGCATATACTGCAGCAGCAGAGGCACTGATTGGCTGGAGGTGTTGGCGTTAGACAGTGAGGATTCAGATCAGAGACAGTCTCTTTAACATTTTAAACAAATGGATTTCAACATTAAAACTGGCAACTCGAATAAGAGAGTGAGGCTCATTCTGCTTCATGATTGATTCATCATCTTGAAAACCAAAATACTAAATTGTAACATGATCAACTTACTTCTTCCAGGACCATTAGAGTCGAAGAGGTTACCCTGTGATTCTTCAGGTTCGTTCTCAGTCTGGACTTGAGTCTGGTTCCCCTGGGCATCTCCGTTTGCTCAGATTCACAAAGAGTAAAATTTTGTAGTTTAATATTTGCATTAACATGAAAACTGTAACATTTTAGTTTCGTCTTGGTCCTTACCTGCAAAGACATAGACCTGGTTGCGATTCAGGTCTGTCACTTCACAGCTCAGATTCGGACTTGAAGGACTCACAGGGTACACCCTGGCCGAGCACTGAGAAGTCACAAACGTGAGCTGGTTATGATCCGAGCCCTGGACCCGCCATTTAACCAGGTGTCCGCAATTTTTTTGCCCATCGTACGGTGTGAAATCACAGGTCAGGGTTTTGGACGACATTAAACCTTTATCTGAAACTGAGAAGTGCGAAAAGTAAGAACCATAGATATTATTACTTATTTATATATTTGTTTTTCCCATATGGGTGAAACTGGCTGAGGTAAACTTCAATAATGCCATCCTTTAAAGGTCTTTTATTACACAAAATTGACTATTGTGAGCTTTTAGTCATGTTATAAACCATCAACCTTATTAGTATTAATTGCTAAAACATAAATCACTTCTTTCTCTTGTTGAAGATTTTAATTTCTTTCAGTTTTGTTGTTGATGCTCGTCTCTGCTCTCACCTAACTGAAAGGAGGGAGGGAGGGCTGGACTAGTTCCTGTGAGAGGGCAAAAAAAAAAGTAGATTTAGCCTAATACACCCTCTTAAAAGCTCTCGTAGTCAGCCAGACACGGGGAGAAACATGCAAACTCCACAAAGAAAGTGTAATATTATGTGCAGTAATGTGCTCTAGGTCTAAATATAGATCTATGCTCATTTCAGTTTTCTTTGCCTGCAAGAAATGGGTGAGGAAGTCCCAGCCACAGAGGAGACACAGGGAGGAGAGGAGAGAGGAGCAGACGGTGAATGGGACAATCTTTCCTCAGGCTCTGGCACTCTCCGAAGTGACCATATAGTGAGGACTATACTAAGGATTTATTTTTTATTTTTTATTCTATGATTTTTAATTCAAAGTCAGACCAATGCATTTGCTGTCATAAACATGTTTGAACTTATGTTTTATTAGTTTTAATGTCATATTCAGAATGATTCAATATGTCATGTTTTGCTGTGGTGCTGTTGGACTCACACAAACTCCTCACTGTGAGACAAAAACAGTTTGATTATTTTATCGGGGGTGTGCCTCTTGAACACTCACTTATGTTTCCTCTCTGCTTTCCTTCCCTTGTCTCCTCTAAACTTTGGGACATTTAATATGACACATTTGATTGACAGCTGAAAAATGGAGGATCGAGGACAGGAATCAAGGAGAAGGAACCAAGAAAAGAGAATTGAAATGGCAAATACTCACAAGTGACCACAGACAGGAAGAAGTGTTGTGTTTGGTTGACCTCAGAGCTAAGTTTTGTTTGGTTGACCTCAGAGCTGACTTGTGTTTGGTTGAGCTGGGTGCAGGTGTACACTCCGGCGTCCCATTTTGTCAGGTGCTGGATCTGCAGCTCACAGGACTTAAATTCTTCAAAATGTCTGATTACTTGGGTCACCACAACTGGAGGACGGATCGATAACCTCCTGGTCCGGACTTTTGATGCGAGGACAACAGAGTTGTGGTCGTCCTCAACATTCCAAGTGCAGTGGGTCAGAGACGCATTTCCACACTGCAGGGTCACATTGTCCCCATGTTTGACCACAAAAAAACGCTGCTCTTCTGTAAAGCACACAGAGCTCAAGATCACACACCTCTTTTATACAGGCTATAAATACAATAGGAGCACAAACATAAAATCTTATTGTGGACGTCCGGGTGAACATGGCTTGCGAGAGGACGTGTTTTCGCTGTGCTCCCGCACCCACCCTAACTTGATTAAGATGTAATACGCGTGACTACCAATATCAGCAATACGGATACAAACTAAGTACTTTCTAACACTTTTATTGGAGTTTTTTTTTTTTTTTTTTTTGGACGCTGAACTATGTCGAGACCAATGAAAATTCAAACAAAAAAGCTGACGACTGCTAATGCTGGCACTAACCAAAAAGATAAAATCTCCGCCAGGCTTAATAACCACGATCAGTGTTGGGGAGTAACAGATTACATGTACCGGAGTTAAGTAATCAGAGTACAAATTATGAGTAACTGTATTCAGTTACTGTTTCAGTGAGTGGTAATTGGATTACAGTTACTTTGTTGAAATAAATGGATTACACAGAGGTATTTTCCTGTTTTCATATTTTGGACTAAACCAGGACTAAACCAGTACTAAAACCAGGACTAAACCAGGACTAAAACCAGGACTAAACCAGGACTAAAACCAGAACTAAACCAGGACTAAACCAGGACTAAAACCAGAACTAAACCAGGACTAAACCAGGACTAAACCAGGACTAAACCAGGACTAAAACCAGGACTAAACCAGGACTAAAACCAGAACTAAACCAGGACTAAACCAGGACTAAAACCAGGACTAAACCAGGACTAAAATTAGGACTAAACCAGGACTAAACCAGGACTAAAACCAGAACTAAACCAGGACTAAACCAGGACTAAAACCAGGACTAAACCAGGACTAAACCAGGACTAAACCAGGACTAAACCAGGACTAAAACCAGGACTAAACCAGACTAAACCAGACTAAACCAGGACTAAAACCAGGACTAAAACCAGGACTAAACCAGGACTAAACCAGGACTAAACCAGGACTAAAACCAGGACTAAACCAGGGACTAAAACCAGGACTAAACCAGGACTAAAATCAGGACTAAACAGGACTAAACCAGGACTAAACCAGGACTAAAATCAGGACTAAACCAGTACTAAAACCAGGACTAAACCAGTACTAAAACCAGGACTAAACCAGGACTAAAATCAGGACTAAACCAGGACTAAACCAGTACTAAAATCAGGACTAAACCCAGGACTAAACCAGGACTAAAACCAGGACTAAACCAGGACTAAAATCTGGACTAAACCAGGACTAAAACCAGGACTAAAATCAGGACTAAATCAGGACTAAAAGCAGGTCTAAAACCAGGATAAAACCAGGACTAAACAGGACTAAAACCAGGACTAAACCAGGACTAAAACCAGACTAAACCAGGACTAAAACCAGGACTAAACCAGGACTAAAACCAGGACTAAAACCAGGACTAAACCAGGACTAAACCAGGACTAAAACCAGGACTAAACCAGGACTAAACCAGGACTAAAACCAGGACTAAAATCAGGACTAAACCAGGACTAAAACCAGGACTAAACCAGGACTAAAACCAGGACTAAAACCAGGACTAAAATCAGGACTAAACCAGGACTAAAACCAGGACTAAACCAGGACTAAAATCAGGACTAAAACCAGACTAAACCAGTACTAAACCAAACTAAACCAGGACTAAAAACTAACCAGGACTAAACCAGGACTAAAACCAGGACTCAGGACTAAACCAGGACTAAAACCAACTAAACCAGGACTAAACCAGGACTAAAACCAGGACTAAACCAGGACTAAAATCAGGACTAAACCAGTACTAAAACCAGGACTAAACCAGTACTAAACCAGTACTAAAACCAGGACTAAACCAGGACTAAAATCAGGACTAAACCAGGACTAAACCAGTACTAAAATCAGGACTAAACCCAGGACTAAACCAGGACTAAAACCAGGACTAAACCAGGACTAAAATCTGGACTAAACCAGGACTAAAACCAGGACTAAAATCAGGACTAAATCAGGACTAAAAGCAGGTCTAAACTAAAAACCAGGACTAAACCAGGACTAAAACCAGGACTAAACCAGGACTAAAACCAGAAACCAGACTAAAACCAGGATAAAACCAGGACTAAACCAGGACTAAAACCAGGACTAAACCAGGACTAAAACCAGAACTAAACCAGGACTAAACCAGGACTAAAACCAGGACTAAAATTAGGACTAAACCAGGACTAAACCAGTACTAAAACCAGGACTAAAACCAGGACTAAACCAGGACTAAAACCAGGACTAAACCAGTACTAAAATCAGGACTAAACCAGGACTAAAACCAGGACTAAACCAGGACTAAAATCAGGACTAAACCAGACTAAATCAGGACTAAACAGGACAGGACTAAACCAGTACTAAACCAGTACTAAAACCAGGACTAAACCAGGACTAAACCAGTACTAAAATCAGACTAAACCAGGACTAAACCAGGACTAAACCAGGACTAAAACCAGGACTAAACCAGGACTAAAATCTGGACTAAACCAGGACTAAAACCAGGACTAAAATCAGGACTAAATCAGGACTAAAAGCAGGTCTAAAACCAGGATAAAACCAGGACTAAACCAAGACAAACAAAAAAAAACAGGACTAAACCAAGACTAAACCAGGACTAAATCCAGGACTAAAACCAGGCCAATATCAAGTAATCCAAAGTATTCAGATTACGTTACTCACTTTAAGTAATTTAATGGATTACGTTACAAACTACATTTTGGGGTGTGTAATCTGTAATCTGTAGGGGAATACATTTTAAAAGTCACCTTCCCGAGTTTCGGATGCAGAAGACAGCGTTACGGAGCTGGCGAGGAGACTGGCTGATGCCGAAAAGAGAATCGCTTCTATGGCCAGAGGTTTGGATGACATGGAGAACAGAAGCAGGCGAGACAACATCCGCATTATCAACCTGAAAGAGGGTACGGAGAGGACGAGCCCGCTACAGTTTTTCGAAGCCTGGCTCCCTTCACTTCTCGGCTTTGACAAGAGCCCCGGTGCCGGAGCTGTGACGCGCATTAAGATGGATCGCGCACATCGGGGCTCCGGCAGACAAGGTACACATCCTCAGCCTGTTATCATCAAGCTTCACAACTCTAGAGGCAAGCAGAGGATTATGGCAGCAGTGAGAGCGGCACCAGAGCTGAAACATGACAGGCAGCGGATCTTTATCCACAGGATCTATCGTTAGCAGTGCGCGAGAGGAGACGGGGTTTTAATGACGCGTGCCGCGCTCTTATTACTCCGCCAAGGAGGTTATGTTTTGCCGGCGTTTGTCTGTTTGTTTGTTTGTTTGTTTGATTGTTAGCAACATAACTCAAAAAGTTATGGACTTGGAAATGTGAAATGGAAGAACTGATTTCATTTTGGGGGTGATCCGGAAGAAATCCTGGATTCTGGATCACTTTGAAATTTTAGTTAACATTGTGGTAAATGGGGCCAAAAATTTTGTTTCTCAATATCTCGATTAATTATTGACCAAACCCCATGAAATTTGACTCAGGGATGGACAATGGGATCCTCTTTCATATTCCAAATTGAAAGATACGAGACAAATATTTATGGAAAACACAATTAATATGAGGGGGACTGTAGTCCTTGGTGGAGGTCTGCGCTCTCTGAGCGCTTTTCTAGTTTAAGTTGACATAAATGTGCACAATTTGCCCAATATCACAAAAAATGCAAAATTAAGAGGTTTTTGGCAAATGAAAACTGTTTCCATGGAGACAAGCATGGAACCCTCTGATAAAGTTACTTAGTAGAGTTTTAATAAAAAATCTTACACAGATACTACTGCTATGATATGACATATTGGTCATATAAAATAATTAAAAATAATATAAAATAAATAATCTAAAAGTCATTAACAAAGATACAGTCAGTTCATACAGATTTACTTTCACAGTGTAGCAGGACTCACCAGAGATGTGCAGCATGAGAGAGAGCAGAAGCAGAGAGCAGACAGCGGACATTTTGTCTTCTCTGCAGTGACTGGAGAAGTGAAGCCTCATACACTGATAAAATACTCCTTTTCCTTTAAATGTATCTATCTATATATGTATCTATAACTCATATCAGAAATCTTCAGGAGGAAACACACAAACGGAACTGCACGAGCTCGAGGCATGTCCCATTGGTTAATCTTGATTTATGTGGTTTTGGTCAAGTGTTGATTTATTTATTTATCTATTAATATTATTATTCAATTCATTTTATTTTATTTTTTTGTTTTAAATTTAAAAAGAACACAGCAGCAACAACAATCTTTTCCACTGGTTTCAAAGGTCCATGTTATGGTCAGATTAGACATTTTTATATTTAAAGGTCATTTAATGCCAAAATTGACTCACATTGACTCACTGATTCTCTTGTGAGTCAAAAAACAAACCCAGAGTTGTGTTTTGTTTCATTCACACATGTTTGAGTGATCCTGCATTATTAGTCTGTCTACATCTCCAGTGCTCAAAATGCTCTGTTCCACTTGATGATGTCATGTACACTGTCAAATCTAACACTAGGGTTCACTTGCATTCAGCTCGTTTACTTTACTCACAGCTACAGATTTGTGAATCTTAATGATTGTGGTAAAGTAACAGTTACTTTCAGTGAGAAAAAAGCACATTATTTGTCAAGTAAACTAAGGTCGACTTGAATGAGACGAGTAACTTCAACAGTGACGTGTTGTTGCCAAGAGTCCAGCCCTTCTTTTGCTTCCTCCCTGTTTTTCCCACAGCCGCCACTCATTCCCTGATCCTCCCACAGCATCTCTATATCCTCCCTCTGTTCATTCACTCTCTGTATCAGGGGTACTCAACTATAAACTCAAAAGGTCCACTTGTAATAAAACGTAATAAATCCAAATGGAACATTTGAACTATGCCCAAAGTATTGTTTCTGTCCGATTCACACTGACTCTGTCCGAATCAGTGTGAAAAGTGACATTTTTTCTGTGCCACCAGCACAAAAGGTGTGAGAGAAGGTGTAGGCACTGTAGTGAGTGGACCCATAACTCCTGTACCACCGTCACTTGGCTCTACTGTGCATGTCTCCTGCAGAAAGAGCCTCTGTTCTGTCTGTATCATGTCAGTTGATCACACCAAAACTTTTTGAAGACATTTTGTCTTCTCTGCAGTGACTGGAGAAGTGAAACCTCATACACTGATAAAATACTATATATATATATATATATATATATATATATATATATATATATATATATATATATATATATATATATATATATATATATATATATATATATATATAGCTTTCGACCTCAATAAACATGTCTAGTTGACAAATTGTATTTCTCCTTTACCACAGTATGATATTAAACAGCTCTACTTTACATTTATATTTATTCAATTACAGGTGCTCAAAAATATTGAGAAAAACAGCCATTCTGACTGTGAGTTTGGTTGCCTCTCCACAGATTTGACCTGTAATTTGGTCTGGTTTGGTCTCCATGAAGATAGAAAGCTTTAATACCATACTGTGGGACATTCCAGACAAAGCAATAACACCTCCATGGCACACAATAACTATAGTGACACATTCTGTATAATTCAGATGTGCTTTGTTGAGGTACTGGGAGGGGGAGCTGGAGGGAAAGGGCCTATTGGAAATTTACAGTTTTTGAAAGAAATATTTAAACGTATGATCCGCACAAACAAGAATGAAAAAAAAAAACAAAACTATAACGTAGATTTGGAAAAATACAGTGAAGCTTCTTTATTTGCATTCGGAAACAAAGTCAAAGTCAAAAGAGTGAATATATTTTATCTCCTGTAGATGAAGTGCACTCGGACCGCAGACCTCTCAATCCTGGTGCTCGGGCTTTTATTTTGAAAACCTCAGATGTTCTCATAAACCTGGAGAGAAAATACAGGAATTTTATGCTTCGTATGTTTTTTGAACAAAATCTGTCTTTCCCCAGAACAGATGCATTGTAAGCAGCTCTTGAAGTCAAAATAAGTCCACTGTGTAGACTTAGACTTAGACTTATAGAGACTTTATTGATCCACAAGGGAAATTACTTGGACACAGTATCTCACACATCACATTATATTACACTCTTTGCATCTAATGATAAAGTGTTTTATTGTCTGATAACCAGGAAGTGTGTATTAGCATGCTAGTTGACATGCTTTATTGTCACCGCAAAACTCTGGTCTCTGGAAATTGTTATATATTGCCACAAGCTCTTGTGCTGTACTGTGTCTTGTAGGGCTGGTATCATTAAGAAGTTGCCAATACATATGTCGACACATAGGCCACGATACGATACATATCTCAGTGCAGTGCACTTTCGATTCGATACAATATATTTCAAATCGATTCAATATGGTTGAATAAAAAATAATGGCTAAATCATGGCTGTGATACTAAAAACCTTAAAACCACTTCTTGTGCTGTTCATATGAAAAAATGCCCATTTTAATCATCAAAACAGTGAATATGTTAAATGTGTCGCATAAAAGAGTTTCCGTCCACTAAACAAGCAACAAAACTGTAGCTCTGTAACAAAATAATTTAGTACAGACATGTCAAACGCAGGCCCGCAAGATCATGCCAAATATGTGTTAGAGCTGACCTGCCGGCTACAGATACAGGCTATAGAGCAGGGGCCTCCAACCTTTTTCCTCCTGTGAGCTACTTTTGGTAAAATGAAAATGCAAGAGAGCTACTAGTTTTAGTGGTCGCCAGAAATGTTGTAAATATAAGAGCCATGGTGAGCTGAAGATGAGGTACAGTTATATGTCTATAAAACATAACTCATTATCCAGTTATCAGAGCACAAAATTAGGCGTCAAAATTATTCATTTACAAAGGAAATATGTATTTATTCTATCAAATTTGAGCTTTTTATATTATTCAGCACAATATGTATAATTCAGAAATCCCTTGGCGAGCTACTTGGAAGGAGGTGGAGAGCTCCTGGTAGCTCCTGAGCTACAGGTTGGAGATCTCTCCTATAGAGACATTATTTATTTAAAATGTTGTTATTATTTTATATTCTGTTTGTTCTGGATTCAATGTTTAAGCAAAACTATTATTAAACATTTATTTTAATAAGAAAAGATTTAACATTACAGATCTCAAAAGAAGAGAAAACATGCAGATGTTGTTGAAATTTTTCAATAGAGACTTAGTCCCAGTTTTTAATTTTGGCCTCTGTGAATTAGAGTTTGACACCCCTGATTTAGTAAAATATACCAAAAAAGACTCTTGGAGATAAATCGATACAGCAGCCCACGATATCAATAATGTGATAGCATCACATTTAAAGATATGATATGTTGATATTTCGATACCTTTGCACACCCTTAGAGTCTTGTGTGCATTCTTTTTGCTAATGTACTTCTGCAGACATTTTACACTGGTGCATTAAAGGTCAGGGGTTATTACACAAAATAGATTTTTATGAGCTTTAAGCCATGTTAAAATGTTGTTACCTCATCACAAACACACTGGGTTCTGGGCACTGGGTACATGCGATTACAAAAGATGAGGCGCTAAATTCAAGATGATTCCAAACAGCACGTACGTGCAGTCTTCATTTTACCACTGATCACATTTACTTCAGTGGGTTTGATCACAGTCAGTTTTAATAGATCCATGTTCGGTGAGCCCAGTGTCGCTAACTACACCGGAAGTTGTCATCACATGTTTCCAAACGTCTTCCTGGTTTGTGACACAGACTCTGTTGAGTTTCTTTTTTGTAAGACTATTTTTTATTTCCTCACCTGGTGGTTGTCAGCAGAACTGCAGCGGGCGTGCACTGTACAGAGGGACAGCGTTAGACACAGAAAAGTTGTACAAATGTGACTTAATGTTAAAGTCCTGACCTCTGAGCAGTGTCACCATGGTGACAAAAACCATCAGTAGCTCCACTGAGCGTATCAGCAGCATCAGAACAATTACAACAGAGAGAGGGTCTGTGGAGAGAAAGAAACATATTAAACCCTACACTATAATGAAAAACAACTGAATTTGTTGCCGACATGCTGTAATTTTTAAAGGTGCACTATGTAACTTTTCTAATGGAGTGTCTGCCACCTACTTGTCTCATGAATATGTCCCACACTATGGCATTAAACTTATACATCTTTCATTTCCCAAACGGTGGTATAGGACCCTCTGCATTTTGAGTATTTTTATTTAATTTTTAATTTAAAGAAACTGTATTCATGTTTTCATCCTCCTTTGAGTTAATATTAGCATGCTAGTTATTGTTCACAGAGGTGGGATGAAGTCGCTGTTTTTGCAAGTCTCAGATAAGTCTCGAGTCTTTGACCCCAAGTCCGAGTCGAGTCCCAAGTCAAAGACAGGCAAGTCCAAGTCGAATCTCGAGTCACTGGCCCATAAGTCCAAGTCAAGTCCAAGTCATCTGTTTTGAGTTTCAAGTCATTTCAAGTCTTTAAACCAAAGCTCCAAATATACCTTAGATTTTTGCGGTTTATATGACTTTAAAAAAAAAAAGAAATTTCTTAAAAAGTCATGGTATATTTATAAATGAGTATTTATATAAAAGTTGTAGAAATGCAAATGTTTCCTTTTTAAATGACTTGACAAGATCTTAGTGTGAATCATTACGACCAGAACAGAATGAATTCAGATTTAAAAGTGCTTAATATCAGATATTTTGTCATGTAGTCTGCACTGAAATGGAAAGATGAAGTTGTTTGTAGTTCCCTCAGTTTTACTGCGTTGTACTGTATTGTACTGCATATTACTGTAGTACATTTGAGGATACCACATCACAGTACTTCAGTTACATTCAAAGTATCAAACAGAAGTGGATGTACATGTTCCAGTTTGTTCCTTTAAAATTAAGCACTGCATTTATCAACTGCAAAGAGAAAAGTATTTTCTAAAAACATATATGTTTTTAGGAGAAGCATCAAGTCTTCTCAATTCACAGGGCTCAAGTCCGAGTCAAGTCCCAAGTCACTGACCTTCAAGTAAAAGTCAAGTCCAAAGTCTTTGTCTATTTTATCAAGTCAAGTCTCAAGTCCTAAAAATAGTGACTTAAATCTGACTGGAGTCCAAGTCACGACTTACAAGTTCCCGCCTCTGGTTGTTAGTATGACCATTGTCACGGCCTGATTTGGTACTCTCCACCTTTTTAATTTAACTCATCAAACTCTTAAAGCTGTTCATTTTGTGTTCTGTCTGTTGAAGTCACACTAATGGTTATTTACAGTTAAAATACAGAGTTTGATTGAACAAATCATAAAAAATTTAATTTGTTAAAAGTAGTGAAAAGTTGTACCAAAGTATATGGGCATGTACAGTCTGAAAAACGGGGACAACTCAGGTAAGGTTCAGGCAGTGATAATGATTGTCATGGTAATGCTAATCATAATCCTGGTCAGATTGTCTTAAAATAAAGATCAGATTAAAGTTTTATTTCAGTAACAGAGCTTCAGACAGAGAAGTGCTTCAGTTAGCTTCAAGCATCAATAATAATCTATATATGAAAACTGTATTCACCTTTGGCCTGGTTTCTTTCCGGTTCTTCTGGACTGGCCCCAAAGATGTAGACTTGGTTGTGATTAAGGTCTGTCACTTCACAGCTCACACTTGGACTTGAAGGACCAGGGGTGAATGTCAGCGAAGCTGAGCATGTTGAAGTCTGGAACTTGAACCGGCTCTGGTTCTGGTTCTGATCCGAACCCTGGACCAGCAACCTCACGGTGAAAGTGCAGTAATCACCTTCATCATGCGATTTGACCTTACATCCCCAGGAGTTTGAACTATAGTTTAAAACTGAGAAGATTTAAAGGTTAGGGACATAATATGGAGGTTTTTGTCATTATATGGGTGAAAGTATAAAGGTCCTTACACAAACTGACTCTTGTGAGCTTCAAGCCATGTTATAATGCTGTTACCTCAGAACAACATACCCAGAATTGTTTTGTTTCATTCACATATGTTTCATTTTTATTATCCTGTCTACATCTCCAAAGCTCAAAATGCAGGTATGTTTGTGATGAAGAAGCAGCATTATGACATAGATAAATAAAATAGTGCATGATGGGCCCTACATGATGCACTATCCTATTAAGAAAGTGAATTTAGCTATTTCTTATATATTTTATTTATTTATATTATATGTCTAAAATATATTTCTGTAGAAGTTTGTAGCTTTTAGTATGTAAAGTAAACATAAAAAACTCATAAACCCACTGTCTATATCAGGGGTCTCCAGACTTTTTCCTCTGGTGAGCTACTTTCATGAAATGAAAATGTCAAAGAGCCAAGCAAACATATTTTAGCAGTTGCAAAAAACTGAAAAAGTAGAAGAGCTATGGCAAGTTTTAGACAAGGTACAGTCACATGTCTATTAAACATAAACCATTACCCATAGTGCACAAGTTAGACATCAAAATGGCACATTTACAATGGAAACAAGCGCAATCAGAGATATCAACCTGGTCCCCATGAGGCATCAGTGGGGTCAGTTCATCACCACAGAAGCAGTTTATGAGGAGTCCAGCCCATATTATATGATCGTTATATCCACAATGTAATGTGTGTATCTGTACAGGCCCAAGAACATTTGTGTGACACTGGTCACACATGACAATGTCTGTGTTTACTAGTGTGTAACCAAAATGTCATTTTTCATGAGTTGTGTGTATGTTAGTTGTGTGACTGTAGATCAGTGTGTTGTGTATCACCAGAAAAACAAGAAATGCAATTTAATTATGTTCCAATTAGAATTTTAACGGCTACACTAAAAGAGAAAGGAACTGTAATAATTAGTGATTATCTCGAAAACGATTAATATTTGACTATACAAATGCATAGAATTATAAATAGATAATAATTTTTCTGAGATTTTCAGACCACTCTCTTTGCTCTAGCTCGATCCTTCGCAGAGTTATGACCAAAAACACATATTTGACCTTGGTTACCATGACCTTCAAGTGACCTTGACCGGTTTCAACCTGTAACATCCAGTGTACCCCGGTTATATGTGTGTCAACTTGTGTGATGATTGGGTGAATATTTTAGGCCATAGATGGTTCAGAAATTGTCGAAATTGCCTGTCCTTTGTAATGGCATGATCTCAAATGACCTCGGATCATTGCCAAACTTTTTTTGTGGTATCAGGCACGGGGCTTGACTCACATACCAAATTTGGTGACAATCGGTCCATAAATGGCGGACTTATTGCGAGTGGACATACACACACAACACAGACACAGACACAAACACAGACACACAGACACACACAGACACACAGGGCGAATATAAAACCTGGTCAACCCTTCGGGGACCAGGTAATAAATCCGATTTTAGTTATTAAGCACAATACATTTAAGTCAGGAATCTCCCTTCCTCCTTCCAAGTACCTCACCAAGGGGTTTCAGAATTACACCATTGTGCTGAATAACAAACATTTGGTTAATTGTATGCCTTTTACTATTCTAAATGTATCATTTGAAGCCCAACTTTGTGCACTAATAAATGGACAATGGTTTATGTTTTATAGGCATCTAACTGTACCCAAAGGCTCACCCTTGTTCTTATAATAATCTCAATTTCTTACAGCCGCTAAAATGAGTAGCCCTCTGGCATTTTTGTTTTGTAAAGGAAGCTCAGAGGAAAAAGGTTGGAAATCCCTGTTATACAACATTATGTGCAGTGAAAACAACTCCTAAACCAAAACTAACCTTATTTTATTACTTATCTTTTTAAGTCCCTGTGACAGTTAAATATGTATTTTTGGGGTGTTTGAAGCATCTCCCTCTGCCTCTCTGTGGAAAACCAGCGGTGCAGTATGGCCGACACTGACCTGAAGAGGGGTCTCACGGGAAACCCTTGGGAAATTTATTTGGCAGCATTGTATGTGTTTGTAATTGATTATACTGCCTTATTTCCACAAGAAAGAACAAAGAAAAGTGAAGAAAAAAGTCTGTTCCCTCTAAGAGTATTCTCATAAGGGAGCAGCAGGGGGAGCTCTATCGATGAAAGTTCCTTAGTTCTGCTTTAAAGGGCCCACCTCATGCAAAATCAACTTTTCAGAGATTTCTACCTTCTAAGAGTGATGTGTGGGCCTTGTATTTGTCGCCAAAGTGGTTTTTAGATTGATTTGGCTTTTTTTTTTTTTTTTACAAATTACAGTGTATTTCTGCCACCCTCCCACATGACAACGAACTAAAGCTGCTACAACGATGACGCCTATGACATGTTTGACTTGGCAGAAAGAGCTTCACACCCGCCCCTGTCCACCACTCCACCGCCTCTGCCCCACCTCCACCCCACATCGGCTGACAGTTCCCACATGAACACCTAAACAAAAGCGACAGCATAAGCTCATTGTTCTACACTGCAGTGAACACGATATTATAAGTTTATTTACTAGTGTTTATTAATACTTTGCCAATCAGTAATGTTCAGTTGATGTGGACGCGGTGCTTGAGCTTCGTGCACCTCAAAGTCCTCGTCCGATTCCAGGTCCAACACATGTGGCTGAACGCGCTGTATCGCCATGATGAATAAAAGTATATTCCTACCACTATCAGGGTGCACGCCTGTCTCCCCCTCCCTCCCTGAGATGGACGGAGGAAGGGCGGCTCACTCAGAGCCTACGTCACGTTTGGAGGGCGGAGCCTGTGCTTTCTCAGGACGGGCGGGGGGATGAGCAGTAGATGGCCTTTCATAGTTCCTGGTCTGTGACTGACTCCAAGAAATCAGTAAGATTATTGTGTAATGAATGTTCCAAAACCCAAATTGTGCTTGTTTATGTGCAGAAGATACAATGTGAAAAGCGTTATTTAGCATGAGATGGGCCCTTTAACTGGTTTTAAAGGTTGGTAGAGTTAGTAGAGATAAAATTGTGAAAAGGGCGTGTAACATTGTCCATTCTTTCACTTGTGTCAGTCAGAATCTGAGGAACTGCTTATGGTCATTTTCAAGTAGGGCTTTCTGTATTTTATCTTAACAAATTTGAATATGTGCTTTACTGTTGACAGGTGTCAAATTGGTCAATAATTGGGACAGATGAATCTGTGTATCATTCGTTCATTCGTTTTTCAATATAAAACCAAAAATAAGAAAACGAAAAAAACAACAGTTTTCTTCGTTATTTGTCTCCAAAACCAAAATGAAAAAACGGATAACGATTCGTTTTTTCAGTTTTCGATTTTGTGTTTAAATGAAGAATGGAAAAAACGGATAACGGCCATTTCCCGTTTACGTGACTTCAGTGACTGCGATGCCGGACTTTTGCACCGGGTACGGACTGAACTAGGACTGATCCAGGTCCGAGACCAGACCGAGACCAGAGCGGGACTGAGACCGAGACCAGACCGGGACCAGAGCGGGACTGAGACCGGGACCAGACTCCGGGCCTCCACGGGGTCCGAGCCTCAGCTTCGAGCTCCGGCCCTGCCGTGGGCTCTGAGCCTTCGGTCTGGTCCCGGTCTGGTCCTGGTCTTGTCTCGGTCTCGGTCTCAGGCCCGCTCTGGTTCCGGTCTGGTCCCAGTCTCAGTAGCGCTCTGGTCCCGGTCTGGTCCCGGACCTGGTCCATTTGAACCAAAAGCTCTTAGTTCGATTCATTTTCATTGGTGTGAATGCGTCAGTCGGATGCTTTGCACCACCTCGGAACCAGACGCGGTTCTTGAGCGCGGAGGACCAGAGCCGCTCTGTCCCGGTCACAGTCCTGCTCTGGTCTCGGTCTGGTCTTGGACCTGGATCCATCCTGATTCAGTCCATATGCGGTGAGACTGGGACCAGACCGGGACCATTTTCCATTCTTCATTTAAACACAAAATCGAAAACTGAAAAAACGAATCATTATCTGTTTTTTCATTTTGGTTTTGGAGACAAATAACGAAGAAAACTGTTGTTTTTTCGTTTTCTTATTTTTGGTTTTATATTGAAAAACGAATGAACGAATGACACACGGATTCAGATGGGACATGGGTTTGTATAAATCTGCTGAACAGGGGACACAGAGCTCAAAACTGGGACTGTCCCAGGTTAATAAGGACATCTGGACAACATGCAGCTGGCCAATGGTTAAAAACTAAAACGGCTGAATACTCACAGGTGACCATAGACAGGAAGAACTCAGAGCTGGGCAGTGTTTGGTTGAGCTCAGTGCAGGCGTAGACCCCAGTGTCTTCTTCCTCCATTTCTCCAAGCTGCAGACCACACGTCTCTGTCAGGTTCAGTCTGCGGGGGCTAACTATATGATCTATATAATCATCAAAGTATGGAGACATGAACTCGGTGGAAGTTGGTGGGGCAGAGATGGGGGAGTGAGTTTGGTTATCTACAATGATATCGTTCTTATTGTGGGTCCATTTGATGTTGGAGCAGGCCTTTAAAGAGGCATTTCCACAGGGCAGAGTGACCACATCTCCAGATTGGACCACCAACATCTGCTGTCCTTCTGTCAGATGAAACCAAAAGAAAAACAGGGATGAGTGATGCTAAACAAAAAATGAGTTGCTCAAAAACGCTAGCAATTACTAGAAACTTGCAGGTAATCATTTCATTTCATTTATTTATTTGTTTGATCCAGGTACAACAAAATTCAAAAAACAATAACCAATATAGTGATATGTACATGAACATATTTGGGACCAGGTGCTCAAAAGGAGTAGAATGAAGTTTAAAAAACTTACAGTTTATATCACCTTTGGAGTGACTACCTGTCATTATGCAGAAATATACCCAGATATGACCAAAAATATATCCACACGTACATACATACACACATACATACATACATACATACATACATACATACATACATATATACAGGCACACATATACATGTACACACATATGTACATACATACATATATGCATCACAGATATCCAGTACATATACTCAATATAAATGTTTATACACATATGCATAACACACATATACATACATGCAGAAACATATTTTAGTTTATGGTCGTACATACTAATAATAATGTTATCGTAGGCACGAAGTTTATCGTTTATGATCGTACAAAATAAACAGTAATGAGAATGAAAATTTTAAGAATTGGAATTTTGTTTTCGTTTATGGTCGCACAAACTAATAATAGAAATGACGTAGGCACAAAAGTTTATCCTTTATGATCGTACAAAATAAACAGTAATGAGTAATAATCATAATAATCTGTAGCTTTTTTCATCACATTATCAGAAAGTCCATTGCAGATGAATCTGAAAAGATATACCATTTTGTCTTACACACTAAATCCATCAATGCTATATTTGATTAAATATATAAAGGTGCAATATGTAACTTTTCTTGTGGTTTGTCTCCATGGAGATGTTTTTTCTTTGGTTGGTACCACAAGGTATTAACGGTATTATTTTCTGATCTATGTGATAATGTTGTTTTCACAAACAGACCTCGAGTTGTGTTTTGTTTCATTCACATGTTTAACACAAACCCTGTTTATTAGGGGTGTGCAAAAGTATAAAAATATTGATATATCATATCGTTTAATATGAAGATACAGTATCGATATCAAGGGCTGCTGTATCGATATATCTCCAAGAGTATTTTTTGGTATATTGTGTTAAATTATTTTGTTACAGCACCACAGTTTTGTAGTCCGATTTATCATTCACTTTGTACCATCTGGTGCAATAATAGTTTTGTTTCAGGTGTTTTGTGGAGTGGGTAAGACTGTTTTTAGTGGCAGGAGAACTCTGACCATTGACTTGCACTAGTCTAGCACCAGCGACCTCTGCAAATACAAGGACTGGATGGAATATTTAAAAAAGTGTCTCCACATGTCTCCAACACTCTGGATCACTAGGAAATGAGGCCCTGTCTAAAATTCCTAACTGTATCTTTAAAAAAAAAAACAGATTCAGAACCAGGGTTATGGATCGAAGCATTGCTGTGAAAAGAGTTAAATTATGGAATCGTCTTGACAAAGAAATAAAAGAATCGAGTACAATAACCGCATTTAAAAAACACATAAAATCAAAAGCAATGTGGAAATGAGACCCTATGTCCAAAATTCTGAACTGTCCCTTTAAATTATTAAAATCAGGACTAAAACCAGGACTAAACCAGGTCTAAACCAGGACTAAAACCAGGACTAAACCAGGTCTAAACCAGGTTTAAACCAGGACTAAACCAGGTCTAAACCAGGTCTAAACCAGGACTAAACCAGGTCTAAACCAGGTTTAAACCAGGACTAAACCAGGTCTAAACCAGGTCTAAACCAGGTCTAAACCAGGACTAAACCAGGACTAAACTAGGTCTAAACCGGGACTAAAACAGGATTTAACAGGACTAAACCATGTTGTGTGGACCATGTCTCCTCCTTTTCTATCAATAATATTTTTAATTTGGTTCAGTAAAGTCTGGGTTTTTTATTGTCTTTTAGCAGACAAAACTTCTTATGTTATGATTTCCTCGTCTTTGCTTCTCTACAGCAAATCAAGTAATCCAGAAGTTGATTTTGGTGTAGCAGGACTCACCAGAGATGTGCAGCAGAGAGAGCAGAAGCAGAGAGCAGACGGCGGACATTTTGTCTTCTCTGCGGCGACTGGAGAAGTGAGGCCTCACACACTGATAAAAATACTCTTCAAATGTATCTGAACTCAAATCAGACATCGTCAGGAGGAAACAGCCAAACGGAACTGTACAAGCTTGAGTTTCCATTGGTTTATCTTGATTTTAGTGGTTTTGGTGTTGATGTGTTAAATTAAAATGTTTTACAAATATAAAAACAGTGCAATATGGGCCCTTTAAGTATAATTTATTTCAAATAATTTACGCTATTTTCTGATCTGTGTTATAATGTTGTTTCCTCATCACACATCATCACTATTTTTGGAGCAGGGGCCCAGAGTGAACTTCTATGTGTTTTGAGGATTTAACCAGTGGTGTAAAAAGCATCCACTTTTCGGATAGTTATAAAATAGAAACATTGAAAGATCTGGAGAGGAACAGTACAGTGCAGGACTATGTGAATGTTCCTCTAAATCTATTTTAAATCACAGTTTAATCCTTTTGAATCCTTTACAGTTAAAGGTACAGTGTGTAACTTTATGGATGTGGTGCATCACCTGCAAGATTCCATTGAAATTGTAAGTTATAACTATATTTTGGAACATTCTCCATGAAACGTTTTATGCCATATTGTGGAAGATTACCCAAAGGAACAACATTTCCATGGACACAAACAGGAGGAGGCCCTTCACAGTTACTCAGAGAAATTAAAACAACCAAATTCAAATAGTTTTTTGTTTGTTTGTTTGTTTGTTTTTTTTCAGTTTCTTGGCTAAAAAGTTACAGACTGTGGCTTAAAGTGAAATTATAATGTAACTTTCTAAAACTCACTCAAATGTTAAAGCTGCATGGTGTAACTTTTTGTAGAGGGTCCGTCAGATGCTTCTCTCCATGGAGAGTTTATTGCTTTGCATGCAAAATCGGGCTTCAATGATTAATCTCCGCATGTCCAAACTATGGCCTGTGGGCCAAATGCGGGCCTCAGACAAATTTTTCTTGGCCCCCAAGCTTCCAGGTGACTTGGCCCAAATTACTTGCATCAATGAAAAATTTACTTTTTACTCCAAGATTTTTGAAACTCTACCTTGATAAAGGGAATACTGAATATTTAGTGTGGGTTTTAAGGATCTTAGCAAGAATAAAGACTGATGACTCATTCTAACGTGTAAAACATGCAGATATTTCAATTATTCACTGTATTGAGCACCAGTCTATGGCCCTCAATCGGCCGTCTGCTTTGTCTATGTTTAGAAATGTGGCCCTTGATGACAAAAGTTTGGACACCCCTGGATTAATCAATGAATTGTGACTAGTCAGCTATAAAGAATGTTTGTATTTTGATCATTAAAATCGTTCTCTGGACTATACAAACTCAAACACATGTGCCTTTATATAACAAAGACAGTGGCATTATTAAATTAAAATGTTACAAAATAAGAAACCATTTCTCATTTCCCCAATTGATACACTTCATTTTAAATATTGTCCAGCTAAAGGCCTTCAGTCATTATATTTCAACTTTTATTTGGCAAATAATGTATTTAAAAAGTTTCAGTGTACAATAGACTGATCAAATAATGAATCACTGACTGGTCGACTACTAAAATAAATTTAAGTTGCAGTTTAACGCACACAATGCAGAACTCCTCCAGCTACAGTCGTCCTGACCGAGCCTGACTCCAGATCTGAACATGGCGGATTACTTTTACAAGAGTAACTTTTTAACTCTCCTGTTATGTTTACTTGTCAGGTCAATTTGACCCAGTGCATGTTTACTTATCCAAAAGATGTCTGAAACCAGAAAAATCCAAACAAGTTAATATTTAATTACTAACTGCATTACTAACTATTCTATCAATATTTAGTGCAATGGTGTTCCTCACCTCTAACAGGTCAAGGTCCAGTTGTGATAATTCACTCATTTTGCATAAAAAAATGTTTTTCTTTCTTTTTTTTTTTATGTTTCACCAGTTTATTACTTTTGAAAGATCAACATATATACAGTGTTGGGAAGTAACAGATTACATGTACTGGAGTTATGTAATCAGAGTACAAATTATGAGTTACTGTTTTAATGAGTGGTAATTGGATTACAGTTACTTTGTTGAAATAAATGGATTACATGGTGGTGTTTTCCTGTTTTCACATTTTGGGCTAAACCAGGACTAAACCAGGACTAAACTAGGTCTAAAACAGGACTATAACAGGACTAAAACAGGATTTAACAGGACTAAACCATATTGTGCAGACCGTGTCTCCTCCTCTTCTATCAATAATATTTTTAATTTGGTTCAGTAAAGTCTGGGCTTTTTATTTTCTTTTATCAGACAAAACGTTATGATTTCCTCGTCTTTGCTTCTCTACAGCAAATCAAGTAATCCAAAGTATTCAGATTATGTTACTCACTTTAAGTAATTTAATGGATTCTGTTACAAACTACATTTTGGTGTATGTAATCTGTAATCTGTAGGGGAATACATTTTAAAAATCACCTTCCCAACACTGCATATAAAGCACAATAGTTTTACACAACAATGAAACATAACATTTAAATTTTCTTTTACACACACGCACTGTCTGTGAACCAGAAATGAACAAACTCACAATACAACAACACAACAAACACACAGCAATCTCAATACAGTGGTCTCTCGTTTATTGCGGGGGTTACGTTCTAAAAATAACCCGCAATCGACTACATCTGCGTCTAGTCAACTTTATATTTTACAATTATTATATCTGTTTTAAGGCTGTAAATCCCCTCATCACACACTTTATACACTTTTCTCACACAGGACAGTTACAACACTTTTTATATCCTTCTTAAAACTTATTGCTGCTGTCGTCCTTTTGTTATTTTCCTCCTTCTTTATTCGTGGAGCTGTTAAGGACCAAAAAAGTGCCCAATTGTTCACCTTTATGTTACAAGCATGAAACTTTGCCAGATTATTAACATCCCTAGGACCAGTGTTGGGGAGTAACAGATTACATGTACCGGAGTTAAGTAATCAGAGTACAAATTATGAGTAACTGTATTCGGTTACAGTTACTGTTTCAGTGAGTGGTAATCGGATTACAGTTACTTTGTTGAAATAAATGGATTACACAGCGGTATTTTCCTGTTTTCATATTTTGGGTTAAACCAGCACAAAAACAAGGACTAAACCAGGATTACACTCAGGACTAAAACAAGGACTAAAACCAGGTCTAAAACCAGGTCTAAAACCAGGACTAAAACCAAGACAAAAAAAAACAGGACTAAACCAGGACTAAAACCAGAACTAAAACCAGAACTAAACCAGGACTAAACCAGGACTAAAACCAGAACTAAACCAGGACTAAAACCAGGACTAAAACCAGGACTAAAACCAGAACTAAAACCAGAATTAAACCAGGACTAAAACCAGGATTAAAACCAGAACTAAACCAGGGCTAAACCAGAACTAAACCAGGACTAAACCAAGACAAAAAACAGGACTAAACCAGGACTAAAACCAGGACTAAAACCAAGACAAAAAAAAACAGGACTAAACCAGGACTAAAACCAGAACTAAAACCAGGACTAAACCAGGACTAAACCAGGACTAAACCAGGACTAAAACCAGGACTAAAACCAGAACTAAACCAGGACTAAACCAGAACTAAACCAGAACTAAACCAAGACAAAAAAACAGGACTAAACCAGGTCTAAAACCAGGACTAAAACCAGAACTAAACCAGGACTAAACCAGGACTAAACCAGGACTAAACTAAGACAAAAAAACAGGACTAAAACCAGTATCAATATCAATATCAATATCAAGTTATCCAAACTATTCAGATTACGTTACTCACTTTAAGTAACTTAATGGATTACGTTACAAACTACATTTTGGGGTATGTAATCTGTAGGGGAATACATTTTTAAAGTCACCTTCCCAACACTGCCTAGGACCAACATTTGTGGATGTGGAACCAAGCCCAAGTCGACCCTGGAGCCGAGGACTGTGCATGTCACAAAATGGCTGACATGGAAACGAGGCAGGGAGCTAAATTACTGCTTAAACCATCTTTTTTTGGAAAATAATGTTAAATTATCATATAGGTTATAAAGAAGAATATGTATCAAAATACTAGCTACTGCAAAGCAGTTTTCAATGCTGTTTTTAAAGTGAACGTAAGCATTAAACCACAACAAGAAAAAAAAAACTACTACTAAACTAATGGTGTTTTTTAAAGGTACATTGTGCTACTTTTCTGGTCTCTGGGGAGATGTTATTGCTTTGTCTGGAATGTTTAACTTTCTATTTTCATGGAGACTAAACAAGGCCAAGTTCCAGGTCAGATCTGTGGAGAGGCGACCCCGCTCACACTCAGAATGCCTCTTTTTCTAGGTATGTTTGAGCTATAAAACCTGCACTTGTAATTTAATACATGTAAAGTAGAGCTGTTTAATGTCACACTGTGGAACATTCCAGGCAGAGCACTGACATCTCCATAGAAAAAAAAAGTTACACGGTGCATCTTTAGTAGTGTTATTTGCTGTTTCTAGTGCTTTTTTGTGTGGTAATTTTAGAGCAAACTAGGTAAATCTGCAGAAGAATTGTGGCCATACAGTCAAAGCCTGATCCTGTCAAATCTCAGAAGCTCAGCAGACCGGGCCTGGGTAGGACTTGGATGGGAGACCACTGGAATTTCCAGGTGCCACAGGGGGGTGCCAGTGGCAAAAAAACTGTCATTGTGTCCTTAGGCAAGACACTTCACCCACATTGCCTAGTATAAAAGTGGTGTGTGTGTGAGTGATGGCAGTGGCCGGAGGGACTGATGGCACAGATTGGCAGCCTCGCTTCTCTCAGTCTCCCCAGGGCAGCTGTGGCTACAGTAGTAGCTTACCACCACTGAGTGTAGAGTGACTGAATAATGAACTGTAAAGCGCTTTGGGTATCTTGGAAGGTGCTATATAAATGCACCTTTCAAGATACCCAATTTGCAAGTCTGTGTAGTTTTTTTCCCATGATGCTCTGGTTTTGACTGGACAAAAGGTTGTAGATTACGAGTTGTCTCTGATGTCCCAGATAAATGACACAGGGAAATCCTTCATCTCTCGTTCGAAGACTTTGTCAAACCTTTCGTTCTGGGAAACAGTGAAGTGGTTCTTCCAGTCGCCAATAGTTCCTAAAAGAATGACAGAAGTGATATATTGTGTTTAAATATGTTGTGTTCACATGTCGTCACAACATTCAAGTGAGGAACAGAACTTCAGACAGAGCAGAGCCTACAGTTAGCATCACATCACCAGGGAATGAAGAGTTGGTTCTTCTTCCCATAATTTCACATAAACATATATATATATATATATATATATATATATATATATATATATATATATATATATATATATATATATATATATATATATATATATATATATATATATATATATATATATATATTGATGACATCATGCTGAGGGAAAATCTATTAAAAAAGTTTGGCACAATTTACAACATTACAAGAAATACATTTTTGACACTTTATTGTTTCACCCAAATAAAGGTGTTTTATTATATTTTAATTTGTCAAATTCCTGTGTACTTTAGAGACGTTTTGGCTCAGTGTACAACAGTGTTGCTTGATAAGTTATGGAACTAATGTCATGATTTCCAACTAGGATTTTTTTTTTCATCTAAAAAAATTGCCAAAGTGGAAGAAAAATGTAAGATTTTGAGGTTAATATATAAAGATCTTAAGTGTGTTATGTGAGTAAATGAGTCATAGGCACTTTAAAAGAACCTAGGCCCATACTCTGTGAAGATATAGACTGTCTAATAATGCAGGATCACTCAAACATGTGTGAAAGAACCAAAACACAACTTCAGGTGTGTTTTTAACATGGCCAAAAGCCACGGACCTTTAAAATTAGATGAAGCCAGGTCAGAATTCTATGGTGGGATTTGCTGTTAAACCGTCAGTTATTCATTCACGATTGAAGAGGTTGTACCTTTCCTCAAGAGGCTGCCCTGGGTACTGTCCAGCAGTATTGCCATATTTTTATAGTTGGCCTTTGGATTCTGCTTCATGTTTTCAAAGGTGCTGTGCTTCACCACGTTCTGCAGCTCATCCTCGGTCAGTTCTATCTCCAGGAAGTCTGCAGTCTTCTTCACTGCAGATTTGAGGTCCTAAAACAACAAAAGATACTTTTACCACAAATAAAATTAAACAACCTGGCCTTCTCTCTGGTCTCAGAAATTTGTGAAAAGTGCTCATCAGAGCATTTTGAGCTTTAGAGATGTAGACAGAATAATAATAAAGAGTTACTCAAATGTGTGCATGAAACAAAACACAACTCTGGGTATGTTTTTGATGAGGTAAAAACATTCTCACATGACTTTGAGCTCACAAGAGTCATTTTTCCCATAATATTGGACCTTTAAATATAATAATATTAACTACATTTCAGTCAAATGTGCAATATCTCATTTGCGCTGTAAAGTTTAAAATGTGTTTGTACAGTATAATGAGCCACATTTCATGTGCACTTTTTCCCAAATAAAATTTCATGTTAAAAATGGTAGATTTTTCTTACCATGATCATTTCTTCATAAGTGATGAACAGCATGTTCAGCTCATCTCTGTGAGAATACCAAGTCTTAATGTGATCAAACCAACTTCCTGCCATCACTGCAACAGACGCACAACAGTCACATTACAAACTGACAGCTTAAACTCAAGTTGTTTTCTTATTTAAAAGACCTGTACACGTTTTTGGTTTTTTTTTACATTTATTTGAACAAAATGTGTCTTGCATCAGTATAGATCTATTGTATATGCAGCCCTGGGGGAAAAACATGTAATAGGCTACATTTATATGATGACGGTCTTAGTAGAAGCAATTAGAAACAGTAAGGGTGAGCTTTTGTGGATTCAAGAGACTAGTCTAGTCTACCTAGTCTGTCCTGTAAGCAAGACAGACAGTGGCACATTTTACAATATAAACTAACTATAGAATTGTATTTAGTACCTTCTCCATTTAGGAACTTGTCAAAAAAGTCATCAAAACTCTTGGGCGTTTCCAATATTCTGCCTATTTTGTGGAAATAGTAGTAGGACACGACAATGTCTTTGGGATTTCTGGCCACATAGATCACCTGAAATACACAACATCACAGCATAAAACAACAAAAAACATACAACAGAAAAATGAAACAAAAACATGAAATAAACACAAAATAAAAAAACAGGATCCTGCAGCGTGGGTTAATATGATTAAATATGTTTTAAGAGCAAAATGAAGAGCCTGACAGCAGCAGTTATGGAAAGCATGTGGTGGACCATAATGAAGTAAAAGTAGTAAAGTACTGGACTTACGTAGTTTTTAAATTTGATCAAGTATTTTTTTTATTCTGGTATCTGTATTTTTACTTAAGTAACAAAACTGAGTACTTCTTGAGTCTATAGTAACAATAAATACATTACGACCCAGGTGGGTCCAACATATTAAAAGGCACAGGAGTCAAAAGGGTTACAAAAGTTAAATAGTTTTCTTTTTAAGTTAGTTACTTTAAAGAACGCTGAAACTCCTCCTGTGCCCAAAAACAAAGTAACAACAGAAAGGTGAACCTGGTCAACCGGCCAAACAGAACAAAAGGGTGTGACACCGGCTTCTGCGGCCCTGTACGGGGTCGGCCCATTGCTGACATTGCTAACCTGAAGAAAAAAACGTCCCAAACTAACTAATAAAAGGCGAAAACAGAACACAAAAGGCTAAGTGCAGCTAACAGCAGGCCTGGTGTGGTCTGCACCGAGCAGCAGCCAAAGCAGTGGAGCATGCAAGGCGACAAGCACGTGCCCCAGGTGCACGGAGGGAGAGGCGGTGCGCGGAGGCGGTGCGCGGAGGGAGAGGCGGTGCACGGAGGGAGAGGCGGTGCGCAGCGAGCAAGGAAGTGCAAGCACAAGGGGGCGCACCACAGATACGAGGTTTATTTACAGTGTGACCAGCCACACCACAAAACACACAAATATAAACTACACACAACGTGATGCACAAATGGGCACCAGCACCTAACAGTCATGCTTTAAAATTCGTTATACCACAGTCAGTGAGAATTCCGGTGTCTAATTGGTCCTAGGCACGGGCCGACAGGGCAGCCGCCCGGAGTGGCAGCCGCCCGGAGTGGCAGGCCCGACAGGGCAGCCGCCCGGAGTGGCAGCCGCCCGGAGTGGCATTTTGTGGGGGGCGGCATGAGCGCTAGAAAAAAATAAAATTAAAAATCCATTTTTCTCACTCTTTATTGCTGAGGGAGTTAGTGATCCCGGGGGGTCAGTGTAGGACCACCACTGGTAACTGGTAAACACATCCTCAACTGAATGTAGGGACGAGCTCCATTTAAAACCATGACATAACTAATATTTGACACATTTTCATACAGTGGACAAACTTTTCAAACTCACAGATGAGACATTTCAGTTTATAGCCGTGGTATAATGCTCACAGGCGTGTGCGACTGACCTTCCCCTTCTTTTGGCCGAGAGCGGTGGGCATCATGTCGAAAAGCAGGTGGGACAAACTGAAGCGTGGAGACTCTGCATTGATAAACTTCTGGACCTGTTGCCGCACTTCAATCCAGCTCATCAGTTCAAAATTTGAATACACGGACCTCTTACAGACGGACTCGATATCGCCTTTGGACAGGAGCAACAAGAGGATCTGCTGCATCCAGGAGGTCCCTGAACACACCACAGAACACACACAAAACAGTCATGGAATTAAACAAAAAATTCTTAAAGATAACTCTGTGATTTTTGCTGTCAGATCACACTGTGGGCATTGAGGTGGACATATTGCACTTGTGTCTGCTATATCGTTACAATCAATGAGGAAGTATGTGCAGAGAGGGAAGTCTGGGCCTTCCTCCCCAGACTGTTGCCTTCAAGACCGGGCCCCGGATAAAGTGGAAGAAAATGGATGGATGGGGACGTCTGGTAATTTGCAAATTACCGCCCCACCTCTGTGTTACGTGCAAAGCATTCGCACAGGTTAAGCAAAGTTCGTAAATGACTCTATTTGACTGACTTTGACACAGAGATTGAAAGAAGAAACGAAAAGAAAGTGATAGAAAAGGCGCAATTACAACAGCAAACACTGAGATGCAGATTCGCACGGGACTAGTATTATCACAGACATCTTTGGTTGGCAAATTATTACAAATCACCAAAGGTCCATATGTCATATTTATCCTGTGTGAATAGGGCTTTACCTGATTTGGGGTATGTGACGACAAACACGTCCGAGTCTCTGATCTCCAGGTCCCTGATCTGCTCTATCTCATGAGGCAGATGAACGTCCTCGACCAGCGGAAAGCCGTGGTATCGCCACAGAGCCGGATTCGTGTCCCAGTCTAAAGAGGAGGAGGACATTTAGAACAACATGGCTCTGTGGTTCATTTGACTTTACAATAGGGTTATCCAGACACAGATAAAAAGCTGCAACTAACGATTATTTTAGTAGGCAACAACTCAGCGTTACATTTTTCAGACAATTAGTATATTTGTATTTTCTATTTATAATATTTCTATGGTACACTGACACTTTTTGAAAACATTTTTGACCAAATGAAGGTTGACGGTGACTGTGAGCCTCGTAATATAAGGAGTAATATTTATGGATTTAATAGTTTGAGCGTCAAAGTACTTTAGGCATGATTCCATGGGATTACAAAGTGAAAACCATACTTCTCCATGGAGATAAATATGCCCTACTGTGGAATATTATAATTATAGGAAAAACGTTTCTATCAAGACAAGCAGCAGGAGCTAAATAAGAGAGAGGTTTGTGGAGATGCAAGCCCACTCACTGTAAGGATGCATGTTTTTCACTGCTATTGCTATAAACACAACCATAATGAAAAAAACATGCTTTTATTTTAGTCTGTTTTGGCCAAAAAGTGAAATACTGTCTCTTTAAATAACATTTTGAGCAGGTGGTACAGTATGTAATGGAGCTGTACATTACAAGTGGAATCAAGCAACAGCTTCTCTTTGTTCCCGAGGTTTAGGTTTTTCATCTCTTCTACCATGTCTCCAAAAATCAGCTGATCCAACTTTGTTCCAGAAGGTGTTTCTCTGTGTACGTCACTTGAATCCACCTGGAAAACACAGAATAAACACAACAAATCTAAATTTTGTTCAACTAAAAATTGCTTGTTGTAATGAATCCAGAACTTTCTGTAACTTTCCGATCACTACTACTCAACATGTGCAGTAAAACACACTTATGTGTATATTGTATGATTTTATGCACATTTTCATCTGTGTTTGCATATGTAATGTTGTTTCCTCATTGAAAACATACCCAGGGTCGTACGTAAAACTGAAAACACCCTGTTCCACATTGTGATGTCATTAAGTGGTGATAGAGGTGTTTTTAAACTCCACACACCTTCACAAGAATCATGTGAATAATTTCAAGCCTGGAATTACCAAACTTTGAAGCTACATTTATTGTTTTTGCCTTGTTGAAACGTCTTCACTTCTTGGCACATCAGAAGACTTTGCAGACTTTCTGTAGCCGTTTCAGCTGAAAAAGTAAAACGAAAACAACTTATGGTTATTCTAATGTTTTGACGAGTAAATCAGTTCAATTGAGGTTTAAAATAACGCAACTATTAACTTTAAAATTACCACTTGATGACATCACAACGTGAAACACAAGGTCCTAATAATCCAGGATGACTCAAACATGTGTGAATGAAACAAAACACAACTCCAGGTCTGTTTTGATGGTAACAACATTCCAACATGACTAAAGCTTACAACATTTAACCATTAGTGAGTTTATAGACACCAACAAATCAAATAAAACTGAACAATCAAAACTGATTCAGGCAGGTTTGTTTTGTGAACTTTAATGTTTAGTTTAGAATGTTCTGAATTTGTGGTTTGCGTTTTGGAAATGGTCATTATGGACGTCCATCCCACCCAAGAACTGCTCATCCTCACAAAAATATAAACAATAAAACAAAAACGACCCACAAGTAACGACATGGACTTGTGCTACATGTGTCCAATTATCCTACATCTTTATAAAGTGGCAGTAAATCAACATATTCCAATGATGAATCTCCAGAGTGAGGGGACAGGCTGCTCGCAGCGAGACATCGAGCCTCTACACCAAAGTTTAGGAACATTATAGCCTACGAAAGTTTTTTTCCAGGAGACAGACGTTCTGTACATCTGCTAGATAACTGCAGATAAACAGAATAAAATGTAGAAACATTTACAATCACAATCAATGACAGCTGAATTATTTACAGTCAATGTGGCTAGGCTATATTAACCTTACGTAATTATGTTTGTTAACCCATTCATTGAGTGGGTATATGGGCACCTGGGCTGGCAACCATTTTGTGTGCTGTGGTCCAAGACAAAAAGTATCTGATGAAGGCTTTTTTTGCCGAAACGTTATTTTGTTAATAAAATAGTATTTGGACATCGGCCAACCGAGTGTGCTATGCATTTTTTCACCCTGATCTGGCTACTCCTTGCATTTGCACCTCTGCAGGAATCTTGGTGTGCGTTTTCTGTTTCTGTTTGTTAACCCTCATAAGCCGCTGTATAATGACCATTTGAAATAGTGAATGGCAGTAAATGTCCAGATAAGTCAACAGATAAAGAAAGTAGCGCTGTTACCTGTGCGTGCGCCTCCAGAGTCCTGCAGGGACCGCGGGCTGGCGCGCACCTTTAACCACGTCCAGCACGCCCCGCCCCCTCCGCGGATCTTTGTTTGCAGAATCTGCGTGAAGTTGGGCCCCATCAAACACAAACCTGCAGCAAAACTATGTCAACCGTTTCTGCTCCGTTTTTGCTGCAAAAACGTTTGTTTGTGCTGTTTTAGTTTTTAAGATATTAACAATTCTTTTATAGGCCAAACTGGGGTCAGCCAGTCCCCAGGAAGCTTAAAAATGCTCTAAAATGGTGTCAATGTTTGTGCTTCACTTGTGCTGTTTTGTGCTGCAAAAAGTTCAATTTCTGTGATTCTGGTTCTTAAGATATTAGCAGTTTTATTTTCATCCGATGACGTCATCCAGCCCCTCAAAATGTTAAATAGCCTCAAAACAGGCAGAAAATTATATGAAAACTTTGTATTTAGTTTGTGCTGTTGTGATTTTCATTTGTGCGAATTTATTTCTAAAACTATTAAGTATTATTTTTGCGGTAGGCCAAAACTGTACATATACTATATATGTATTATATGTAGGCTATATATACATATGGTATTATAGCCCACACACTGTAATACCTTAAAACATTTTATTGGATCTTGTGTTTTAGTGTTTTAGTTAACATGTAGCTGCTTAGCCTCTGTGATGTCTTTGCACTCTTGATATTGGAATTTTTTGAAGTCTGTGAAAACTGAATGGAAATGTTACTTGCAAAACTGGAGCGGACTGGACAAGACTTTTGAGCAGATAGATCAGACAGATAGATAGATAGACAGATAGATAGACAGACAGACAGACAGACAGATAGATAGATAGACAGACAGATAGATAGACAGATAGACAGATAGACAGACAGACAGACAGACAGATAGACAGACAGACAGACAGACAGACAGACAGATAGATAGACAGATAGATAGACATAGATAGATAGATAGATAGATAGATAGATAGATAGATAGACAGATAGACAGACAGATAGATAGACAGACAGATAGATAGACAGACAGATAGATATATAGATAGACAGATAGACAGATAGATAGATAGATAGATAGATAGATAGACAGATAGATAGACAGATAGACAGATCGATAGACAGATAGACTATCGTCTATCTATATCTAGTCTATATATCGATAGACAGACTATCATCTAGATCTATCTAGACAGAGATCTAGACTAGATAGATAGATAGATAGATAGATAGATAGATAGATAGATAGATAGATAGATAGATAGATAGATAGATAGACAGATAGATAGATAGACAGATAGATAGACACACTTAACTGATCCTGAGGGAAATGAAATTTTGGTCAACAACAATGAAACAAATTTAATAATATAGAGTAAAGTCCATCCTGCTGATTTCTCCTCTTGAGGTTTGGTTTTAACTGTGGTCTACAAACAGTGGCCTCAAGGTTTACCCAGAATGCACCACTCTCTTTCAAGGAACAGGGAGAGACAAAAGACATTTATTTAGGTAAACAACACAATTAAAACAGTATAAATAAAAGCTTCATATTTGTGCTGAGATGAATGAGGATCTGGTCACGGGATCCGCTCGGCGTGTAATGTCTTTGAATTCAAAACACAAACCTGTCAAAAGAAAACAACAAGTGTGAGTGATGTTACATCAGAAGAATGTTCAGCAAAAAGCAGTTAGTCCAGAGACCTGTTTTAGACCTGGTTTTCACCTGGTTAAATCCAGTTTTAGGCTTGGTTTAGTCTCAGTTTAGACCTGGCTTAGACCTTGTTTACTCTGGTTTTAGATCTGGTTTAGTTCTTATTTAGATCCGTTATAAATTCTGTTGTGGATATAGTTTAGATTTAGATGTTTAGATGTTTAGATCTAGTGAACTAAGGTAAAAGGTAGCCCTTAACATGAAAGCTACCACTGCATGACATCACAAGGTGGAACACCTTCAGTTAATAGTTTGAGCTTGTAGACAGATTAATAATAAAAGGATTACTTAAACATGTGTGAATGAAACAAAACACAACTCCAGGTGTTTTTCATGAGGTAATGCCGTTATAACATGACTCAAAGCTCACAAAAATCCATTTGGTGTAATATAGAACTATTGTCATTTTCACAGTGGCACAAGTTATGTCGATGAGCATTTGCTCAGAGAGAAGTGAACTTGGGCCAATGTGAACATGACAGTCACATTCTGATTTGTATTAAACAGCTGCTATGAGAGCGCTTGACAGGGGAGTCTGTACAGGAAAGCCCGAGTGGGTCTGTCTGTACAGGTGAGGCTGAGTGGGTCTACAGGTGAGCCTGGGTCTGTCGGCGTTTGTTTCAAAAAGACTTTGTGAGTTCGTGCTTGCATTAAGTAAACTGAACAAAATTTTGTGTGCACTAGGGTTAGTACAGAGATAGAGTAAAATGTAAAAACGACCTCAGTGTTTGTTTACACCTGGCCAGAGGGACTAGAGTGTAAACAGAAGTTGTAGTCGTATTTAATCAAACCTATGGGTAATCAATGAGCTGGTCTGACTGGTCAAAAGTCCTCAAAATGGTGGCAAGAACAGCCCGTCTGATAATTTTAGTCTAGTCCCGTTTTAGACCTTCTGGTCTAGAACTGCTTTTGTGATTTAGCCTGTTTAAGACCTAGTGTGGTCCTGTTTTAGACCTGGTTTAATCCTGTTTTAGTCTGCGTTTAGACCTGGTTTAATCCTGTTTTAGTCTGTGTTTAGAACTGGTTTAATCCTGCCTCCTGGTTTGAGGTCTCTGGACTGATGGACATAAAAACACATGTTGACCTGTTTGTCTTGCTCAGAGAGGACGCCCTCTGCTGCCACCAGCTGGTACTGCTTGTGCTTGAGTCCAGAGGGAAACCTGCGCATCTGTCGCAGCGCAGCGTTTACCGAATCTGGCCTGAAAATTCGTCTGAGATCCGAGGAAGAACAGCCAGGATCCAGGATCAACAAACAGAGAGCTCCACTCCTCTTCTGCTCCAGCCCCACCACTGTCCGGCTGTGACCTGGACACAAATCATGAAAAAAGAAAAGCTAGAATTCAGTTACAGTATATACGCAGAGTGCAGGGTTCTATTTAAAAATGATGTTCTACATGTGTGCCTACGGTGGAATGTTCAGCAGTTACCATGGTGACTCACACAACACAACAACAGAACACAACAACACTGTCTTAAAACTTTTCTAACAGTCTGAAAACTCAAGGAAAATACAAAATAGATTTAAAGAACACATTTTCAGGAGCCTACAATCAACACAGTTGTTCATGGATCTGTTGGAGTGTTTTTTTTGTCTTGTTGTGTCTGTAATGTTTTTTGAGGGCAATTTGTTTAACAGCTGAAACTACAACCAGTGAGATCTTTTTTGCCAAGTCAACTCATTTTGTTCAGGCTTTAATCTGATCTTTTTGAACACAATCTAACATGTGTAACAGAGCTTCAGACAGAGCAGAGCCTACAGTTAGCATCGCACCACCAAGGGAAGTTGATCAGCTGCAAAGAAAGTATCAATAACTTGCTGTAGTAGAGCGCTGTAGACATTTCAGTGCTCTCTTTTCTAATCTTGACGGTAGCTAAAACTAGCCTGATTCATCAGTCAGTTTCACTTTGTGGAAATTGTCTGACTTCGCAGCATTCAGATTCGTTCGCTCAATGGTAGGCGGATACTTGGTACTTTTATTTAACCAATCGCTGCTATTTCGTCGTGACGTATGTAAAGCGCCGTTAACAGGACTAACTGGTAGTATATTAAGCTTTTCCCAAATCCCTTAGGAAAAAGGACAATAACGTCTTTCCCCTGATAAAATTCACCAAACATTCTCTTTGTTCCGGCCTTAAATCCTCTGTCTCTTCGCTGATTGGCTGGTGCCCGAACTTGCACTTTCGAGGTTGAAATTGAGCGGAGGCACGAGGTGGCACTAACCTGACGAAGCAAAAACAGCTTCCAAATGACTACTGGTGAAATCTCTAAATTGGCCCCGACTTTTAAAGGACAAATGCATTAATTCGGCTTTAAATCATCTTTTTAAATCAGCTTTTGATCACCATGGGATAAGTATTTCACATTTTCTAACTTACAATGCACATCTTTGTTTCAAGTGAGGCATTTGCGTAGCCAGGCTAGTGCCACCTAGTGCCTCTGCTCAATTTAATTTCTCTCCAGTGACTAGGTCAGGAATCAGAATACACTAGACCAGGGGTGGGCAAACTTTTTGACTCTAGGGCCACAAAGGGTTTTAAAATTTGACAGAAGGGCCGGACCAGGAGCAGATGGATGGAGTTTTTTGGTAATCCATCTCATAAGAGAAAAACATAACATGGGATATGTAGAAAATATCCATTGTTATTGAAATATCCCATAAATGAAAATCATTACAAAGCATTACAACAAAATATCTGTCTTTCAGGTCCCACGATATTTACTATTTACTGAAATTACTTTGAAAAACACTGGCTATTATCAATTTTGGTGGGCCAGATTAAGAAGATTAAAGGGCCGCATATAGCCCCCGGCCGTAGTTTGCCCACCCCTGCACTAGACGGTTTGCAAAAACCCTGTAAGCGCGAGTCCGTACACCAGCCAATCAGCGAAGAGCCATACATTCTGTGTTGGCAACGATTCCTGAGATCGGGGATTTAAAGCCGAAACAAAGAGAATGTTTGGTGAATTTTATCAAGGGAAAAGACGTTATTGTCTTTCTTCCTACGGTATTTGGGAAAAGCTTAATATACCAGTTAGCCTCATTAGCGGTGCATTACATACGTCACGACCAAATAGCAGTGACTGGTTAAATAAAAAAAGTACTCGCCTACCATCGAGTGAACGAATCCTAATGCTGCGAGGTCAGATGAATCAGCATTTGGGGCGTTGGTGCTAAACAATAAACAAAATAAACAAACGGAGTCCTTGTTCTCCCTGTGAATGCTCCACTATTAGAGCCATGCATTCGTTGTGGACACAGTTTGACTGTAGAATGAGTCTGGTGATGTTTTACAGACTTAAACAAATGTGTGGGAAAAGTCCAAAGTTTTACCTGTGACACAACAAAACTGGCAAAATGAGAACTGAGCGACAACTCAGGATTAGAGGATTAACAAGCATGAATGAAGTAAAAATACAACTCCAGGTGTGTTTTTGATAACGCCACAACAATCTAAAATGTTTAAAAACTCAAAAAGTCAATGTTGCATCATATGTGTTGTTTAATACCAGCTCTAGTCTAAATGAAAGTGGATTTTACTGCAAGTGATGTGACTCAAACCTTGGTGCTGCAGGTAGAGCGGAGGTAGTTTGGTGTGGATGATCCGAGGGGGGAGTCTGCCGCTGTTTTGACCCCGGCTGAAGTACTGTTTGACCCATTCGAACAGCCGCGGGTGTGTGTCTCCAGGACCGGTGGGCTGGTGGAAGTCCACTATACGAGCCCTGCAACGACGGTGAATAAAAGCATGTTAACATTAAAACGCCTACTGTAGATGGAGACTTATTTAAAAGTGCCACTATTACATAATTTTCCGACTTCTGTTATAATGTTGTTTATAGAAGTAGGGTGTCCAGACGTCCCTATTTCTTCAGGACAGTCCCAGTTTTGAGCCCTGTGTCCCCTGTCCCAATGGATTTATCCAAAACCATTGATTTGTCCTGGTTTTATACAAGAAATGTCCCTGGTTTCCCTATTTTTAACCAATCTGATCCCCGCCAACAGTAAAGAGAGACATACCTTGTCATTTGTTTATTCAAAATACAGAAAAGCTGCTTAAAACTGACCAAAACACAAATAAAATGTGACTATACTGACACATGTTAGTCGTGAATGGACCGAGTGTAGAACAATTTTCCTTTATTACACACTCGATTCACAATTGTATTATTACCAACCGCCATAAACAGGGGGTGTCCCAGTTTTTTTATTTTGAAAATCTGGTCACCCTACTTGTTTCCTAATCAATAACATAACTGGACTACTACTACGTAACTAGTACTACTACTACTACTACTACTAAATACTAGTCAGGCTGGCGCCACCTAGTGCCTCCACTCAACTTCATTTGTCTCCAGCGATTAGATCAGGAATTGGAATACAATAGACGATTCACAAAAACCACAGAAGTGCGAGTTCGGGCACCAGCCAATCAGTGAAGAGCCATATATTCTGTGTTGTCAACGATTCCTGAGATCGAGGATTTAAAGATGGAATAAAGAGAATGTTTGGTGAATTTCATCAAGGGTAAAGACGTTATTGTCCTTCTTCCTACGGGATTTGGGAAAAGCTTAATATACCAGTTATCCCCGTTAGTGGAACTTTACATACATCATGACCAAATAGCAGCGATCGGTTAAATGAAAAAAAGTACCCACCTACCGTCAAGCGAATGAATTCTAATGCTGCAAGGTCAGACGAGGTTTCCACGAAGTGAAACCATCTGATGAATGAGGCCAACTAAACACTAGGGGTGTGCAAAAATATGGAAATATCGATGAATAGTATCATATCTTTGTGATGATACAGTATCGATATCGTGGGCTGCTGTATCGATATATCACCAAGAGAATTTTGTGGTATATTTTACTACATTTTTTTGTTAAACTGCTATAGTTTTACTGCTTGTTTAGCAAAAGGGAACTCGTTTATGCGACACATTTGACATTTTCACTGTTTTAATGATTAAAATGTTTGTGTTTCATATGAACTTTGGACAAGAAGTGATTTAACAAAGACTTAGTATCACAGCCATGATTTAGACTTTATTTTTTATTGAACCGTATCGAATCGAAAGTGCACTGTATCGAGATATGTATCGTATCGTGGCCTATGTATCGAGGTATGTATCGTATCGGCAACTTCTTAATGACACTAAGCCCTACTAAATACTTTATAATAAAACAAGACAACACAATAATAATTATATCTTTGAGCTAAATGCCCATTTTTTTATTAATTGTGTCTTAAATAAATACAAAATGTCAAACAATATAAAGCCATTTTGTATTTCCTGGACATAAACAAGATTTACTTTTGAGAACTGCCTTTTCAAACAAAAAGTCTTTCTCTCCAGTTTGAACTCTGCTCCAAAACACAACAGACTTAGACGTAGACAAACTTTATTGATCCACAAGGGAAATTATTTGGACAAGCTTTTACTGAGAGAGGACTGTAGACCTAACAATCAAAATCACCCAACCTGATCATTGACGATTACATTCCATTAATGTCACAGCTCCAGCTTAAGGTGCGCTACGTTTAATCAATATTATTTCACATTTGTTGACAGCAGTGCTTGGTTATCTTCTTCTTCTTGTAGTTTTATCAGTTTTGCGGCTAATCCAAAGAGCACAAAGAGTCTAGACTCAACAAAAAGAGTCGTGTCTTACGCTTGAACTTTGCTTAAAATACCACAGTCCAACTAAACCCGCACGTAGTTTTCACAATATTTACATTTACCCAATTACATTTTGTTTAGTAACTTTTTAATAAATTGGTACTTCGGTCAGTACTTTAGTCTAGATAAATCTAAAATGCTACAAAAAGAGTTGAGTTAAGGTAATAAGAAAATTATACTTTTGCTGGAAATTTTATTTTAAAAATCTAAACCTCAATTAACACATTGGAGGACATGTTTCACACATTTCCAGAGAGCACCGTTTCTGTGCCGATTTAGACCTTATTTAGTCCTGTTTTACCCTGGTTTAGACATGGGTTAAGACCTGTTTTAGACCCGTGTTAGTTCTATTTTAATCCTTATTTAGTCCTGTTTTACCCTGGTTTAGCCCTGGTTTAGCCCTGGTTTAGACCTGGTTTACGACCTGTTTTAGACCCATGTTAGTTCTATTTTAGACCTGATTTAGTCCTGTTTTAACCTGGTTTAGACCTTGTTTAGACCTGGTTTAGGCCTGGGTTAAGGCCTGTTTTAGACCTGATTTAGTCCTGTTTTACCCTGATTTAGACCTGGATTAAGCCCTGTTTTAGACCTGTGCTAGTCCTGTTTTAGACGTGTGCTAGTCCTGTTTTAGACCTGTGCTAGTCCTGTTTTAGACCTGTGCTAGTCCTGTTTTAGACCTGTGCTAGTCCTGTTTTAGACTGGGACAAGACTGGGACGGAGACCAGGACTGCGACCGGTTTACAACTGGTTTAGAACTGGTTTAGACCTGGTTTAGACCTGGTTCAGTTCTAGTTTAGTCCTGGTTTAGGACTGAGACCAGGACCGAACCAGGGCCAGACCAGGACTGAAACCGGGACCAGACCGGGACCAGACCAGGACCAGACCAGAACAGAGACTAGGACTGCGACTGGTTTAGAACTGGTTTAGACCCGGTTTAGACCTGTTTTAGTCCTGGTTAAGTCCTGGTTCAGTCCATATGCGGCGCAAAAGTCCGGCATTACAGTTTAAGTCACGGAAACGGGAAACAACCGTTAAACATTTTTTTCATCGAAAACTGAAAAAACAAAGCATTATCCCTTTTTTTTTTCATTTTGTTTTTAGAGATAAATAATGAAGAAAACAGCTGTTATTCTTTCATTTTCTTTGAAAAACGAATGACCGAATGATACACGGATTAGTCCTGGTCCTGGTTCAGTCCTGGTCCTGGTTTAGTCCCGCCTCACCTGACATGCAGAGAGGTGAGCAGGCTGTAGATTTCCGTGGCTCCGATCCAGGCTCTCGTTCCCTGGAGTCTGTTGTTAAAGTGAGAGGCTCCGCGTGGATCCAGCCCCTCGCCCCAGGCCTCCTGGATAAGACCCTGCACCCGAGGGATACTGGGCACTGTCATGTCTGAAAGAAAAACAACGTTACTAAGGGCACAGTGTTAGCAGGGACAGTCAAATCAAACACCTGACATTATTGTGCATTACATGATTATATTTCTTTAGTACCTGGCAGGACAGCAGCGTACTCCTCCAGCCTGAGCAGGGAGGACAGCAGCATTTGAAAGTTCCTGTAGCCACAGCCCCAGCCTCGGTCCCCCTCGGAGGAGCAGAAGTGGTCGGTGTCTGCGCACAGCCAAACGTGCGCGCAGTCTCTGGCCTCAGACTGGTAATGCTCTGATAAAACCTTCAACACACCTGCAGAAAAGACACAGGGATTTAAAACTGGCTTTCAGATCACAGCAACAACGTCGTATCTTTCTTTCTTTCTTTCTCCTGGTTTGGTAGGAAAGTATCTGAGGTAAACACTCATCAAAGTTTTGTGAAGAGAAACCAAAAAGTTGGAAATACAGGAATAATGTTGAGTTCTAAAATGGAATACCTCTACCTACGTCATAAACTCACATCAATTCCATCGAAAATAAAGACAATTTATGCACAAGGAAGGCTCTTTCTGAGACCACAATGGGTTTGTAGTGGGAGTACAACTGAGTTTGCCTGATTAATCAGTCGGTTTCAGTTCATAGAAACCGTCTAACCTCGCAGTGATTCATTCGCTCAACGGGAGGCTGGTACGTTTTTTCATTTAACCAATTGCTGCCATTTGGTTGTGACGTATGTAATGCGCCGCTAACAAGGCCAACTGGTATATTAAGCTTTTCCCAAATCCCGTAGGAAGAAGGACAATAACGTCTTTACCCTTGATGAAATTCACCAAACATTCTCTTTATTCCATCTTTAAATCCTCGATGTTGGGAATCGTTGACAACACAGAATATATGGCTTTTCGCTGATTGGCTGGTGCCCGAACTTGCACTTCCAGGGTTTTTGCAAACCTTCTACTGTGTTCTGATTCCTGATATAGTCGCTGGAGAGAAATAAAATTGAGCGGAGGCACTAGGTGGCACCAGCCTGGCTACAACTGAGTAGGACAGAGCAATAAAAATTGAATTGTGATCTCATGCTTTTGCTGATGTCTTAATTCACTATTTCTTTATTTTATGCATTTCAAGCTCAAATACAGACAAGTTTTCCTCACCCTCTTCTCTTATTGGTCAGCTACAGAGTGAATGACACACAGAATAAACCAATCACAGTGAATAGTGAACTCTCAAACTCCTGATGAAAAACAAAATTGCGATCTGGCTTTAAAGAAAACTGTGATTTTTAATTTTTAATTTTTTTTGACATACTGTGCATGCCTAATCACCCTCACTGTTAAAAATGAAACACCAAAAACTTGACTACAGCATAAACTCCATAAGGTTCAATAAAATTGACCGACATCAGTGAATGTTTAGAATCTGATAAGCTTTGCCGATATTTTTCAATCGATATGTAAGGCCGATTTTGATTATTTTCCTCATGTTTTATAATTTTACTTTACTTTACTACACTTTACAACTTTACGACAGACTCATTCACTGCCTTATTTTACAGAGGGTCACCAACACTGCACAGGAAATTATTGTCTGCCCTTTGCCTTCCATATCCACCATCTACAACTCCTACTGTCTCAGCAGAGCGAGGAACATCATAAAGGACAATACACACATACTTCCACCTCTTCAACCTGTTGCAGGCGCTTCAAGTCCATACCAGTCAGAACAAACTGACTCAAGGACAGTTTCTTTCCCAAAGCTGTCACCACAGTGAACTCAACTTTGCACTGAGAACTGTTTGTTTGTTTGTTATTTTGCACTTTGAAGGAGGAACTGTGCATAATGACAATAAAGGCCTTCTATTCTATTCTATTTTTAACATAAATCCATAAGACAGTTGTGTAGTCAGGTTTTTATGTATTCAGAGTAAAGTTTTAAGCATATTCTTTAGACAGCTGGTTGGACAAAACCAGATATTGGCCTGTGCAGGAGATTTAAAGCTGATATCAGATATGCTAAAAAGTGAAACTATCGTCCAACTGATATACTGGTCTATCTCTAAATAAAATAATATTGTTTCTGTATGTTTAACAGAGCCCCACGTCTGTCCTGTTCCCGTACCCTGAGTCCTGGTCTGGCCGTCGTCCTGCCCTGTGGCTAAAGCCTCCATCATCTCTGCTCTTTTACTGTGAAACTCGGCTGGATCCATGAGTCCACGAGCCACAGCCCGCTCCAGTCTCTGCTCCATCTGTTTACGATAGCCCCCACTGCCATCCAGGCCAAACTGCTTCTGCAAACAGCGTGGACACGGGAGAACAGTTTTAAAAAGGTGAAAAAGACTCAAAAAGAAGGAAATACCTAGATGTGAGCCATGTCCAACTTGATCCAACTATTCATCACTTTTTTAACTCATTCCAGGCATTCTAATTGTTCACTGCAATGCATTGTCTCCCCGTGCGTCCCTATGTCTCCCCATGTCTCCCCGCGTCTCCGCATGTCTCCCCGTGTCTCCACATGTCTCCGCATGTCTCCCCGTGTCTCCACATGTCTCCACATGTCTCCGCATGTCTCCGCATGTCTCCCTGAATCTCCTCGCATCTCCACATCTCCCTATGTCTCCCTGTGTCTTCCTGTGTCTCCCTGAGTCTCCACATGTCTCCCCGCGTCTCCCCGTGTCTCCCGTGTCTCCCCGCGTCTCCCCGTGTCTCCGCATGTCTCCCTGCATCTCCCTGTGTCTCCGCATGTCTCCCTGCATCTCCCTGTGTCTCCGCATGTCTCCCTGCATCTCCGCATATCTCCCGCGTCTCCCTGTATCTCCTCATGTCTCCCCGTATCTCCTCATGTCTCCCCGTATCTCCTCATGTCTCCCCGTATCTCCTCATGTCTCCCCGTCTCAGCGTGTCTCCCCCTGTCTCAGCGTGTCTCCCCACGTCTCCTGTCCCTATGTCTCCCTATGTCTCCCCGCGTCTCCCCGTATCTCCTCATGTCTCCCCGCGTCTCCCTGAGTCTCCACCTGTCTTCCTGTGTTTCCCTGAGTCCCCACATGTCTTCCTGTGTCTCCCTGAGTCTCCACATGTCTTCCTGTGTCTCCCTGAGTCTCCACGTCTTCCTGTGTCTCCCTGCGTCTCCGCATGTCTCCCCGCGTCTCCCCGTATCTCCTCATGTCTCAGCGTGTCTCCCCACGTCTCCTGTCCCTATGTCTCCCTATGTCTCCCCATGTCTCTGCATGTCTCCCCGCGTCTCCCTGTGTCTCCGCATGTCTCCCCGTGTCTCCCTGCATCACCCTGTGTCTCTGCATGTCTCCCCGCATCTCCCTGTGTCTTCGCATGTCTCCCTGTGTCTCTGCATGTCTCACCACATCTCTCTGTGTCTCCCCATGTCTCCCTGTGTCTCCGCATGTCTCCCTGCATGTCTCACCACATCTCTCTGTGTCTCCCCATGTCTCCCTGGGTCTCCTCATGTCTCCCCGCGTCTCCCCCTGTCTCAGCGTGTCTCCCCACGTCTCCCTGTGTCTCCTGTCCCTATGTCTCCCTATGTCTCCCCATGTCTCTGCATATCTCTGTATGTCTCTCCGCATCTCCCCGTATCTCCTCATGTCTCCCCGTGTCTCCCTGTGTCTCTGCATGTCTCCCCGCATCTCCCTGTGTCTCCGCATTATCTCCGCATGTCTCCTTGTATCCCCGCATGTCTCTCTGTGTCTCCCCGTGTCTCCCACTCCTTGTCTCCATGTAGAGCAGCAGTTCTGATCGTACTGGCAACTAACTTTATAAACTAACCAAAACAGCACAATTTTTGTAATATTTTATCACAAAATGAAACTGAGTGAACTGAGCTGCTTACACTGACACGAACAAATCATTTACAGATCACATACGGGTAAAACAATCTGATCCTTTGACGCCCTAGAAACTGTAATTAGATGAAACTGTAACATAAACTTAATGTTCACGCGCTGCTTTCTTTAATAGAATTCTGTAATTGTTTAACAGAGTGTCATGATCCAAAGAGAGAAAGAATATGTTTTAAACTTTAGATTTTAATAACCAATGTCCAAAATGCAAAAATACTGCCTCACCTGTAGCTTCTTGAACTCTTCTTTCTCCGTTCTTGCCTCTTCCTCTCTCCTCATCTGCTCCTCCTCCTCCTGAAGCCTGCGGGCCAGTTTAAGGTCTGAACCAGGACTCGCTGAGAAGAAACCGGATAGAAGAAACTGGTATTTCTACGTTCTAGGATATGTATGATGGCCCAGCAATGTAGGATCTAACTCACCGTTTACAGAGGCCCCGGGCTCTAAATGTAATTCCACATGTTCCTGAAGAGAGAAGCTATCGGAGCAAGCGACAGAGCACATCGGACACTGGAAGCCTGGAAGAAGAGTGGAAAAAGAACTGAAAAAACACTAAACCAAGAACAAACCCAGGACTAAATCAGGACAGTAACAAGACTAAACCATGACTAAGGGCGTAATCAGACCAGAAAAGTGCTAAAGTCTGCTTGTTTGATCCAGATCGAATGTGAACTTTTATAGACTTTTATAGATTCAGTTCAAAAACAGCAGGTTGTGGTGCGGCGGCAGGTGTCTGCGCCAGAAGAAACCACGGACCAAGAGTGCACAGGAACACACGGTTCAGTTCGGTTGGATCAGGCCGCTAGCCAAAGCCTCCACTCAATTTCATTTCTCTTCAGCGACTAGGTCAGGAATCGGAATACACTACTAGATGGTTCACAAAAACCCTGGAAGTGGGAGTTCGGGCACCAGCCAATCAGCGAAAAGACATATATTCAGTGTTGGCAGCAATTCCCGACATCGAGGGTTTAAAGCTGAAACTTCTTGGAAAGTCCTGCACTCGGTGTCCACTTTCCACGGTCAACAGTCAAAACGATCGTCCTTTAAGAGCTTTTGGAAAGAAACAAGTCTTCATTTGTGCTGTTCTGGTGGGAGGGGCCACGCACAGAGGCGCTGGAGACGCTGCTGTGATAAACACCGCAGCGAATTACCAATATTTTAATAGAAAATATAAATTAAATCTTTTAGTAGAAAATCAGCCGAGGGCCAGATTAAAGGTCTTGGAGGGCCCCGGGCTGTATGTTTGACATCCCTGCACTAGACGGTTTGCAAAAACTCCAGAAGTGTGAGTTCGGGCACCAGCCAATCAGCAAAAAGCCAGACATTCTGTGTTGTCAACGATTCAATTCAATAAAGAGAATGTTTGGTGAATTTCATCAAGGGGAAAGACGTTATTGTCCTTCTTCCTACGGGATTTGGGAAAAGTTTAATATACCAGTTAGCCCCGTTAGCGACGCATTACATACATCACGACCAAATAGCAGCGATTGGTTAAATGAAAAATAGTACTCGCCTACTGTCGAGCTAACGAATTCTAACACTGCGAGGTCAGACGGTTTCCACGAAGTGAACCCGGCTGATGAACCAGGCTATCGGGCCGCTTCTCTGAACAGGGGATAATTCGCTCCATTTGGCTTTAACAGAGCATCAACACGAAGGACCGTTAACGGGACAGACACGTGGCAGCAGAGTTACAACACACTCCTTTTCGAGTTCTTATAACTTTTGTTCCCCAGAAGAATGGACTTTATCTCGAACACATGGGACGCATTTAGGAGTTTGGTTTGTGCGTCCTGTTCCTGCTCTTTCTCCATATTCATAAAGATAAGAAATATAAATTAAGGCAGTCATATTACGTGTGTTAAATGGTCATTGTATTTCACCGTTTTGGTGGATTGCACAGCCTTTTCTCTTATGATACAAGACAAGAGCCAGAAAAACGGCCTACGTGAGGAATGTATCTTTATGCAACTGTATTTAAAGTCAGGTAATTTTCACCTAGAATTATTATTGTTTGTCTGGAATGTTTCACAGTACGGTATTAAACCTTTCCTTCTTTATGGAGACCAAACCAGACCAATTACAGGTCAGATCTGTGGAAAAGCGACCCCACTCAGTCAGGATTCTAATTTTTCTAGGTATTTTTGAGCTATAAAACTACTTGTACTTTAATAAAAATAAGATAAAGCTGTTTAATGTCATACTGTGGAAGTTTCCAGACAGAGCAATGACATGTCCACAGAACAAGCAGGTGACCCCCAACCAAAAAGTTTACAATGAGCTGGTTTTTGTGCTGTACCTTGTGCAGTATACGCAGGATCCAGATGCAGCTCCACGTGTTCTTGGAGGCTGAACGAGTCGGTGCAGACACAGGCACACATGGGACACACAAACCGCCTCTCTGAAACAACAACAAGAGGCAACTGCGATTAGATTTGTGAAGTATGTTTTAAAAAAAGTATTCTGTTCCAGGACAATTTACAATAAAACTGAAATTTGAACTGACAAACTAATACAAGAATTATCATTGTACAGATCTAAAATACAGGTTTAGCAGTTTTTATGCAGAATAAGAAAAGAGTTTGTTGTTTGTGGAGAAAGGTATGGTATTTGTGATTTTAATTAGAGCAAAATAAACAAAGGTCTCAATCAGGGAGTACCTATACAGCAGACAGAGCTAAACACACAGCATATTCTAATGTAACACCACCTGTTTCAACAGCTAAACTTATTTTGTGGCTTAATTACAGCACTTAAATAAAACATATGAATGGAAAAAGTCCAAACAGACGCTTCCTCCAGTGAGTTCCATATGACATTTGCGCCCTCTGCAGGCGACAGTGGGAACTAACCATGTCAAAAGAGAATAAAGGAACTTAACAAAGTGCGATTGAGCGTTTTCTGGTGATCACAAGGAAATATGCTTTACTCAGATCCGTGAGAATAACACCAATGGGGGCACTGTTCTACGTTTATCTCTATTGGGGGAGTGTTCAGCAGTTACCATGGTGACACAAATACAGACAAAAGATTTAAGATCTGAAAACTCAAATACAAAACTAATTTAAACTTTAGACTTGTTTAAGCGCACAAATCATTTCTCTTTTTATGGTTCCAGCTAAGTTTTTTCAGGTCAGATTGTGTTAAAATAAACATTAGATTAAGTCAAATTTGTGTTTCTAACAGAGCAGTGCCTTCAGTTTGCATCACATCCCCAGGAGATATTGATGACATAAACTGCAAAGTAATGTCCACTGCATCCCACAAGAGCTGCAGTAAAGTTACAACCTTATAGCTGCATTCACACTTGCATCAAATAGGGTCTAACCTGGGATTAAACCTGGAACTAAACCATAATTAGAACAGGACCAAATTAAATCTACATCAGGACTAACCTCAGACTAAACCTGGACCTAGGCCTGTCACGATAACTACTGTATCGACTTATCGTTCAATATAAGATAGGTGGGGCTCAAAAGTTATTGGGTGTACTTTTTATTTGTAATAGTGGAGAGATTTTTGCTAGTTTTATGCAATAACTTAGAGTAGAACAAATAATTATTACACCATTACTTTTCCGATCTATGTTATAATGTTGTTTCCTGATCAAAAACATACCTGGAGTTGCACCTGCATATTTAGGCTGAGCTCTTCTCTCAAACAGAAAGCACTCTGTTCCACCTTGTGATGTCATGTGGTGATAGAGGAAGTGCTCCACTGTGCTTTTAAACTCCATATAAATTTCTACAATCATTTGTGATGATTTCAGCCCTAGAATTGACAATCTCTACTGAATTAAAAGATTAAAAGGAGCTACTAAACTACTACTTCATGACATCACAAGGTGGCACAGAGCATTTGAGGTTTGGAGATGTAGACAGACTCTTAATAAAGGGTTACTCAAAATGTGTGAATAAAACAAAACAGAACTCTAGGTCTGTTTTTGAGGAGGAAACAACATTATAACATGACTTAAAGCTCACAACAGTCAATTTTTAAAGGTATACTGTGTAACTTTTTTATAATGAGCCAGTAACCTTGTTGTTTCTATGGAAATCTCATTACTCTGCTTGGAATGTCCAAGAGTATGACATTAAACAGCTCTACCTTACATTTTTTTCAATTACAGGTGGTTTTATAGCTCTGAAATGCTTAGAAAAACAGGCATTCTGACAGATCTGACCTGTAATTTGGTTTGGTCTTCATGAAGATAGAAAGGTTTAATGTCATACTGTCAAAAATTCCAGACAAAGCAATAACCCGTCTATGGAGAATAGCATTTGACGGACCCTCCACCAGAAAAGTTTCACAATGAATGCCTTTAACTAATCCAGAACCTTTAATACTACAGTACTGCCTATTCAGAAATTGCAAAACTGGCACAAGATATTTTCAATATGATCTCGTATCGCACTGTTTTTTGTACCAATATATCGTGCTTCAAAATTTGTTATTGTGACAGGTGTGCGAGGACCAAACCAGGAGCGTGAATACAGCTTCAGATTTCTCAGGTTTTTCATCTCATTTTCAGATTTATTACCTACTTACTAGTTCTGAAACTGTTTAATCTAGTCTAGAGGTCGTTTATTTTAAGATAATTTGTCAAGTAAAATTATCTTGCTGCATGGACAGACTACTTTCACTACTTTTAAGTCATTTTCTGATAGATTTAAGTGTTTATATCTTAAAACTTGTCAGACGAAGAACTTCAAAGCCCCTATGATGAGTGTGCCTCGCCCGGAGTCAACCCTGGAGCCAGGCCTGGGGTTGCTCGCCAGCGAGCGCCTGGTAGCCTCCCCCATCAGCCCGAAGGAGCGACGTGGGGCCGTCCTCACGTGGGCCCACCACCCGCAGGAGGATCCATATGGGGCCGGTGCAGAGAGATTGGGCAGCAGTCGACGGCGGGGGCCTCGGCGACCGGATCTCCGGACATGGAGACTAGCTCTGGGGACATGGAATGTCACCTCGCTGGGGGGTAAAGCCTGAGCTTGTGCGGGAGGTTGAGCGTTACCGACTAGATATATCGGCCTCACCTCCACGCACAGTTTGGGCTCTGGAACCCAACTCCTTGAAGGGGTGGACTTCCATTTCTCTGGCGTTGGCCGCGGGAGCGGCGGCGGGCTGGTGTGGGCCTGCTCATTGCCCACAGCTCAGTCGCTGTGTGTTGGAGTTACCCCGGTGAACGAGAGGGTCGCGTCCCTGCGCCTTCGGGTCGGGGACACACTGTGGTGTCGGCCTACGGGCCGAACAGCAGTGCAGAGTACCCGGCCTTCTTGGAGTCCTTGGGAGGGGTACTAGACAGTGCACCGACACTCCGTTGTTCTCCTGGGGGACTTCAACGCCACGTGGGCAACGACAGTGACACTTGGAGAGGGGTGATTGGGAGGAACGGCCTCCCGATCTGAACCCGAGTGGTGTTTTGTTATTGGACTTCTGTGCTAGTCACAGTTTGTCCATAACAAACACCATGTTCGAGCACAAGGGTGTCATAAGTGCATGGCACCAGGACACCCTAGGCCGGAGGTCGATGAATCGACTTTGTCGTCGTGTCATCTGATCTCCGGCCGCGTGTCTTGACACTCGGGTGAAGAGAGGGGCTGAGCTGTCAACTGATCACACCTGGTCGTGAGTTGGGTTCGCTGGTGGAGGAGGAAGCCGGAAAGACCTGGCAGGCCCAAGCGTGTAGTGAGGGTCTGTTGGGAACGTCTGGCGGAGCCCTCTGTCAGAGGGACCTTCAACTCGCACCTCCGGGAGGAATTCCGGGGAGGCTGGAGATATGGAGTCCGAGTGGGCTTCATTCTCGGCCTCTATTGTCATGCATGGAGCTGTGGGCGAATCGCGGCGGCAACCCCAGAACCCGGTGGTGGACACGGAAGTAAGGGATGCTGTCAAGCTGAGAAGGAGTCCTATCGGGCCTTGCTGGCTCGGGGACTCCTGAGGCAGCTGAAGGTACCGGCGGGCCAAGCGTGCTGCAGCCCGTGTGGTCGCGGAGGCAAAAACTCGGAGCTGGGAGGAGTTCGGGGAGGCCATGGAGAGGACTATCGGACGGCCTCAAAGAGATTCTGGCAAACCGTCCGGCGCCTCAGGAGGGGGAGCAGCTCTTCACCAACACTGTTTACAGTGCGGGGGAGAGCTGTTGACTCGACTGGGGACGTTGTCCGGCGGTGGAAGGAATACTTTGAGGATCTCCTCAATCCCATCACGTCCTCCGAGGAGGAGGCCGAGGCTGGGGACTCGGAGGCGGACTCATCCATCACTGGCCGAAGTCACTGAGGTGGTTGGCAAGCTCCTTGGTGGCAAGGCTCCGGGTTGGATGAGATCCGTCCTGAGTACCTGAAGTCTCTGGATGTTGTGGGCTGTCTTGGCTGACACGCCTCTTCAACATCGCGTGGCGGTCGGGGAAGTACCTCTGGATGGCAAACCGGGGTGGTGTCCTCTGTATAAGAAGGGGGACCGGAGGGTGTGTTCCAACTATAGGGGATCACACTTCTCAGCCTTTAAGGTCTATGCCAGGGTACTGGAGAGGAGAATCCGGCCGATAGTCGAACCTCGGATTCAGGAGGAGCAGTGTGGTTTTCGTCCTGGCCGTGAACACTGACCAGCTCTACACTCTCCATAGGGTGCTCGAGGGTTCATGGGAGTTTGCCCAACCAGTCCACATGTGTTTTGTGGATCTGGAGAAGGCATTCGACCGTGTCCCTCGTGGTGTCCTGTGGGGGTGCTCTGGGAGTATGGGGTCCGGGGCCCTTTGCTAAGGGCTGTCCGGTCCCTGTATGACCGGAGCAGGAGCTGTGTTCGCATTGCGGCAGTAAGTCAGACCTGTTCCCGGTGCATGTTGGACTCCGCCAGGGCTGCCCTTTGTCACCGGTTCTGTTCATTGTATTTATGGACAGAATTTCTAGGCGCAGTCAGGGGCCGGAGGGGGTCCGGTTTGGGGACCACAGGATTTCATCTCTGCTGTTTGCGGACGATGTTGTCCTGTTGGCTTCATCGAACCAGGACCTGCAATGTGCACTGGGGCGGTTTGCAGCCGAGTGTGAAGCTCTTCCAAGTCCGAGGCCATGGTTCTCGACCGGAAAAAGGTGGCTTGCCCTCTCCGGGTGGGTGGGGAGTCTTTGCCTCAAGTGGAGGAGTTCAAGTATCTCGGGGTCTTGTTCACGAGTGAGGGAAGGACGGAACGTGAGATTGACAGGCGGATCGGTGCAGCTTCGGCAGTGATGCGGTCGCTGTATCGGACCGTTGTGGTGAAGAGGGAGCTGAGTCGAAAGGCGAAGCTCTCGATTTACCGGTCAGTCTTCGTTCCTACTCTCACCTATGGTCATGAGCTCTGGGTAGTGACCGAAAGGACGAGATCGCGGATACAAGCGCTCGAAATGAGTTTCCTCCGCAGGGTGGCTGGGCGCTCCCTTAGATATAGGGTGAGGAGTTCAGTCACACGGGAGGAGCTCGGAGTAGAGCCGCTGCTCCTCCACGTCGAGAGGAGCCAGTTGAGGTGGCTCGGGCATCTGTTCCGGATGCCTCCTGGGCGCCTCCCTCGGAGGTGTTCCGGGCATGTCCCGCCGGGAGGAGGCCCCGGGGAAGACCCAGGACACGCTGGAGGGACTATGTCTCTCGGCTGGCCTGGGAACGCCTCGGGGTCCCCCTGGAGGAGCTGGAGGACGTGTCTGGGGTGAAGGAAGTCTGGGAGTCCCTGCTTAGGCTGCTCCCCCCGCGACCCGGCCCCGGATAAGCGGACGAAAATGGATGGATGGATGGATCTTAAATTTTGGCCAAGCTTTTTGTAAAACCAGGTACTGTTTAGTTAGTCCTGCTTCAACTCACCTTTCAACGGAGAGCTCATTCTTTTCTTCTTGTCCGCTCCACCTGTAGTTTCACTGTTGTGCTTCTTAACTTTATGAATGTTCTGTCTCAAAGGACTCAAACCTGAACTGTCCAAATTCATGTTATTATTATTACCACATGCTTTAGATTTGACTAGAGAAGGACTAGAGGTAGATGAAATGTCACTGTCTGCACCGCTGCAATCTGAAGACGCGAATAATTCAGGACTTGGCAAATATTGAGTCAAATCTGGGCTAGATGAGGACTCTGGACTGGCTTCGTCTCTTTTCGTTCTCGTGGGGGTCTTGTTTTGGTTGTCGGGGTGTGCGGAGTTGATGTGAAGGCTCAGTTCGTCGTAGGAGACCCCGGACAGAGAGCAGAGGGGGCAGTGCATGTTGTTTTCCAGGTGGCTAAGTAACAGGTGAGTTTTCAGGTCCTCCTCCAGCAGCAGCTCCTCACCGCAAATGTCACAGGTCAACATCGTGAAACCTATAAACACAAACACAAAAGATAATATAATGCATTTATATTGTATTACCTCACTCAAGCTCTCACAATAAGCTTCTGTTTCTACAAAGACGAACACTACAGTGACTCTTAGTGGTCGCTTGAGGTCATAACCGGCTCTTTTGTTGCCATACATGAGTGTTGCTCGCTGCTAGGGCTGCAAGGACGAGTCAGCAATTCCTTTTTCAATTAGTCAGCAAGTCTAACAATGATTTATTTTGCACAGTGAACACTTGGAAAAAAAAAAAAAAATGACCATAAAACAATGTAAATATGGTGACTGAAGGTTTCTAGATAGAGAAACTTCCAAATAAGGAGTACTTTGATGAAGACAATTGTTTCTTCTTTTTTGGTATTTTCCAGAGGTGGGACCAAGTCGTCATTTTGCAAGTCTCAAGTAAGTCTCAAGTCTTTGACCTCAAGTCCGAGTCAAGTCCCAAGTCAAATATAGGAAAGTCCAAGTCGAGTCTCGAGACACTGGCCCATAAGTCCAAGTCAAGCCCAAGTTGTCTGCTTTGAGCTGCAAGTCATTAAAACCAAAGTACCTTACATTTTTGCAACTTATATGAATTTTAAACTAAACATGTGTTTAAAAAGTCATGGTATATTTTATTTATATACAAGTCTTTCTATAAGTTGCACATTTTTCCTTTTTAAATGTCTTGTCAAGATCTTAGTGTGAATCATTACGGTCAGAATAGAAAGTCTTCTCAAGTCACAGGGCTCAAGTCCAAGTCCAATCTATTTTATCAAGTCCTAAAAATAGTGACTCAAGTCTGACTCGAGTCCAAGTCATGACTTGCAAGTCCCAAACTCTGGTATTTTCATTTAATAATGCCACTGCCTTGTTATAAAAAGATTTGTAGAATGTGTTTTGAGTCTGTGTATTTCAGATCCAGAAAAAAAATAAAAATAAAACTCTGACGACTAGTCACAATTGGCCAATTAATTATTGCAGCTCTACTTGCTACCAATTAAATCAGGACTTCACAGCAGTTTTTATGGGTAATTTGCTCATCAGCTTGTGATCTGAACCCTATGGCAATAAACACAGACCTAATTTTCTACCGTTCAGCCTCCTTCACGCTCTGAGTGAGTGAAAGGTGGATTTAACCAATCACAGTAAAGTAAGAACTCTCAAAAGAAGCAGATAGTTATCATTAACTTTCAACATTAAAGCAACTTCGTGTACATAAACTGTGACCAAATCGAGATCAGAATCTTGCCTCTGTTCTATAAAACTGTGATCATACCTATACTTTTTTTTTTTTTTTTTGGCATATCACTCTCCCCCAAAACAAGGCATAACAAATAAAGAATATTTCATTAATGATTTGGTTTGCTTCCTGCAGAATACAAACACACTTTAAAAATGTGTATAAAAACACAGAGATTCCAGTCTTGGTTTGCAAATGAGTAATGTCATGTGCATAAAATAAATGTTTACCAGTCTAGTTATATTATTATTTCATTATTAGAAAATAGGAACTACAGTAACTTTAAAATAATAGCTAGTAAATGAAATGTAGGCGAAGATATGAAGAAAAGCTCTACACGTTTGGAATATATAAACGAATGTAGATCAAACAAAAGCATCTACGTTATTTCAAGCTTTATATCGTCATTTTTCGAGCTAAAATCCACGAAATCTGTTGTACTAAAGCCGCAAGTGACATAACGCTGTTACGCGAGAACAGAAGAGCTGCAGACACAAAAACACAAACCTGCATTTTAAACACTTTTACCACAAACATCAACGATAAATATCTGTGGCATTGTGATCGGAATGTACTCACGGTTGATGAAAAGCGGAGGACTCGGTAAAGTGCGTTTTATTCGCAGAGAAATGTGAGTTTTTGTTTCATTTCTCTTTTTGAATCAGCTCGTAAATAAACCGCACTTCTTCGCTTCGGCGCAGAGGGCGAGGGGAGAGCGCAGCGACACCTACTGGTCACAACGTAGAACTGCTACTTTGAAGAAATAATTTTACATTTTTTTTATTTAACAGATCCACTTTGTTTCCAAGAAATTTTGAATTATATTTGAACAGAAATTATTTTCAGGCCAATTTTACATATTTAATCTGATGTGTGAGCTACTGTGTCTAATTTCCCTTGTGGATCATTAAAGTCTGTCTAAGTCTAAATCTAAGTCTAAGTTAACCCTCTCAGGCTCAAATTAAATTTTAGTAACAGGAAAAAATCTGATATTTGGGGAAAATGATCATATGGGGTAGTAATATACAATCCTGACTTTTTTTTTTTGAGAGAGAGACCTTCACATCCAATGCATTCTGGGATGTTGCAGATTTGGTCTGGTGTGATAAATTAACACTGAAGACTGAAAATGATATGAATGCTAACTTTATGTGTATACCACTTTTCATAACAATGAAAACATAAAGCACAGTGTAACAGCTTTACAGTGGCAGAATAACATCACTTTTTCGTGTGGTGCTCCAAGAAACAATTTTTATCCTTTGTAAACAACAAAAGTACTTTGCACTTCTGGCAGGTTGTTTGTGTGTAGCCGTTCTTGCACAGTCTGCATCGTCCACGTTTATCAGCATGGATGGGAAAAAAGGTTCCTGAGTAAAAAAAAGCTCATAAAATATGGAGTTGGAGTAAGTAGGTAATTGGCATTTAGCTGTTGCAAATCTACAACGCCTGCCTGGAGAGGGTTAATATTAATTATCGCATCATGCATCATTAGAGTGACCAGACGTCCCTATTTACCTGGGACAGTCCCAGTTTTGAGCTCTATGTGCGCCGTCCTAGCAGATTTATCCAAAACCACTGATTTGTCCCAGTTTTTTTCCAAGAAATGTCCCAGGTGTCCCTATTTTTGACCAATTTCATATCCACCAATAAAGAGGGGGACTTTATATTTGTATATTTTTATATTTCTTTAGCTAAATTACAGAAAATCAATGTTTGACCATGAGGCAAAAAATACATTAACAGAAATCCCTCGACCAAAGTAAGTCAAGAATGGATATTGTAAAGCACTTTTTTCACACTTTCATTTTCTTTAAACAAACCATCCCAACCCTGGTGTGTCCCAGTTTTGAATTTTGAAAATCTGGCAAAAGGAGAAATTCAATTTGTCAACTGGCCAAAAGTTTATTTGGGTGTATGGTATAAAACTTAACTATCTCCTGTGGGTTTTAGCAGTTTTAACTTTCCATCATAATGTTAATAGATGTTTATTTAAGCATTGAGCACAGACATACTTTCAACTCAAACCTCCAAATCTGCAGCAAAGTGGATACTGAATATGACATAAGACATAAAATTCAAACAGTAGCTCTGTTGGTATTGTGGAATTACCAAAAAAAAAAAAAAAAAAGAGGGGGGGAATAGCCCAAAATGTGAAAATAGGAAAATACCGCTGTCTATTTATTTCAACAAAGTAACTCATTAAAACAGTAGCTGTAACCAAATACAGTTACTCATAATTTGTACTCTGATTACGTAACTCCGGTACATGTAATCTGTTACTCCCCAACACTGTCAAGCAGGTATATAGGACTACCAAGTTACAGGTCAGCTCAGTGGAAAGGCAAAACCAAGGTAGGAATGTCTGTTTTTGAACAATTAAAACAAACTACTTTCCAAAACATCTCTAGAAAAGTTTCACAGTGCACCTTCAACTTTAATTTATCTGACTGCTGCATGGATTCCTCTGTCACCTCTCGCCTTTGGGACAGGGTTAAATAAACTCCCGCTCCTCTGAGGTTTTGTGCTTTTTGCGTCTAATTAAATTCACAGTGATTTTCCCTAATGATGCTGAAACAAGATTAACTTTGAGAACAGACGTAATTATCATACGAGCGTCTCTTCGTGAAAGGGGCAGCGCCAGTGGATTACAGGTGGGATTAAGTCGGGACCAGTGTTTGGGAGATTAGGCCAGATTAGGAAAGGGTGGAGGCAGTTTTACATGTTTAATCTGAAAATGGAAATGGGTGGTTTTCCAAATGGCCAAATGTCCCAAAATGTAATTGAATGTAACAAGTGTGCTTTGTCGAGGAGTTTTATTTTACCTGGGAATGTTTGGGAAAAATGGTGTCCTCATTTTGGGGTTTTTGATGATCCAGTGTGACTGAAAATGAGATTATTTTTTTGGTTTGGGGTCCGTCACCTGCCTGGAATGTTTCACAGTGTATTATTTATTCAATTAAAGGTGGTTTTATAGCTCAAAAAAACAGGCTTTGTGACTGTGAGTGGGATCGGTCTCTCCACAGATCTGACCTGTAACTTTGGTCTGGTTTGGTGGAAATGTTTAATCTCATACTGTGAAACATTCCAGACAAACCAATCGCAATAATTTGATGAATCCTCCACCAGAAAAGTCACACAGTGCTCCTTTAAAGTGCATAAGACAGCAGGTTTTAATATTTTTTCGAATTATTACTTTTTAAAATGGGATTGTGTTTGTAGTAATTTACATTTCTCATAGTTTTACATCAGTTAAGTGGGTTCTTGTGTGGAAAAGTACAAAAACACAAGATGTAGCGCTGAGTTTGACAACAGAATATACTGTATGTCACACACTTAGACTGTATAAAGAAGTGGACTAAGGCTCCAGTCAAATGAAGCTCATCGAATCTTACAGTTATAGGAGCAAATCTGGAGTCAAGTCTCATATTAGGAAGAGTGAGTGATGATGAGGAGCAAAAAGAGGAGCCAAACTGCAGAAGTGAGGGATATAGAGATGACACTTTTTCCATACAAAGTGAAACAGAGTCGATGGAACAACAGTAATGCTGTGAAGAAGAAGAGCGTGAGTAGACTCTAATTCCTGAGAAAGTTCAGGTCTGTATATAATATTGTGATGTGTGAGCTACTGTGTCCAAATAATTTTCCTTGTGGATCAATAAAGTGATAATAATGCAGGGACCATTTACATGCAAGACATGTTTTTTGTAGTTTAAAGATGAAAAAAATAAAGATGTCGTCATTCATTGTTTTAGCCTCATTATTGTGTAAATTACACAAGTGTTGGCGTTTATAATTAACATTTTGGTTGCTAGTTATGGAAGAAGGTGTACTGTATCACACCACATCTCCTATCTTCTGCTTATCCAGGGCCGGGTCGTGGGGACAGCAGTGTACGCAGGGAAACCCAGACTTCCTTCACCCCAGACACGTCCTCCAGCTCCTCCGGGGAAACCCTGAGGTGTTCCAGGCCAGCCCAGAGACATAGTCCCTCCAGCGTGTCCTGGGTCTTCCCCGGGGCTTCCTTCTGGTAGGACATGCCCAGAACACCTCCCGACTCAGGCATTCAGGAGGCATCCAGCATAGATGCCCAAGCCACCTCAACTGCTCCTCTCAACGTGGAGGAGCAGTGGCTCTACTCCGAGCTCCTCCCGTGTGACCGAGCTCCTCACCCTATCTGTAAGGGAGCACCCAGACACCCTGCGCAGGAAAGTCAATTCGACCGCTTGTATCTGTGATCTCGTCCTTTGGATCATTACTAAAAAAAAAAAAAAGTTTCATAGTATGTCATAACAATGATCATGTTTTACTAAAAGATTTCACTCACCTCATCAAGTCAAATGCCGGACTGAGATGTTCTTTAGATGTTGTTCTATAAAAGTCCATTACAGAATTACATTAAACTATAAAAACACCATGAAAAACAAAGTGAGCTTGTTTTCCTCAAGTCAAGTCAAAACAATAGAGTAAAGCAGACAGCGTCCTCCACCAGAAAAGTTACACAGTGCACCTTTAATAATCTGATGTTTCCGTGTTGCCCTTGACCCGTGCGGTGGGTGAGGCTGGAGTCGGTCCAAGGCTGTTATTGATCTGAGCTGTGAGTTTGAGCGGAACAATCGAAACATGAACAGACCACTGCACCGTCTGTCAAATCTGAACACGCTCCTCAGTAACACTCTGCACTTATAATATGAGAGTGTATGGTCATTTTTAGATTATAAAACTTTTCACAGTACGTACATGATGAAAGTTGTTGTCGTAAATATATCTGAAATGTTTTAGTGCACTTTAAAGGTCTCATATTATGTCTTGCTGTGTCAAAATGTTGTTACCTCCTCAAAAACAAACCTGGAGTTGTGTTTTGTTTCATTCACACATGTTTGAGTAAACCTTTATTATTAATCTGTCTACATCTTACAAGTCTACAAGTTTACCGCTACTTTTTACCTTTTGTTCTGTAGATATTGTTAATTCCAGGTCTGAAATCAACCAAATGATTGTTTTTCAGTTGAGAGAAGAACTCGGTCTAAGTATGCAGGGTTTGTGTGTTAAACATGAAACAAAACACAACTCCAGGTCTGTCAGATGAAGAAAACCTCCATCATTTGCTGCAAAGAGCACCAACTTCACTGAAAAAAAAGGTCGCTGGATTTGCGTAAAAAAGTTCATGGACAGCGGTTGCATGCAATAAAATTATGTTTAGGCTTTGAAACTTATTTTGATCCTCTCTACACATATTTTTCTCAGAACATGAACGTCACTTTTTCATGTTGATGAAATTTGATCAAATCATGCTGAATATGCAGATTTATCTTATGTTACCTTATCATGAAATGTATAAGTCTGTATAATTTAATTTAACTGATCTAATACTGTAAAATAATACAAAAACAGTCTTTAGTTTTTCACAGTTCTGTAATGTCTTAAACAGAATCAAACACACACAGAGCACAAGTACAGAGACACACAGTTTGGAGCTGGACAGTGTGAAGATTTATTCCAGTGAAGAAGCTCTGGTCTCTGCCTGTGGACACAGAATAAGACATGATGATTATATTCTGATGATCTACTCTGTTGTACATGTTTAAATACATTTAAAGCACTTATTACTACAATAATGGACCAGAACAGAATCACAAGAACATTAGAACTGTAATCTGCAGAAAAAACTGTTTAAAATCATTTTAGTTGAGTTACTTACTTTGTTCATCTGTGGTCTGTGTTTTGTTGGTTCTCAAACATCTTCCTTTTTCCTGAAACATCAGCTGTAACATTCATGAACTTCCCCACAGCTCCAGCAGAGCTCTGGACGTCACTCTGTGTTTGTAGACGACTCTGGAAGCAACACATTCAAATCTTAGTACAACTGTCACACTCTTGTAGATGGACAGTCAAAGACAATTTGTTTCAAGGAGTCCTTACATTAACTCAAATTTCAAATAAAACACCACAAACATGTTTTAACAATGACGACATTCTAGGTTGGAGAAGCATATAAAATTTTTAAAAAGTTGACAATTGTCTAAAAAAGAAAACTTATGGATTGTAACCTTAAAAGCCACATGACATCCGGGTCTTAATGACGATTTGGATTATTCAATGTTCCTCTTTAACTTAACTTTCTTGGCAATTCTTTGATGTAGATGATGTTTTTGACCTGTATTGGTCTACACTTTGTGTTAAATGCATCTCCATGATTCCACCAGACCAAGTTACAGGTCAGATCTGTGGAGAGATGACCACGCTCACAGTAAGAATGAAAAATTTTTCCAAGGTATTTTTGAGCTGTAAAAACACCTGTATTGACTAAATGCAGGATGAATAAGTATAATGCCATACTGTGGAACGTTCTTGTCAAAGTTATAGTAAATGGTCACATTTTTATATAGTGCTTTTCCACCTCTAAAGCACTCAAAGCTCTTTGCAACAAGGATCCACTCACACATTCATACACCAGTGCGCACAGACAACTGCCAACCTGTGGGTCCGTGCATCTGACCGCTCAACCAATGATCTTTATGTCAAGAGTTGGAATCAAACCGCCAACCTTCTGATCAGTGCACTTTAAAGGTCCTATTCTCTGTCATACCTACACAAGGCACAATTTTGCACATACAACAACCTTCAAACAACAGCCACAAGCAAAACTGGCAATCTTCCCCCACCCAATCACCAACACAATATTTCAAAAAACAAGCCAATTGGAAAAACTTACCTAATACAAACCTATTAATGTGTAATTACCAATTTATTATGGTGGTACTGGATATTACGATCCCGGACGGGCCCTCAATTTGTTACGACCCGGCTCGTTGGGGTGAGGAAAGTAACAACCAAAGATGTAAAATGGAATAAATAAATAAATAAATAAACAGGGATGTAACAGGTAAATTAACAAAACAGACTAAAATATATACAGAATATAACCTAAACTAAGAAACAAAACAACAGGATTAACATACGAGTTTTGTGCCACAAAAACGGGTCAAGCAGGTTTACACAAAAACGAGTGATTTAACTAAGGCACACACACAAACTAAAACTAAAGTGTCCCAAAGTAAAACCATATAAACCTACAAACAGAATCGAGTGACAAAATAAAAAAGGCATGAAACAGAACTAAACTACAGAACTAGACACACACACAAGACAAGAAAGGAATTAAAACACACACAAAACTAGAGTCAAAAGTAACAGTCATACACTCCTCAAAAACAGACCTGGAGTTGTGTTTTGTTTTGTTCACGTGTGTTTGAGTAACTATTTATTATTAATTTGTCTACATCTCCCAAGTTCAGAATGCTCTGCTCCACCATGTGATGTCATGAAGCGGTAGTTTTCAAGTTAACAGCTCCTTTTTACCTTTTGCTCTGTAGAGATTGTTAATTCCAGGTCTGAAATCAACAAATGTGGACAAATTGTGTGTACTCTCCTCCAGAAAAGTTACAGTCACCTGAAATTATAAGCTATAGTGACTGTATTTGGACTAAGATTCCCAGCGGAGCAAATAAACTTAAAACGAGATAAAATGTCTTACAATTTGTCAATTTTATCTTAAGTTTTTATCTTTACAAACAGTCAAAATAAAGACCTACGCAATTCATGATAATGGACTGATTTCTTCGCCATTGTTACCTGTCAAAGAGTGTTGTGTATTCTTCGAAAGCTAAGAGTGAGTTTTTTTTTTTTTTTTTTTGTTATTAGTGGAGTAAGGCTTTTGTAAACAGTGATAACCAGGATGTTGTCACGTGCTGCTTTCTCTCTCTCTCTTTCATTCTCTTTCTCACACACATGCACACACACACTCTCATTCCTTTTCTCTCTCACACTCTTTCTCCACTTTAGACTGTATTTTTTAGATAAAATCCAGTCTGTGCTCTCTCTTTCTCTTTTTCTTTCATCTCTTCCTCTTCCATCTCTCTCTTTTTCACCCTCTCTCTGTTTCTCTCTCTCTCTGTTTCTCTTTCCCTCAGAGCAGGGGGAGAAGAGGCGGAGACAGGGGCACAAAATGTGGAGATGCACCTGTCAAGTTACACCAAACACACGACCACGAAACCGGAAGCTGCTACAAAATAAAAGCACAGTCAAACCTCACAGAACTGAAAGTTGGTTGTTTTCATTTACACACACGTTTGTATTTTTTTTTTGGTTGGAACATTAAACATACACAACAAGCTGGATTGTGCATGGCAATTGTTATTTCTGACATTTACTCCCTCAAACAGTGTCTTTCATACGCGTGTGGAGATCGGGAGAAGTGTCTTGCCTAAAGGCGCAGCAACAGTGTGCACCAGTCAAGCCACTGTAGCCACACATATTCTCAGAGCCAACTGGCCTTTAATCTTTGAAATTAATATTAAGGTAATAAAATTCACAAAGGCATAAACAGATCAATTAATATAGTCAGTATTATAATATTTTTTGATCTACGTTATAATATTGTGTTTGAATTGTGTTTTGTTTCATTCATGTTTAACACAAACCCTGAAAATTTAGGCTGAGGTCTTTTCTCAGGCTGAAAACACACTGTTCCACCTTGTGATGTCATGTGGTAATACAAGAAGTGCTCTATACTGGGTTATTAAACTCCATACAGCTTCACTAGAATCATCTGGATGATTTCAGCTCTGGAACTGTCCATCTCTAAAAAGTGGAGTGTTAAAATTGACTCGCACAGAATCAATTTTAACATTTTCTCAGGGTTTATATGAGTCCAATTTGTTCTAGAGTTAATTTAACTTTTAATTTACTTAATTTAGTTCCTGTTTAACCCCAATATCAAGAGTTATATTAACGTTTTGAGAGTAAATGAATAACACTTGGTAGGGATTATCTTGATTTATCTAAACAACACACAGAGGTGTTTTATTTTTACACTTTATTTTAGTTCATTTAAAATGAAATTATGTACAAAACTGGTTCAAACTGGTCTTCTCTCACGGGAGTTTGAAGTCGTGGGTGGGAGGAGTCAAATTGACACTAAGGGAAGTTGAATTAACACTAGTGTAGGGCTACATCATTATTACCATTATTTTGGTCAATATTGAAATCACAGTTATTCAAACAATTATTTATTAGTTACATGATACATTTATTCAGCATTTCTCTCTCTCTCTTTCTCAAAAAAAAAAAAAAAAAAACAAACAAACAAACAAAATATTTATTATTAATAATTTATAACTTTCAAATTGAAATTAAATATAGGCTACAAATATGTACCTATACTATAAAAACATAAAATGAATAAAATATACTTTAAATGTGAAATAAGGCAAAGAAAAAAAAATTAACCTCAAAATAATCTTTGTTAAGCTTTTAAATTGTTTCAACTCGATTATATGAGTTTGGCGATTGTTTGACACACAAACCAAAATCTCGATTTTAAAATTCGATTAATTTCGCAGAATTATACTAGGGGAAGATGAATTAACTTAAACCATATCAACTCTGGCAAATAGTTAAAATAACACTGTTTCTATTAAAAACAACTCTGAAATATGTTAACCTGAAGTTTTAACCCTCCAGTTTTTTCTGTGTACTGATCAAAACTTAAACGGTAGCTGAAAACTACCACTACGTGACATCACAAAGTAGATCAGAGCATTTTGAGCTTTGGAGGTGTAAACAGACTAATAATAAAGAATTACTCAAACATGTGTGAATGAAACAAAACGCAACTCTAAGTTTGTTTTTGAGGAGGTAACAACATTATAACATGACTTACTGCTCACAGGAGTCAATTTTGGGAGTATGATGAGTAATCCTCTTAGAAAAGGACAGTTTTATTGTTTTTTGTTTTGTTTTTTTTCTCAAATTTGAAGGTGAGATCCCCAGGAGACCTAATCTTGAGTAGCCTAGTGACAAGATATTAAAATGAACTTAATTTTTTCTATTACTGGAATAAAAATCGCATTACAGCAAAGAATCCACAAAATAAATGACTGAAGGAATGAATAAATAAACAGCCACATGAGTTTTCTGCACTTTATTGTGTCAGGAAACCGGATGTGGTTGCCGCCTCCCTCCCGTGTAACTTCTCAGTGAATGTGTTCCGTGTCTCCAGCTGAAAACACCCAGCTCTCAAGCCGTGGTCTGCAGGTTCGGTTCTCTGGCGTGTCTTGTCTCTCAGCTGTGCACTTAACCCGTCCGTTCGGAACCAAACCGTGCCAAAACCGTGGAAATATCCGTGCGTAATTTACCCGGGGACCGAGCGGCCCCCCCCCCTCCCCACTCACGAGGCTCCCTGGACGGCGAGATGACGGGATTCTGCTCAGCATCTGGAGGTAAACCAAGATGTTAATCGCATTCAATGAGCCTTAATCCACATCGGAGCTAGAGCGGCTTTTTCAGTCACAAAACCTCCGCGTATTAAGCCATTTTACGCAGCGCTTTGCTCCGTCCCTGATCGCACTACCTGTATCCAACATCAGCGGTGAATCTCAGCGTTATTTCGGCTGTATGTGCTTGTTTCCATGATGCTTTGCGCGCAACATGTAGCTCAATTTTTCTATTAGGCCTGCAAGTCATGGCTTATTGTAATGCCGCGTAAGAATCGTCCCCAAAACCGGCCACAATCAGCATTTTTTTTAATCTCCGACAGGCCGTTATTTAAAGCAATACATTTGAGCACGATGTCACAGTGTTGGGATTGTATTTAGGCCGCTGTGTGCGATATTGGATGGATGTTTGGGTGTAAAACGTGGTGGTCTAGCAGGATAATCTTCAAATGGGGACAAAATGTATTATAATAAGTGAAATGGGGAAATGACATGTACTTAACCAGGTAGCTTAGGGCAGCCACAACCTGTGTCAGTGCAGTTTTTTAGGAAATGCAACCTACTGGCACGAAAATAGCACCACTAATAAATACTATGAAGTGCTTATTTTGATTAAAGGACTAATAAGCATAATTAATTATTATTTGTAAGGATGTAACAATAACCGAGATATCGTCAAAGTTCTCACAATAATATCGTGGACCATCACAATATATCGAGTTACAAGTTTTTTTGCTTAAATTAAGAGTTATGGTGCAGCAACAGCTAAAAAAGACAGAGGGGACTACATAGACCATGATCCTTTGCTCCATTTGCAGACTACAAGAAGAAATAACAGTTCTAAACACTTTTAAGTTTTTGGATTAAGTCTTGTCAAGGCATTTTAAGAGGATAAAGTAGCAACAGTTTTGTTAGGCTCCATAAAATATCGCAATAAATATCGTACCGTGAGATGTATATCGTACAGAGATATTTTGGTATTTTTACATCCCTAATCGTGAGCCTCCCCACCATTGATATCACCATAAATATCGTATCGTGAGGTTCATACCGTGACGATATCGTATCGTGAGACTTGGATATCGTTACACCCCTGATTATTTCCTCATCAAAAACATACCCGGCGTTTTGTTCTGTTTCATTCAGATAACATGAAAACTACCGCTTCATGACATCACAAGGTGGAACCATCGTGGACCATCACAATATATTGAATTACAAGTGTCTTTGCTTAAATTAAGAGTTATGGTGCAGCAACAGCTAAAAAAAGACAGAGAGAACTACATAGACCATGATCCTTTGCTCCATTTCAGTGCAGACTACAAGAAGAAATAACAGTTTAAAACACTTTTAAGTCTTAGTTCTTTGGATTAAATCTTGTCAAGGCATTTTAAGAGGAAAAAGTAGCAACAGTTTTGTTAGGCTCCACAAAATAGATGTATATCGTGAAAATATCGTACCGAGAGATTTGGATATTGTTACATCCCTAATCGTGAGGCTCCCCGCCATATCGTGAGCTTTCCCACGATATCACAATAAATATCGTATCGTGAGGTTCATACCGTGACGATATCGTATCGCGAGACTTTGATATCGTTACACTCCTAATTATTTCCTCATCAAAAACATACCTGGAGTTTTGCTGTTTCATTTGGTTAACTTGAAAACTACCGCTTCATGACATCACAAGGTGGAACAGAGCATTTTGAGCTTTGGAGATGTAGACAGACTAATAATAAAGGATTGAACTCAAGCGTATGTAACAACAATATAACATGTCTAAAAGCTCACACAAGAGATCATTTTGTATAATATAAGATCTTTATTACAAGATTATAAATCTTTGGATTTAGTCTTTTCAAGGCATTTTAAGAGGAAAAAGTCACATATTAACAGTTTTAGCAGTTAAGCCTCCACAAAATATCGCAATAAATATCGTACCGAGAGATTTGGATATTGTTACATCCATAATCTTGAGCTTTCCTACGATATCACTATAAATATTGTACCATGAGGTTCATACTCTGACGATATCGTATCGTGAGACTTGGATATTGTTACACCCCTGATTATTTCCTCATCAAAAACATACCTGGAGTTAAAATCTAAATTTGATGTTACTACTAGGGATGTAACAGTAACGATCGAACGAATCGAATTACAAGTCTTTTTGCTTAAATTAAGAGTTATGGTGCAGCAATAGCTAAAAAAAGACAGAGGGAACTACATAGACCATGATCCTTTGCTCCATTTGCAGACTACAAGAAGAAATAACACTTCTAAACAATATTAAGTCTTTGGATTTAGTCTTGTCAAGCCATTTTAAGAGGAAAAAGTAGCAACAGTTTTGTTAGGCTCCATAAAATATCACAATAAATATCGTACTATGAGATGTATATCGTGAAAATATCGAGAGATTTGGGTATTGTTACATCCTTAATCGTGAGCTTTCCCACCATATCGCAATAAATATCGTACCGTGACGTTCATACCGTGACGATATCGTATACACCCCTAGTTACTACAGGTAATTCAGCATTTCAGACTTGGATTGTCCATAAAACATTTTAAAACAGACAAAAAACAGACACCAAATCTGCTTATTATGGATTTACTTCCCATACGTCCGTGCAACACTTTATCTCTCGCGTACCTGACACTGCTCTGCCCATGCGTTATCAAAACATTTACAGTCTTCGTTCTGTGATTCTGGTTGTAGTGTCGCTGTAGCGTGGAAGTCGGGTCAGATTCAATAAGTACAATAACTACAGTAATAAAGCTCACATGTGACAGATGCGACACTCTTTATGGTCTCTCCGCCATATGGTCCTCCGCAGGCTTCTGTGTCCAGACATCTCCCCGCGTTTACGCCCGTATGAATGAGCGCGCCGTGTGACTGATGGTCGGCGGACATCCGGAGAGGCAGTTTCCGTAGATTTGCAGACACGTTTCCGGCAGTTCAGCCCAGAGAAGCCAGGCCCACAGAATTATCTTCTCAGTGAGTTTGGGGAATGAATGAATAATGTAATGTGAGGAACTTTGAGGCCACTACGTAAATCAGAGGCATTATTAACGTGATACAGTATGTTGTGGTAAATCTATCAGGCCTATAGGGATGTAACGGTATTAAAATTTCTCTTTTGAGTTTTATTTTCATGCACAGATACAATACTGGTAGGTCTGTAACAATATCTAAAACTCTTATTACGATATTTTCACAATATACATCTCACTGTACGATATTTATTGTGATATTTTGTGTAAGCTAAACAACTAAAACTGTTAATATGCGACTTTTTCCTCTTAAAATGCCTTGACAAGACTTAATCCGAAGACTTAAAAGTGTTTAGAAGTGTTATTTCTTCTTGTAGTTTGCACTGAAATGGAGCAAAGGATCATGGTCTATGTAGTTCCCTCTGTCTTTTTTTTTTTAGCTGTTGCTGCACCATAACTCTTAATTTAAGCAAAAAGACTTGTAATTCGATATATTGTGATGGTCCACGATATTATTGTGAGAACTTTGGCGATTGTGATTTTAGAGGTGTTATTTAATGACATCTTTTGTAAGACAACCTCACTTTTTTATTACTTAGTCCTAACATAAACTATAAACTCTTACCAGTCTAACCAGCTTGTCAAAAAAATGATATTTACTTTGTTGTTGTTGTTGTTGTTGTTGTTGTTTTAAAGGAGAATTGAGTTAAGCATATTGGCCCAGCCCTCCACAATATTTTCTTTTTCTCATGTTACCCCATGGAAAAAAATTGTTGTATAATAACTAGGGGTTGTAACGATATCCAAGTCTCATGATATGATATCATCACGGCATGAATCTCACGATACGATATTTATCGTGATATCGTGGGAAAGCTCACGATATGGTGGGGAGGCTCACGATTAGGGATGTAACAATATCCAAATTTCTCGGTACGATATTTTCACAATATACATCTCACGATACGATATTTATTGAGATATTTTGTGGAGACTAAACAACTAAAACTGTTAATATGCTACTTTTTCCTCTTAAAACACCTTGACAAGACTTAATCCAAAGAACTAAGACTTAAAAGTGCTTAGAACTGCTATTTCTTCATGTATTATACACTGAAATGGAGCAAAGGATCATGGTCTATGTAGTTCCCTCTGCTTTTTTTAGTTACTGCTGCACCATAACTCTTAATTTAAGCAAAAAGACTTGTAATTCGATATATATATTGTGATGGTCCACGATATTATTGTGAGAACCTTGACGATTGTGATTTTAGAGGTGTTATTTAATGACATCTTTTGTAAGGCAACCTCACTTGTTTATTACTTAGTCCTAACATAAACTATAAACTCTTACCAGTCTAACCAGCTTGTCAAAAAAAAGATTTACTTTTTTGTTGTTGTTGTTTTAATGGAGAATTGAGTTAAGCATGTTGGCCCAGCCCTCCACAATATTTTCTTTTTCTCATGTTACCCCATGGAAAAAAATAGTTGGATATCGTTACACCTTGACAAGACTTAATCCAAAGAACTAAGACTTAAAAGTGCTTAGAACTGCTATTTCTTCATGTATTATACACTGAAATGGAGCAAAGGATCATGGTCTATGTAGTTCCCTCTGCTTTTTTTAGTTACTGCTGCACCATAACTCTTAATTTAAGCAAAGAGACTTCGATTCGATATATTGTGATGGTCCACGATATTATTTTGGGAACTTTGATGACACGATATCGCGACATTTCTAATAATAACTGCTATATGTATTCTTGACATCCTAATAAACAGTGCAATGAGTTTATAAGCTTATTTCACAATTTTTCAAGGCAAGAGCAAAAATGCAAACCTTAACAACCAACATCTAGCATGCTAACAGCGCACTTCACTGTTACTTTCTTATTTGCAGATGAATGCACCACAGGCCTGACAAACAAACTCTGGGACGCAAGAATTTTGTTGCTGTTGTTGAACGCTCAGAAACAGCAGATGGTTTTAGTTCTCTCTATGTAAAGACACTAAGAAAACATGAATCCTTATCACATCTAAACTGAGGGATGTGCATTTTTTTCCATGTTACTCACCCCCATAAACAGGACATGCCATAAGATAGATAAGACAGAAACAGACATTAAAACTATGAATAGGCCTGTTATGATTATTTATATATCAATTATCATTCAATACATGAAAGCTGGAACTGTATATTTTGGGTTTTCAAAATGTATCGTGCACATTTTCTCCATAAAAGTGGGGAGATTTGGGATGTTTTGTTTTTATATGATAAGATTTGAGCTATAGTGTGCTTAATTTAGCTATTTACTGTATTTTTCGGACTATAAGTTTCACTTTTTATCATGGTTTGGGTGTTTCCTGTGACTTATACTCTGGTGCGACTTATATATTAAAATTTTTACACTGACAGCCACAAGAGGCTCTAGTCTTGTGTGTGAGTATCTGCTGCTCCTGTTCCTCCTGTACCACTGTCACTTGACTCTACTGCGCATGTCTCCTGCAGAAAGAGTCTCTGTCCTGTCTGTATCATGTCAGTCGATCGCACCATTACTTCTGCAGCACTGAACAGTTTAACATTTAAACAAACTTATCAAGGCAACTGAGAAAACTGAACACAAATGCCCCCAAAAAGAAACTCATATTTTGCAGATTACAAGCTGCAAGTTGTGAAATCTGCAGCTGAACACGGTAATCGAGCAGCAGAAAGAAAGTTTGGAGTGAACGAGAAACTTGTGAGGGACTGACGGAAAGCGGGGATGGAGAACACAGCTTCACAGGAACCGCGAGGATGCACCATGAAATTTCCTGGAAGTCACTGGATGAATCGACAAAGCCTGAACTCCAGTGACACTGAAACCGTCCTGTCGGGATTCAGAAAGGCCGGAATAATTCTAACTGGAACTGATGCTGAGTCACAGTTGCACAGAAGAGGAAAAGACGCTCTGTTTACCTTCGGAGTTACTTAGAAGTGACACAGAGGATGAAGAATTCAGTGGATTTAGTGATTTGGAGTGAGATGGAGAGTTTGTTAAACTTGTTCTGTTGTTTATGTTATAGTTTATCTGAAGAACTGTTTATATGTGACATTAACAGCCTGTTGTTCTCTCTTCTATTGCTTTTACTAGAACTTGCCTTTCGAGATGAAATGTCGGTTCCTGGTCTCTGATTTTATCAAATAAATTTCCCCCAAAAAGTGCAACTTATATATGTTTTTTTCTTTTTCATTACACATTTTTTGGCTGGTGCAATTTATACTCCGGAGCGACTTATAGTCTGGAAAATACAGTACTGGGATTATCCTACATTATTGTTAGTGCACCAGGAACAGAAAGTATTTTTAATATTATGCTTTATCACAGTTTATGTCTGTAGCGATATATCACACTTCAAAGTTTGTTACTGTGACTGGCCTATTTATATAAAAAACACACTGTGACATGCACTTTACTTAACAGGGCAGTATTTCTCACATGATCGTGAATAATGTTTAGCCCTGTGGTGATGTGCAGTGGCTTAAAACAGCTCTGTGTGCTGTTGACAGAGGACACAGCTCAGGCCTTGGCAGCTGCACATTTGAGCTCAGCTCCATTAAAACTAAAGGCAGAGTACACAGAGCGCAGCTGCTAAAACAGGACAAACTTACACACCCCAAACAAGAAAGACAAATCACTAAGATGTAGGGACAAAAAGGGATGCCGCGAGGATCCTGATAACAATATTCAGATGATATTATGTCCAATAGAAATCTTTTTTAATGTAGTTGAGGTTTAAAGGCGCATTACATAACTTTTCTGGTGGAGGGTAGAGATGTTATTGCTTTGGCTGGAATGTTTCACAGTATGGCACTAAACCTTTCTGTCTTTATGAGGTCTAAACCAAGTTACAGGTCAGATCTGCGGAGCTGCAGCCTTGCTCACAGTCAGAATTCCTGTTTTTTCGAGAAATATTGAGCTATATTATAGTTATTATTATTATTGTTGATAATATTGTATTGTGTTTCGTATCGAATCGTGACAGACTCTGTGATTCCCAGCCCCAGTGACACTAGATGGTACAAAGTTGTGAAACCTCTCAACTAAGCCACCATCCCCATTCCAGGCTGGAGCCACTCTGCTCAATTTCATTTCTCTATAGCGACTAGGTCAGGAATCAGAATACACTTAACAGTTTTCAAGAACCCCGGAAATTGTAGACGGCGCACCGGCCAATCAGCGAAGAGCTGTGAAGCCATGACGTCAAACTGAAGCGTCTGTCTGTGTCTCTTTTGTGGAACAGCACAACAGTAAACAAAGCGGTCGAGATGGATGTAGACGAAGACAGACATTCTGTGTTGGCAACGATTCCCAAGATCGAGGATTTAAAGCCGGAACAAAGAGAATGTTTGGTGAATTTTATCAAGGGCCCTTCTTCCTACGAGATTTGGCACATTACATACGTCACAACCAAATAGCAGCGTTTGGTTATATAAAAAAAAGTACTCACCTACGGTCGAGCGAACGAATCCTAAAGCTGCGAGGTCAGACAGTTTGAATCAGGCTATAAATACGGTCCAGTTCTCGGTAAAATGGACAGGTTACACGTCCACGGCCGCTTTGTTTCTTTGAGCCTTTAGCCTCCTTGTATTTGGCTCGCAGACTCTTTATTTTTCGTTGACACTGGAGCCAGGACCGTTTGTAGCCGCGCTCGGACATTTCTTTACATTTGTCTAACCATCACCACCTTCTCTCTGCATTGTACATTGTATTTATTTGGTGCATGTAAAGACGCTGTACCTGATATTTACGGTCTTAAAAACAGAAGTAGTTCATTTTTAATCAAGTTTATTTACCTTATTTCACAATTTTCCAAGGCAAAAGTGGAAATGCAAACAACAACAATCAACATTTCTCATGCTGACAGTACTTTTTTGTTTGCAGATGATAAAAATTAGATGTAAACAGCACAATGCCGCCTCACTTTGACCCTTTTTAAAATGTATTTATATCTTTTATTACATGACAATATCTGGTAGCCGCTTTAAACGTTAATGAATTCTCTTTCTTCTTTTTAGGCTTTTCGAGATGTGACAATGAAGAACGTTGGACCTCAAACAACCCAAAGTGTCGTGGACCAAACCAGTGAAAACCAGGGCACCAAGAGAAGCCAGATATCTACTACAAAAATGATACAACCCAAATGTGAAAGTAATTGGGACAGTGTATTCAAAATGCTGAATGAGATTTGATCCGGAAGAAGAGGAGCGGTGCATTCGAAGGACACAGGATTAAATAGCGTTGTTTTGAACATGTAACAGAGGAGACGTCCGAACGCACCACAGGCCTGACGGACAAACTCTGGGGCGCGAGTATTTTGTTGTTGTCGCACACATGAGAGAACCGGAGGAAATGAGATGAGGAGGGAGATGGAGAAGAGGATCTGAAGTTGGACAAACAGCTTCTTTTGGGTTCAACAGGTAAGAACTGCGACTATTTTTTATTTTGTGTTTTTGTATTTTTTAATATAATTTTAACAATGAATTTGAAATGTGCTAATTCATGCCTCTTAATGTCTTAGTTGAGATTCAAGCCTGTCATAAAACATAAAAGTATAAAATTTGATTACACTAGAAATTTCTGTTAATTTTTATTATTTAAATTATAAACGATAAACTTCATATTCTAATTTTCATATCTCCAAAACAAGAATTGAGATAGTATCCTTTGATGCAGGGTTCCCACGGTCATGGAAATCCTGGAATAGTCATGGAAATTGAAAATAACATTTTACAGGCCTCGAAAAGTCATGGAATTTTGTAAATTCAATGAACGTTTAATAAAAGTCATGGAATTTTATTTTCTCTTTCTCACAACTACAGCATTCTGTGAATCATTAGACTATTATGATTATGTCCGAACGTTTGCGCCTTTTATTTAGAAGAGACAATAAAATGCACTGACAGTATTCTGAATGTTAAAAAATATATATATAAAACGTGATACTGTATCGTCAAAGTTCTCACATTAATATCGTGGACCATCACAATATATCAAATTACAAGTCTCTTTGCTTAAATTAAGAGTTATGGTGCAGCAATAGCTAAAAAAAAAAGACAGAGGGAACTACATAGACCATGATCCTTTGCTCCATTTCAGTGCAGACTACATGAAGAAATAACAGTTCTAACACTTTTAAGTCTTAGTTCTTTGGATTTAGTCAAGGCATTTTAAGAGGAAAAAGTAGCATATTAACAGTTTTAGCTGTTTAGCCTCCACGAAATATCACAAATATCATACCGTGAGAGTATATGTATATCGTACCAAGAGATTTGGATATTGTTACATCCCTAATCGTGAGCCTCCCCATCATATCGTGAGCTTTCCCTCGATGTCAAAATAAATATCGTGCCGTGAGGTTCATACCGTGATGATATCGTATCGTGAAACTTGGATATCGTTACATCCCTAATACCAAACCATAAGGTGAGTGGAAAGGGTTAAGATTTCATATTTAGCCCTAAAAGTCTGATCAGTTCTACACATGTAGGTGCTGTAAAGTCATGGAAAATTCACTTTAGATCATGAAAAAAATTTTAAAAATTTTGTCAGTGAAAAAGAGCAGGAACCTTGCTTATGTCAAATCTGATCACTTTGTTAATAGAAATGAGATTTGAACGTTTAAAATCGTCAGTGATCAGTTTTGAACTTAATAATCTAAAATGTCGGGATAATTGAGAGGTCTAAAACCAGTCTGAGTAAACGCAGTAAAAGCGTGTTGCAAAAACAGAAGTGCGTGACTTTTGGGACCAGAGCAGACTGGTCTGTTGTAATGACTTTTTCCTTTCACGGTTTGAAAATCTCAGCTTTCAAGGTGCGATATTAGGTTTTCTGGTGCAAGGTACATCACCTGCTCGAGTTCTGATTGGTGTGCCCGGACTGTTCCATGGTGTCATTTTAAACTTGGCTATCTGGCATTTGTTCATCAATTAGACATTTTTATTATTTTATTGTTTGGTGGAGTCAATCTGCTTGTCTCCATTTGATGCCAGACTGTGGATGTGTTTAAAAAGCACCTTAGACTTAACTTTTTGAGGAAGCATTTTAACTTCATTGATATATTGACTGTATTATTGTTGCACACCTCTTTTGATGACACTTTTACAGTGAAGCATTTCGTAATTATAGGACTATGGCTACGTTCAGACTGCAGCCTGAAGTGATCCAAATCCGAGTTTTTTTTCACCCTTATGCTCCTGTATCTGATCTTTTAATGACAGTCTGAACGACACAGATCAGATTTTTTTCAAATACGACCCAGGACACTTAGATATATGCTCCTAAACCTGATACATATCTGATCTTTTAATATGCAACTTCAATCTGAACGGTCAGGTCACATTCATCCCACCTACACGTCAGGCTCGGAGACTCGTCATTGGAGGGAAAGCGAGGTTAGAGTTAATTAAAATTTGGGGTGATCACTGTGTTCAGGCCAAAGTGGAGGGGTCTTATCGGAACTGGGCGGTTTTTGAAATGATTGCCAAAGAAATGCCAGAGCGCGGCTACAGGCGGAACTGGCTCCAATGTCAATGAAAAATAAAGAGCCTGCGAGCCAAATACAAGGAGGCTAAAGACTCAAACAAACAAAGCGGCCGTGGACGTGTAACTTGTCCATTTTACAAAGAACTGGACCGTATTTTGGGGGACAAGCCCAGCGTTTATTCGACTTCTGTAAACACTGAGAATGCTTGCTGCCTGTGATGTCCTGCACTGGTCCATTTTTGGCGACCCGCACCCGCCCGCACCTGCGCAGTTCAGCACCACACCCGCCCGTTAACCCATGATTATATCAAAATTGAACTCGCACCTGCCAGGACCCATTAACATTCCACCTGTTACCCACACGTGCCCGTGATAAATCACACACAAATTAAAAGCATTCTAACTGAAGCATCCATCAGAATATGAATTGAAAAGTGACGACTTCAAGAATTACAATCACGAAATTAAATGAAACGGTTATGCTTTCTTTAGTACCAATACGAATTCACAAACGCGACTCAACTGTCATCACGTCACAGGCTTTATTTACTGAGCAGAAGAAACATTGAATGAGATCCCGAACCACATGCCACGGACTGAACCAGGACTAAACCAGGACTAACCCAGAACTAAACCAGGTCTGATTCCGGTACTGAACCAGGACTGAACCAGGACTGATTCCAGGACTGAACCAGGACTAAACCAGGACTAAACCAGGACTAACCCTGGACTAACCCTGGACTGATTCCAGGACTGAACCAGGAGGACTGAACCAGGAGGACTGAACCAGGAGGACTGAACCAGGAGGACTGAACCAGGACTAAACCAAGACTCACTGTCAGGACGGGCTCAGAGGTTCGCCCGCGTAGACTTCAGGTGACCGCGGGCGAAAGGACAGGCGCTGAACTCCTCGCCCCATGAAAGTAAGCGCAGCCGTCACCTGATTGCAGTTTGCGGACACCCTGCTCCACGGGCTAGGCGTTCTCCCTCCCTCTTAAGTCCAAGATTAGTGCTGGTGTAGTCCTGGTTTAGTCCTGATTTAGTCCTAACGTGTGTATTTACTACCCGCCCGCATACCCGCCTGTAAAATTCAAGAATGTTAAAACCCATCTGTTTCAGCAACTATTTATCGACGTTGTTGTGTCCTCCAATGCTCATGTGGGACACTTTTGGGGCATTTAAATTTCACACTGGAGATCACATTCACGTCACATTTAATTGTAAATGTGAACGACCTTGCAAAAAAGTCCGAATTGAGCATTAAGCCCTGCAGTCTGAACATGGCCTATGAAAAGCGCTGTATAAATAATGTTAACTTACATAGAATAAAATCAGAAAGCTGAGAATCGCCATCATGTTTTACTAAATTTCTAAAACAAACTTGCATTTTTTTATTGTCTTTCAGGCTGACTCGCTGTCCCCTCCCTCCTACACCACCATGCCTCGTAACCGTGCATTTTCGGAGCCGGAGTACTCTGCGGAGTATTCAGCCGACTGCTCCGTGACCCTGCCCTCCGACCCGGGACAGGCGGTCGGACGCACCCACGAAGTGACCGTCCGCAGCTCGGGGTGCTGTCTGTGCCTCCCCCGATTCATGCGCCTCACCTTCGCCCCCGAGTCTCTGGAAAACCTGTACCAGACCTACTTCAGACGGCAGAGACACGAAACGCTGCTGGTTTTGGTCGTTTTCGCCGCTCTTTTTGACAGCTATGTAATTGTAATGTGCGCAGTGGTGTATACGAGTGACAAGCTGGCGTCTGTGCTGGTAGCGTCGCTTGGGCTCGCCGCAGATATTGTTTTGTACTTGTTGTGTCGATTTGGGCTGCTGCCGGATCGGGTTTCCAGGCGTGTCGTGCCCTATGCGCTCTGGGTGCTCATCGCAGCTCAGATTTTTTGTTATTTGGGGTTGAACTATGCCAGATTTCACCAGGCCAGTGATACAGTTGGATGGCAAGCTTTTTTTAGCTTTTCCTTCTTCTTGACTTTGCCGCTAAGACTGACGCCGATTGTGCTGATCACGACGGTGTCCTGCGGGGTCCATACTTTGGTGCTGGGAGTCACAATCGCACAACAGCAGCAAGAGGATATACAAGGAGCTTCGCTGGGACGACAGGTGAGAATATACACACAACAAAATCGTTTAAACTGTGACAAAAACGGGGACTAAACCGGGGACTGAACCAGGGACGAAACCAGTGACGAGACCAGTGACTAAACCGGAGACTACACCAGGGTCTAAACTAAGTACTAAACCGGGGACTTAAACCGGGGACTTAAACCGGGGACTTAAACCGGGGACTTAAACCGGGGACTTAAACCGGGGACTTAAATCAGGGTCTAAACCAGGAGTGTCAAACTCATTTTGGTCCGGGGGCTGTATCTAACCTACTTTGATCCCAAAGGGGCCAGATCAGAAAACTCATGGTATATAAACCCCCCCAAATAACAATAAATTCAAATATTTGTGCAGAGAAATCTATTACAGAAATCTTTTTAAATTGATGAACTCTTTCATATTATAATATTATGAACAACCTGAAACTTTAAGAAAAATTAAGTTTCAGCATTTAAAATATTTTAGTATAAAATCACCCAAGGGCCACATTAAAGGTCTTGGAGGGCCGGATCTGGCCCCCGAGCCTTATGTTTGACACCTGTGGTCTAAACCAAGGACTGAACCAGGGACTGAACCAGGCACTAAGATAGGGACTAAGATAGGGACTAAGATAGGGACTAAGATAGGGACGAAACCAGGGACTTAAACCAGGGACTTAAACCAGGGACTTAAACCAGGGACTGAACCAGAGACTAAACCAGTCCTAGAACAGGAGTCTACATCAGGACTGAACTGGGATTTAAAAAATAATAATTTAAAGTTTGAATGCAGCACAAAAAATATCATAGGATTTTGACAAAGACGTAAAATTGTTGTTTACATTTTGTATTTCGATTCTCAAGCTAAACATCCAGTTAGAAATCAGAATGAGCTCTCACACTGAGTTGCCAAATCCAATGAGTTAAACCAGCCATAAATCCAAAAGGAAGATTTAACACGATTACAGGCCTGGAGTGTTTATGAGATGGGGCTGGTTAAATCACTAGTGCCAGATTTTGTGGTGTGGCTGGACAACCATAAAAGGCCATTATTGTTTTATTTGTTTCCTCATCTAAAATATATGGATCAAGTTTCCGCTTAGACCATTGAAAACTGTTGTTGTGTTCTTTGGCAAGACACTGTTTCCTATGCATAATGTGGTGACTGGATGAATGATTGGTGGTGATCAGGGCGGCAGTTCTGTCAGTTCACCCCAGGGCAGCTGTGGTTACAGTATTTTAACACCAACAAGTGTGGAGTGAATGAATAATTCAAAATTGTAAAGAGACTTGGAGTGTCTGGAAAAGCTTTAGTGTATATGAGGGACCAGCAAAGATATAATATTTAGTTTTAAATTGTTAATTGTTATGGCGATTTTTCCTTATTCTGATTGTGGAGGAATCCATTATTAAAATTGCCTCCACAGTCCATTTGTGCAGTGGTCCCCAACCACTGTTGCCATAGTTACTTTGAAATAGTCATCTGACTACTGACTACTGATTACTTCTTTAAACTTAGTTAAGGTACTGACTACTTGCTTTTAAAAGTAACTAAGTTAGAGTACAAGTTACTTTTCATTACTGTTTTCTGTGCACCAGGTGGGACCTGCTCTGTTAACGTGGTTGTGCCGTGCTGTGTCTCTAGATGTTTCTTTAGGTTTGATGTTGTATTGTTGAAGGCAGACAACACTTTGTCGCCAGCACAGAGTGAACAATGAACCTTTATGTTGCCATCTTTAGCTGAAATAAAATCAAAATAATGTTTGTATTTCCAGCTGCAAAAGTCGTACCTCTGTCCCTCCGTTGTTTACATCTGACTCGTGGTGGAGCGGAGATGACGTAACATCATAGGAAACGTGTCACCAGAGACGATTTATACAATCTTTGGGGTCACATAACCCATGTCTCCAAAAAATAAAAATAAATAAGTAACCTACGTCACCCTGAAACTCAAAAAAGGTAACGCACAGTGTATTAGATAAGATTAGATTTGACTATTGGTTTGGAAATAGCACTGCGTTAGACGACTCGTCCCTGAAAAAAGTAGTTGGACTACAGTTATTAAGCAGCGCGTTAGTGGCATCACTGTCCCCAACCCAAAAATAAACATTTTTCAGGGACAGCTGCAGGGAGCGGGACCGGTAACAACAGCAAAAAATGCATAAAAAATACATTTTACTGTTTACGGGGTTAATTTGTGCTGTAGTTTAAGAGTAAAACACATAAATATGGTGGTACAAAATAGGAATAAACCTCTTTTCAAATATATATATAATATTCCTTTGCTTTCATAACATTTATTTTTCTGTGGGTAAATGGTCACATTTTTCTATGGCGGTTTTTCATCTTCAAGGCTCTCGAAGCGCTTTACAACAAGGAACCACTCACCCATTCACACACCAGTGTACGCAGACACTGGGGGCGAGGTTGATTAAGCCTCTTGCCCAAGGACACATCAACAACAACAGCATTCATTGGTGGGATTCGAACCACCGACCTTCACATCAGTGGATGAACACTCTACCAACTGAGCTACTGCTGGTGTGAGATAGTATTTTGACCCCCATAGGATTTTGACTCTCCTTACTTTTTTCTTTAGTAGTTACTTATATGATCATTATTTCTCATGTAATTTACTTTTATTATATACTGCTATATTCATTATTATATATGCTATATTCACTTTCTTTTAAGGTATTTTAAGGAATGTTTTGATGGATAACGAAATGTAACGTAGTGTTAAAATTGCATGTACATAGTAATCTTGTCACTTTTTATATTGTATTATACATTGTTGTGGTTTTTATTTTGCTATGTTCAGATCATCTTTAATCATAATGTCAGTTTAGGCAATGGTTTGTGAGGATAACGACCTTGAATTTAGTAATATTTCTATAGCCATTGGATTTTGACCTCCTTTATATATAATAGATCATTGTCAATATTCAACTAGCATTACTTCTTACTTTACATCATCATAACTATAATAAACATATTGGGGGGTTAATTATGTCAATCTGTTTTAATTTGCAGATATAGTATTAATATTCAAAGCTTTTTCTATAGAATTCAAGTTCTTTATTAATAGATTTTTCTTAGTGATGGGCGAATGGAGCCTCGTGAAGCATTGACACCTCATTCGCAATATTGTCTCAAATGGTTCGACGTGTCTGAGGCCTCGGAGAAACACTGACCTCTAGTGGACAAATTTAACCATTGTCACGCAGGTGTCTCAGCATCGATGAAGTATTGTTAGTAGAGCCCGACCGATATGGATTTTGTTGTGGCCGATATGAAACCGATATAATGGAAGTTAGAGCTGCCGATAGCCGATATAATCACCGATATATATCTTGAATTGATTAAAAAACTTAGGTTTGGCTCTAGTGGTTGCTAAATTGGGTTTATTTAGGCAACTTTTATTGTTATTTTGACTCTTTACATCATATTTACATACAGTAGATTGGCCAAATGGCATTTTTGCATCACATTCTAGCTACTAGTGATGGGTATTCCCGTTTTTTGTTTTTTTTTGGAGAACCGGCTCTTTTGGCTCGGCTCACTAAAGCAGCTGGCTCTTTCGGCTCCCAAGCGACTCTTGAGATTGTTTTGTTGCAAGCAGGACTAAACCAGAACTGAACCAGGACTGAGTGTCGGGACTCGGTTTCTATCTCTCTCCTGCACTCGAGCCCAAGATTAGTTATGGTTTATTCATTTTATGCTGAACTGCAGCCAAATATGCACTTTTTTTTTATCCTATCCACACAGATTTCTGAAAGTTTCGTTTTCAGCCGCTGCTGCTGTCAAACTATGGGTCTACAAGCGGCTTGAAGAGAAAAAGTGAGAAAAAGAGAAAACACGGCTCCCAGTAAGAAGCAGGCTCCAGTTGTTCGCTCTAAGAGCCGCTTCGATCGCGACCGACCCATAACTCCTAGCTAGTAAACTATCGCTATTAGCCTTTAGCCGTAAAAACGTGCGCACCGCGGTAATTAATTATATGCATAAATGTGGATCATTCACACGTCTGTTCACAGCTCATTTACATATCAATGCAGGTCCAGTAACAAATATACGGCCAATGTAGTCACTTTACAATAGACCAATAGAAAACAGCCTGTTCTCACACAGGCTCCTCCTCACATCACAAGTCTGCACTAATAAATGTAATTTTAATCCAGACTCAAACCGATTGTCCGAAAAAGAATATAATCTCAGTGTTGCGCACGGCTGCGGGTGTAAACAAACACACGTGAGTGAAGTGACGTCACTCTGGTGGTGTGTTCAGGGACAGTACAGACATAGACAAATTACACCGCAGATAAATACTGATGCGGAGCCACATATTAGGACATTTATCTGTCTGTAAATTGGATTAAATGAACATAATGTAGAGAGTCTAAGCTTTATAACGAGGTATAACATGCCCACGTGAAATATCGGCCCATATCAGCAAGCATATCGGCCGATAGCCGATATGTCTCCAGGTGCCCATATTGGCCGATAATATCGGCCAGCCGATATATCGGTCGGGCTCTAATTGTTAGTGTAAGACAATACTTGAGTGCAGAGTGACACCGTACCTAACAACAACAATAATAATGATGATTTTAAATAATATGTAAAGAGCAACATAAAGAGCAGCTGTAAATAAGAAAATAGGTGTTACCTTGTTAAGTGGAATTAGATCAAAGTGATCCCAAACCATGGATCGCTTTTTTCCATTTGCAGATGCCATCGAAAATGAAACAAATGCCAAAAGTCACAAAAATCACCACTAACGTCACACAATACTCCTCACTACCCAACATTTTTAAGAAATATTAGTGCATCTTTTATACTGTAGCAGTTTAACGCTTGTCAAACAACAGAAGTGCGCTGAACACTCTGAAGCAATCTGGAACATTCGCTGAGCCAATGAAACGCTTCGATACACTGAAGCGATTGACACTCAGAGCGAAGCAGTCGGGGGAGGGACCGACACTTCCACACTTTGGTCACGTGAGCGACTGCTGCGAGACGAGCTCCGCGGCAGTGCTTTGGAGCGATTTGTTTCAGAAAGAACGAGACCTGCTCCAGAGCTCCGTCTCATTTGCCCATCACCAATTTTTATAAATTTTATATAGGGGGTCAACATACCCTAATAGGATTCTGGTCCCATGGTCAACATACCATAGGGTTACTTCACCGCAGGGTCAAAATCCTGTACCACACAGGTACCAGATGGCCCATAGACCGGTTTTGGGCCCCAGACCAGTGGTTGGAGAAACCTGCATTAGTGTATTGTTTATTTCAAGAGCCTGTATTCGTTAAGCAAGAAATCAAACATCCCTAATCCATCTAAACATGTTGCCTGGCCTATCCAGAATGACATCTCTGTATTTTTTATACCAGTCTGGTCACCACTCCCTCTGTCATGTCTTGAGCCTGTCCAAACGTGATCTTTTTTTTTTTTTTTTTCTGTGAAGCATGTGAAATGAAGGAGCTCACAGGTCACACATCATTTATCAACATCAGCAAAATCACATTTCTCTCACCTCAGATGAACTAAATTTAGTGCTTTGCTCATTGAGTCTGCAGAAATGCGCGATGTCTCTCGTGATTTATTTTCCTTTCTATTTCCTCATAAGCAGCTATATTTGTTTTAATGGTCCATGCATGTCCCTGATTGGCTAATCCACCTGCCAATCACTCCCATCTGTAAATTAGGGAGATTCCCGGTGATCCGATGTGTTGGAGGAGTGTGTATTCTGGATCTCAGGCAAATAAACAAGGGTAATTTTACAGATAAACAAAACATACAAAAACTGGCCCAACCACAGAACATTGTGAACTTCCTCCTACACTGAATCCCTCTTTGTGTCAAACTGGTTTCGTGCTTGGTTCCTGCATCTTGTTTCATCACTTCAGCTTTTGTTGCACTGGACAAACAAACTGTATTTGCTCAGTATTTAACCAGCCCATAACCAAATACTCCAACCAGGTCGACTCTAAAGGAACAGGAACTCGGAGAGGAAGTCGCCACTCACTTTTGTTAAACAATAAATCACTTAATTATGCATAGTAGACTTTAAAGGTGCACTGTGTAACTTCCCCTGCTCGTCACCATGGCGATAGCATTACTGTGCCTAGGATATTCCACAGTGTATTCATCTTGAGCAAACGGCTTGAGAAGAAGGTACAACCGGGCCACGTTATAGGTCAGATCTACGGAAAAATAAGCCCAAGTACAGTAAGAATGCATCTTTTTAAGGTAATTTTGAGCAGTATAATCCCTAACCAAAAACGAAATAAATGCAAAAGCTGTATATTTTTAATGCTATGCTGTGGAACATTCCAGGCAAAGCAATGAAATCTGCAAACCCTCCGTCTGGTTTAGTCCTGGTTTAGACCTGTTTTAGTCCTGGTTTTAGTTCTGGTTTTAGTCCTGGTTTAGACCCGGTTTACTCCTGGTTTGGACCTGATTTAGTCTTGGTTTTAGTCCTGGTTTAATCCTGGTTTAGACCTGATTTAGTCCTGGTTAAATCCTGTTTTAGTCCTGGTTTTAGTCCTGTTTTAGAACTGTTTTAGTCCTGGTTTTAGTTCTGGTTTTAGTCCTGGTTTAGACCCGGTTTACTCCTGGTTTAGACCTGATGTAGACCTGGTTTTAGTCCTGGTTTAATCCTGGTTTGGACCTGATTTAGTCCTGGTTTTAGTCCTGGTTAAATCCTGGTTTATTCCTGGTTTAGACCTGTTTTAGTCCTGGTTTTAGTTCTGGTTTTAGTCCTGGTTTAGACCTGATTTAGTCCTGGTTTTAGTCCTGGTTTAGACCTGATTTAGTCCTGGTTTTAGTCCTGGTTAAATCCTGTTTTAGTCCTGGTTTAGACCTGATTTAGTCCTGGTTTTAGTCCTGGTTAAATCCTGTTTTAGTCCTGGTTTAGACCTGTTTTAGTCCTGGTTTTAGTTCTGGTTTTAGTCCTGGTTTAGACCTGATTTAGTCCTGGTTTTAGTCCTGGTTTAATCCTGGTTTAGACCTGATTTAGTCCTGGTTTTAGTCCTGGTTAAATCCTGTTTTAGTCCTGGTTTTAGTCCTGGTTTAGACCTGGTTTAATCCAGGATTTAGTCCTAATTTTAGTTTTAGGTTTAGTCTTGGTTTAGTCCTGGTTAAATCCTGTTTTAGCCCTGGTTTAGTCCTGGTGGTTTTAGTCTTGGTTTTAGTCCTGGTTTAGTACTGGTTTAGTCCTGGTTTTAGACCTGGTTTAGACCTGGTTTAGTTATGGTTTTAGACCTGGATTAGTCCTCATTAAATCCTGATTTAGTCCTGGTTTTCGTTCTGGTTTAGATTTTTATGTACAAGAACCAAAAAACGTACAAAGAGTAAATATTAACCCTGAAACCATTTGTGTATTTTTTTGTGTGTGTGTGTGTGTAGCTGTTGGCGAACGTGGTGATCTACGTGTGCTCCATCACGGTGGGCATCATGTCGTATTACATGGCCGACCGTAAACACAGGAAGGCTTTTCTGGAGGCGCGGCAGTCACTCGAGGTCAAACTCAACCTGGAGGAGCAGAGCCAGCAGCAGGTCAGAAGAACATCATTATTTACCATTATCAATACAAAAACACATTTGTCATCGTAAATTAATAATAATTTTGTTTTTGTACATACATAAGAGCTCTTTAAAGCCCCTCTGTGCAACTTTTTAACCCCAAAATTGACATAGTAATACTTGTTTTGTGTGTGTGTTGTTTATTATTTATTATTTTATTATTATTAATGTGTTTATTGCACCGGAAATTATTGAAAAACATGCGTCCTTACTCACATCAGGGTTGCATTTCCATAAACCTGACTCTTATTTGGCCTGGAGAAGGGCCTTTTCTGCTTGTTTCCATGGGAATTTTGTTTCTTTAGCATTTAGAATTGAAAAATAGTGAAAGGCGAAGGCGATGGACGGGATTGATCCACAGGAAGGACCAAAAAGGAAACCTGTGGCTGTCTAAGAAATCATCCCGAGTTTGCAGCGAACATTTTGTATGTGGAGCACCAACAAAGTAAAATCCCGTTTGTTAAGTGAGAGGTACAGAAGACAAACAGACTGAGCTGCACTTTCTTGTTCTTGTGGTTTTACAGCAACATCACGTCTTGGTCTCTTTGCAGTGGAAGGTGTTTCTTGATGAACAGTTGGTGCCTTTCGCTTTGGCGTTGACTTTTTAAATTCGTAACCAAGGTTGATCGGGATTTTGCTTTGTTGGCGCTCCACATACAAAATGTTCACTGTAAACGCAGGATGATTTAGGTCAGGGGTGTCCAAACTTTTTTCATCAAGGGCCACATATCTAAACACAGACGAAGCAGAGGGCCGATCGAGGGCTGTAGACTGGTGCTCAGTACAGTGAATAATTGAAATATGTGCATGTTTAACAAGTTAGACGATCCATCTTTATTCATGCTAAAATCCTTAAAACCACACACTAAATACTAAATATTTGCTTTATTATGGTAGATTTTCCAAAAACCTGCAGTAAAAAGTAAGTTTTTAATTGATGTAAGGTCATTTGGGTCAATTCACCTGGAAGCCTGAGGGCCAAGAAAAATGTGTCTGAAAGCTGCATTTGGCCCACGGGCCATAGTTTGGACATGCCTGATTTAGGCAGTCTTTTTGGTCTTTCCTGTGGATCAATGCTGCCCATCACCTTCACCCTTTACTATTTTCAATTCTGTTGGGAAGGGAAACAGTTTGAACAGAGGTTTGCAGTCACACACATCTGATTCCCTTTTGCATTTATGAAGTTCGCAAACTTTCCGAAGCCCATTTCTCGAGCCGTTCCGCTGTTAGGACGTCCAAAAACCACACAATTGCGATGTCCAAATCCCAAAACTAAAATCTGACAATATCAGAACCAAAAACAAAAGCGATATGGTTCTAAAGCCTTGAAAAGATCGGCTTTGACAATAGGCACATCCCACTGGGAAAACAAACATGACGATTTGAGGCACACTTTTTCAGAAAATCCTTCCCAGCATTGCGCGATGACCAGAAGTCCGAAATTTGTGATGCACGTATTGGCCAGTAAAGAGCTTTGTGGTTCACTGGATCAAGCATTTACTGCAGAATGATTCATTGACGGTGTGGGCTCAAATTTCATGTTTTGTGTTCAATGTACGTGATAATAACACTTGTAAATAATGAAATATGAACACTTACATGCATTTCAGAAGATGTTTGTGGATCTAAACTGGTTTTACAGCCACTACTAGACCCACGTAAACGATAAAATTCTCTGCAGACGACATTCAATCACCAATTAACTTCAGGCATTGCTAGTTTCTATTTTTTATTCCGCTGAGATGCCGTTCTTTAACTTTCCGGCACTTGTCAATGATTTGAAGCACACGGCAGAATGAACCACACGCTAAATTCATTTCCACTGATTTGCATTGAAAGAAATATGGAAATGCTAATAACTAACTCGGCGAATGCTAATGAGGCTAACGGCGCTGGAGTCGAGAGGCAGGCGGGCGCTCTGATTGGCCGACGGCGTTACCGTGGCAACTGGCCCTGCGAGACGGCGATGTCATCAGTAATCACGGTCGGCTCTGGAGGAGGATATGGAGATGTCTGTGAGGATTTCATTTTTTCCTAAGTGTTTTTGAATGAGTGAAGTGTTAGGTTTAAATAGAAACTGCCGGGTTGAATTTGTGAATTTATTAAATTTTTTTTATAATGTATGTGATGTTGTAAGTTGTCTTTACCTGTATTTTTACCGCAGTGTTGGGAAGTAACTAAATAGGCCTACATGTTCTGAAAATAACCATGGTTTTCAACTTCCTGTTTAGATTTTTCATGCTTGAGGACTTTTACCAATTTAAAAGACATTTTATTTTATTTTGAAGTGTTAAAGGGCTCATATAACACCATTTTCAGATGTTTTTAGAGCTGCTCAATTATGGAAAAATTATTATCACGATTATTTTGGTCAGTATTGAAATCAAGATTATACAAATGATTATTTTTTAGTTACACGATGCATTTATTCAGCATTTCTCTCTCAAAAAAACCCCAAAACACAACACTTTGTTATTCATAATTTGCACAAAACTTTCAAATTGAAAATAAATACAGGCTACAAATATAAACCTTAGAGCAATTTTGCGATGTATAAAACATATAATGAATAAATCATATTCTGAACATGAAATAAGGCAAAGAAAAACATAAATGTATCGAAATTAAACTATATATCCAGCTGTTCTACAATCTCTACATTTAAAAAATGAAATTAATATACTTATTTATATACAAAAATCCCAAAATAAACTTTGTTAAGCTTTAGCGTTTCAATTTGATTATATCAGTTTGGAGATTGTTTGACACACAAATCGAAATCGTGATTAAAATTCAATTAAGTGCACAGACTTATATGTTATTATAAAAACAGACCTGGAGTTGTGTTTTGTTTCATTTGCATGTTTAAAACACAAACGCTCTTCTCTCAAATAGAAAATGCTTTGTTCCACCTTGTGATGTCATGTGGTGATACAGGAAGTGCTCCGCTGTGTTTTTAAACTCCATACACCTTCACTAGAATCATTTGGATCATTTCACCGGGGTCAGGGTTCTCTCTCTCGCTCTCAAGGTCAAGATCTGGTTTAGACCTAGTTTTGTCCTGGTTTAGTGCTGGTTCAGTCCTGGTTTAGTCTTGGTTTAGTCCTGGTTTACTCTTGGTTTACTCTTGGTTTAGTCCTGGTTTAGTCCTGGTTTAGACCTGGTTCAGTCCTGGTTTAGTCCTTTCATTACTTTGGAACCCCTGGATGTGTTCAGAATACTAATTTGGTTTATTTGAACAGCTCCGGAAAACTGGAAACGGCTTTGGGTTTCTTGGAAAAACGCTGTAGAAATCCAATACAGTATTATTATTATTATTGATCGTTTTTGTGTGGATTAGTCCAGTCAAACTCATCTGTCATCAATCTGTTGTTCCCTGTAGGAGCGCCTCCTGCTGTCCATCCTCCCAAAGCACATCGCAGACGAGATGCTTCAGGACATGAAGAAAGAGCAGAGCCAGAAGGAGATGCAACAGTTCAACACCATGTACATGTACCGGCACGAGAACGTCAGGTACGAGACAACACCATCAGACTTTGTCACGCTGGGGGTGTTCTACAATCCAAGTATCCTTCGTTTTTCAATATAAAACCAAAAATAAGAAAACGAAAAAAAACTACGGTTTTCTTCATTATTTGTCTCCAAAACCAAAATGAAAAAACGGATAATGATTTCTTTTCGATTTTGTGTTTAAATGAATAATGGACAAAACGTGTAACGGCCGCTTTCCGTTTCCGTGACTTAAACTGCTGAACCAGGACTGAACCAGGACTGAACCAGGACTGAACCAGGACTGAACCAGGACTAAACCAGGTCCGGGACCAGACCGGAACTGAGACCAAGACTGAGTCCGGGAGAGACTGAGAATAAGACTGAGACCAGGACTGAGACCGGAACTGAGACCAGGACTAAATCAGGACTAAACTCCGGTCTCGGTTCTGGAGTCCTGGAAGAATGAACCAGGTCCGGAGCCAGACCTGAACTGGACCGGGACTGAGACCAAGTCTGAGACCGAGACCTGACCAGGACTGAGTCTGGGACTGAGTCTGGGACTGAGTCTGGGACTGAGTCTGGGACTGACACCGGGACTGAGTCTGGGACTGAGTCTGGGACTGAGTCTGGGACTGAGTCTGGGACTGAGTCTGGGACTGACACCGGGACTGACACCGGGACTGACACCGGGACTGACACCGGGACTGACACCGGGACTGACACTGGGACTGATACCGGGACCAGACCAGGACTGAGATCGGGACCAGTCCTGGTTTAGTCCTGTTTTAGTCCTGATTCAGTCCTGGTTCAGTTCGTATGCGGTGCAAAAGTCCGGCATCAGAGTTTAAGTCAGGTAAACGGAAAACAGCCGTTATCTGTTTTTTTCCATTATTCAATTAAAACAAATCATTATCCGTTTTTTCATTCTGGTTTTGGAGCCAAATAATGAAGAAAATAGTTTTTTTTTTCTCATTTTCCTATTTTTGATTTTATATTGAAAAACGAATGAACAAATGATACATGAATTGTTCTACATGTATGTCTATGGTGCAATCAGTTACGTTGGTGACAAAAAAAAAGTTTTAAGATAGTTTGAAAACTTAAGAAAAGAACACAAAATGGATTTAATCAACACATTTTCAGGAGAGTATGATGAATACAAGAAACTTGTTTAACAATCCAAAACTGCTCACCTGTTGTAGTTCAAACTAAGTCTGTTCTTTACGGTCAGATTGTGTTAAAATCAACTCAGATTATACTTTAATAGAGCTCCAGTCAATTTACTAAACATTATTTATTCTATTTTTAGCCGTGTTGAGCCAAAGGGAAATAATTCGTTTGCTTGTCTTTTCAGTATTTTATTCGCCGACATCGTGGGCTTCACTCAGCTCTCCTCGTCCTGCAGCGCTCAGGAGCTCGTCAAACTCCTCAACGAACTTTTTGCTCGATTTGACAAACTGGCTGCAGTAAGTAAAATACCCTTCCACCAAAAAGTTACATATTGTATCTTTATGTATTTTATGTTGATCCAAAATAAATATGGTATGAAATTCAAATCATTTTCAACCCCAAACCTTATTTTCAGTGTTCACCAGTGTCAGTGCTGCAGATGGTTATTGCGCGTCTCTGATTTGTTGTTGAAATCTGTGCTGGTTTAAGTATTTTTAGTGTTGTAATAAAAAGGTGCAGCTGCTGTGTGTCGCTGCACCTGCGGCTCCGACCAAAACCAGGTGCACTTAAGTTCCCAATGTCCAAGTCTATTTATTTTAATTTATTTGTGTTTGAATAGAAAATAATTTTGTATATTACAAGAAAGATGGATCTGTTTGAAATATATACTGTAAAGGGTGACGTATAGTTCTGCGTCGACTCAACGCACACTGCCACTGTCGCCTTCTCGCTGTTGTTTTTGATTTATCGATCTCCGTCAAGGTCTGTGCTAGAATATATGCCCATTCATATATACGGTCTGTGCCTATGACCTGCAGACGTATAATCTCTAAAAAGTTTAACATGAACCATCTCCAACATGATAAAAGCACAGAACAGACTCAACATTAGTACAATATCCCTCTGTCACAGAAAGAACACTCATATTCCACCGAGTCGTGTCCTTTTTAAGTCCGACAGAAGCTGAACCGCGTCACAGCACAAGGAGCGAGCTGTTTTTTCAGCTTACTGTATTTTCCAGGCTATTAGACGCGCTCTTAAGCCTCTAACCGCATCAAAAAACGACTGCGCCCCACAATCCAGAGCGCCCTGTACACGAATCCACTCGGGTGTCACAGCACGACTTCAGTAAACTACAAAGCCGCACCACCCGCAGAACACGCAAACACACACGGAGCAGACAGCAACCGCACAGAGAAAAACACCCGCAGACACACTCATGGCTCCACGCTGACGAGAAACGGAACGAAGAAACAAACCGAAAAAGCAAGTGCGATGTGCCACTTCTAGACACGACTGAACAACTGAGTCACCGCGAACACGCCGACAATCCAGTGGTCCCAGACAGCACCCTCCCTACACGCCACAACTGAACAAAGCCCAGAGTCACCGTGAATGTGACAAACAAAGTCCCACTGACCCATGAAACTGTGTTTCCTTTAAAGTTCTGTGCGGTTTATTTGTGAAAAAAGTTAGAAAATAGACAATTTAATGATTTATAATCCAGAGTGTCTAATAGCCCATAAAATACTGTAGTTTATGCAAATTAGCCATGCGGTTTTAAGTTTTGTTTCTGTAAAATGTAAACAAATATATGCAAAGCTGCATTAAACACATTATTTCTCAATGTATATTGAAAAAAAGGAAAGCTGAGCACAAGAAATGTATGTAGAGCGGTGGTAGAGAGGACAAATCACAGCCTTTATTGTCTGCCTAACTTGTTCTGTTATCTGCGCCGTTTCGATGTGTAGTTAGAACATTTCGAAGATGCACGTCACTCGACACAGACTCTCTGCGTCGTGGCCTTAAGTTTCATGCATTTGTATATAGCACCATCCAAAAAGTGAAAGTACTCTACAGCTTATTATTCATTCCTTGATCAGTTTTCCTTGGAGGTGGTGAGCTGCTTCTGTAGCCATATCTGCCCAGAGGTAAATTGACAGATGTGACTGCCAAACTGTGTCTATGGTGCGTCAGATTACCGTGATATCCTCATCATACTAATATAGAAAGTCTTGCCCAAGGAAACACCAACATGCACAGGTCTGAGCAGGGATTAAACCTGCAACTCTAGTATTGCCACTGAGCTTCTACTCGCTCTGATATCGGTGGTTTTCCAATTGTAGATGTCTTGATGACGTCTTACTCCCAGATGGGCACAAGAGCCAGTTTTTCCTGTTGATAATTCTGCATTTTCTTTTCTTTTTTTTTTTTTCTTTTTTTTATTTGGAGCAAGCAAATATTTACACATTACAGATTTCCAGTTCAAATGTGATCTTTCCAATTTTATAACAAAAAACCAAACAAAAAGAAACCAAAACCAAACAAAAAGAAACAAGAAAAAAGAAGGAAAAGAAAAACTAAACTACTTACAAGAACAGGGGCGCTTACAGAAACAAAACTCATCAAAAAAATAATGTGTTATATAGTGTAAAATAAAATATAACAAATCTTCACCAGAAATGGAGAAGTTACAAGAAATCTTTTCTGATTGGGGTGATATATTTAATCCATTTATTCCAAATACAATAAAAATTGTCTCTTTGAATGTTTATTGTATAAGTTAGCTTGTCGATAACACTGTATTTTCAAAAGAAATGTTAAAAAGAAATTCAACGTTATAATTTATTTTAGTGACTGAGACCCTAGACAAACATTTGAATAATATTAATTTAAACTTTTCTGGATTTTACTCTTTCAAAGTGTATAATATTTAGTAGGGTTGGGTGGTAATACAGTATTACAGTTTACCGCGGTATCAAAAAGTAGCAACGGTATCAGTTTCATTACCGTCATTTAAAAAATCTGCAGCGCTTAAGGACCTAGTATAATATTATAATTTCTTGATGCTTAAATTTATTTGCTCAGCACAGATGAATGTGTGCTTGTGTTTTCAGTTTAATGCCATCACGATTTAAAACTAATAGTGTCTATAATGTTTCTTTTAACTGCGTGGGGAGATGACGCTTGATTAGTTCTGTTCCATTGTCACGTGACCAAGACAACATGGCACGTCCGGCCGCAAGCGAGTTGGTCCCCAAAAAAATACTTGTACTTCTGCAATTTGGCAGCATTTTGGCTTCAGATGTACATTTCTTTACGTTTTACAGAAATGAAACTTAAACCGCGTGGCTAATTTGCATGAACTGTAAGCGCCGATAAAATCAGCTCACTTCTTGTGCTGCTGATGTGGTTCAGCTTCTGTCGGACTAAAGGACACGACTCAGTGGAATATGAGTGTTTTTTCTGTGACAGAGGATGTGCTGCTGATGTTGAGTCTGTTCTATGTGTGTATCACGTTGGAGAGGGTTCATGTGAAACTTTTCAGAGATTATAAATCTGCAGGTCATAAGCATAGACTTTGTAGTTTACCAAAGTCGTACTAAAACATTTTGGTAATATGATAATAAGGTATACCGTGGTAAAATCCTGAGAAGGTTTAAAGGTTTAAGGTTTAAATTTGGTTACTGCCCAACCCTAATATTTAGATTTGAATTATTATTTTCATTAGTCAGAAACCAGAGATTCAGAAGTCCATAAATCAGGGGTGTCCAAGTCCATAAATCAGGGGTGCTCAATCATAGTACATGTGCATGTTTAACACTTTAGCATGAATAAACACTGATGGCTCACTCTAAGAACCTTAAAACCACACACTAAATATTAAACATTAGCTTTATCAAGTTAGATTTTCCAAAAACTTGCAGTACAAAGTTCTTTTAATTGATGTAAGGTAATTTGGGCCAATTCACCTGGAAGCCTGAGGGCCAAGAAAAATTTGTCTGAGGGCTGCATTTGGCCCACGGGCCGTAGTTTGGACATGTCTGCCATAAATAGAACTTCAAAGATCTCTAATCTGTAACAATTAAAAAACAAAACTAAACAAAAAAACAACAAAAAACGTTTATTTTTTTTGATTAATTGCTGTATTTTTTCCTCTCCTCAGAAATACCACCAGCTGCGGATCAAGATCTTGGGCGACTGTTACTACTGCATCTGTGGTCTGCCGGACTACAGGGAGGACCACGCGGCCTGCTCCATTCATGATGGGCCTGGCCATGGTCGAGGCCATTTCGTGAGTGTCCCGGGTCTCTGGGGGGTGACGGCGCCATCTGGTGTCAGTCACGTGGGCTTCATTGATCCGAGCCACAGATTGAAATTGATGTTTTGGGTAATGAGATTCAGCCTAAAGTAAAGTTGGATATGCACTTGTTGTACTGGTTTGCCCTCTCACTTCAGTTCACATTAGATTCTGTGAAAATATATAAAACACAAGGAAATTAAATCAATAGTTGGAAATCAATAATCATTTGTCAAAGCTGTGGTGATGCTGCTGGTGTGTTTTGGCATAAGAGTACATCTCACACTCACGCTACAGAGGTTAAATATCGTCAAGTGGAACATATTTCCTTTACGCTGACCTACGTAACTTTTCTGGTGAAGAGTCTGCCACAATATTTACTTGGCCTGGAATGTGCCACAGTAGGGCATTAAACCAGGGATGGGCAATTATTTTTTTCCATGGGGCCACATGAGAAACAGAAAATATTGTGGAGGGCCAAAATGCTTAACGAAGATGCTGAACCTTTGTGCTGTATACGAACTGAACCGAGGACCAAACCAGGTTTAAACCAAGACTAAACCAGGTCTAAATAAGGACTGAACCCAGGACTGAACCCAGGACTGAACCAGAGCTAAACCAGGTCTAAATCAGGTCTAAACCAGGTCTAAACCAGGACTAAACCAGGACTAAACCAGTTCTAAACCAGGACTAAACCAGATCTAAACCAGATCTAAACCAGATCTAATCCAGGACTAAACCAGAACTGAACCAGAACTGAACCAGAACTGAACCAGGACTAAACCAGGACTAAACCAGGACTGAACCAGGTCTAAACCAGATCTACTAACCAGAAAACCAGACTAAACCAGGACTAAACCAGGACTAAACCAGGACTAAAACTAAACCAGACTAAACCAGATCTAAACCAGAAACCAGACTAAACCAGACTAACCAGACTAACCAGGACTAAACCAGGACTAAACCAGATCTAAACCAGATCTAAACCAGGACTAAACCAGACTAAACCAAAACTAAACCAGACTAAACCAGACTAAACCAGACTAAACCAGGACTAAACCAGGACTAAACCAGACTAAACAGACTAAACCAGACTAAACCAGATCTAAACCAGGTCTAAACCAAGTCTAAACCAGAACTAAACCAGGTCTAAACCAGGACTAAACCAGCACTAATTTTGGACTAGGACTTGGAATCTAGGACCGCCCCTGAGAGAACCCCGAGCCTGTGGAGGAGGGAGTCCGCAAAGTGTGATCGGGCCCGGAGGTTGCTCCTGCTTCCGCCTGCAGTCACCTGACGGTCTTTGCAGGCACAACCTCCTGGCCCATCCCGACATTCGGAACCATAACTTTAACGTATCACCGCTGCTGATATCGCAGTGATTTTAACGAATTTGTATGAAAAAAAAAAACGAAAAACCCACCACTTCAAATTATTGACATTTGTATCAAGTAAAATATAACAATTTTTTTCCTTGTAATGCCACATTAATGTGTTACAGCAAAAAGCAACGCATTACAGTAATTTGTTACTTTTATAAATTGCTACTCCCAACACTGTTTTAAGATAATTTAAAACAAGTGTTAAGTAAAATTATCTTGCTGCATGGGCTGTTAATTACCTCTGCCAAGGAGGTTATGTTTTTGCCGGCGTTTGTTTGTTTGTTTGTTTGTTTGTCTGTTAGCAACATAACTCAAAAAGTTATGGACCGATTTTGATGTAATTTTCAGGATTTGTTGGAAATGTGAAAAGGAAGAACTGATTTCATTTTGGGGGTGATCCGGAAGAAATCCTGGATTCTGGATCACTTTGAAATTTTAGTTAACATTGTGGTAAATGGGGCCAAAAATTTTGTTTCTCAATATCTCGGTTAATTATTGACCAAACCCCATGAAATTTGACTCAGGGATGGACAATGGGATCCTCTTTCATATTCCAAAGGCTGATCCGGATCTGATCCAGAAGACTGATTTTATCGCAATTTATATAAAAAATGGGGGTAGTCCTTGGCGGAGGTCTGCGCTCTCTGAGTGCTTTTCTAGTTTTACTACTTTTAAGTAACTTTCTGACAGATTTAAGTGTTTATATCTTAAATTTTGCCCAAAGTTTTTTGCCTAGGTCTGCATTAAACTTGTGTACACATTCTATCTGTGACCAGAGTCACCACTTTCCACAGATCTGACCTGTAACTTGTCCTGGTAGTGTTACTTCACAAACATAAATAAGTTAAATGACATACTGTGGAAAGCAACATTTCCCTCCACCAGAAAAGTTAGAAAGTGCATCTTTAAGTTCGCAGTGATATTTTGAAGGTGTAACATGAACTTAAATGTGTTTTGTTGGTTTTTGGTCGAAAGCTGTGAACTGTATTTCCAGGTATGTGCGGGAGAAGACCCAGACGGACGTGGACATGCGTGTGGGGGTGCACAGCGGGACCGTGCTGGGGGGAGTCCTGGGGCAGAAGCGATGGCAGTACGACGTCTGGTCCACGGACGTCACTGTGGCAAACAAGATGGAGGCCGGAGGGATCCCTGGGTGAGGAGGGCTTTATCTCAGAATCTAAACGTTCAGCTACACTTAACATTGGGTCATTTGTTATCTGCATTTGGCCCTTCCTTCAGTGCGGCTGGGGAAACCATTGCCCAACCAGTCAGTCCCTTCTACATCCTGTAAAATTGGACAAAGTGTGTAAAAATATAAAAATATGCATTTTAATTTGGGAAGATTGAACCACAGTCATGAATTTATAGCACGTCTCTCAAATGCAGAAGACTTCTCCTTTCAAAATATATATAACATGTCTGGTCCCGGTCTTGGTCCCAGTCTCATTCACGGTCTGGTCCTGGTTAAAAAAACAAACAAACATTGTGGTGGAAAAAAAAAACTATGCTGTTTCTCAATCAGTTGTGTTATTTTTTCCTCCTTTTTTACTTTTAAGCTGCAATATTTGTTTTGACACAAATGGACCATTGTCTCTCTGATTGGTTAATAATCCGTGTATCATTCGTTTATTCATTTTTCAATATAAAGCCAAAAATAGGAAAAAGAAAAAGCAACAGTCTTCTTCATTATTTGTCTCCAAAACCAAATTTTAAAAATGGATAACAATTAGTTTTTTAGTTTTTGATTTTGTGTTTAAATGAAAAATGGAAAAAAACAGATAACGTGTACATGGCTATTTCCCGTTTCCGTGACATAAACTTTGATGCTGGACTTTTGCACCACATACGGACTGAACCAGGACTGAACCAGGACTGAACCAGGACTGAACCAGGACTGAACCAGGACTGAACCAGGACTAAACTGTTTTCAGTCCTGGTCTGGTCCCAGTTTCAGTCCTGGTCTCAGTCCTGGTCTCAGTCCTGGTCTCAGTCCTGGTCTCAATGTCTGGTCTCAATTCTGGTCCTCAGTTCTGGTCTGGTCTCGGTCCCGGTCTCGGTTCCGGTCTTGGTCTCGGTCCCGGTCCGGTCAGTCCGGTCTCAGTCCCGGTCTCGGCCCTGGTCCCGGACTCAGTCGTGGTCTGGTTCCGGTCTAAGTCTTGGTCTCAGTTCTGGTCTGATTCTGGTCTGGTCCTGGACCTGGTTTAAGTCACGAAAACGGGAAACGGCCATTATCTGTTTTTTTCATTATTCATTTAAACACAAAATCAAAAACTGAAAAAATGAATCGTTATCCGTTTTTTAATTTTGGTTTTGGAGACAAATAATGAAGAAAACAGTTGTTTCTTCATTTTCCTATTTTGGTTTTACATTGCAAAACGAATAAACGAATGATACACGGATTGTTAATCGTCCTGTCAATCACACTCTCTGGAATGGAATGTGTTCTCATATGAAATTTTGTTATTTTAATTGTTAATTCCTTTCGCAGGCGTGTGCACATTTCCCAGAGCACGATGGAGTGTTTGCACGGAGAGTTCGACGTGGAGCCAGGGAACGGAGGCGACCGCTGTGACTATCTGCGAGAGCGCGGCATCGAGACCTACCTGGTGGTGGTGCCCAAGGGTCCCGTGGGCAAGAACGGCATCAACGGAGTCGTGAGTGCAACTTTTAGTAATAAATCAGCAGATGGTTTGATATTGAGTATCTTGAGCTGAGGCCGATATCTGATAATTGTCTCTCTGCTGTGGCTCATAACTGATAATTGCCGATAACAAGATTTGAACATCCAGAGTTTTGAATTAGGGATGGGCATGATTAGTCGATTAATTGATAATTGATCATTAAGAATTTCATCGATTACGTAAATTTTAATCCACAAACCGAATGTAGGTTGCTGTGTGTAGTGTGACCAAACAGGGGTCAGTACATGTGTCTCTGCACTCAGAAAGAGCGAGTCACAAACAGTCGGTCAGTCTGCAAAGTACCGAAGTGCATATGCATATTTAACGATGACTTGTATAAGAAATTCCACACTTTCTGTTGCGTTCGGGAGAAGTGTGAGTCCATGTGCACAGTGTACAAAGCAGCACATATGTTTCAGTGTCCAGTGGGAAAAAGTTTTGCCAGGTGAGAGTCGTGCAATGTCGATGACGAGTCCCCACCTCCCTCCCCCCGTACGGTGTCCTGGTTTTGACAAACGCAAATCTGGTCACACTAACCTGTATTCCACTGAGTCATGTCTTTTAATCCGACAGAAGTTGAACCGCATCAGCGACACAAGAGCTGTAGTTTTATCTTCGCTGAGTTTATGCAAATTAGCGATGCGGTTTTAAGTTTCGTTTCTGTGAGAGTTGCGCAAAACTGAATTAAACACATTATAATAAACGGGCTGATGTGGCTTTAGAGTGGTTACAATTTATTTGTTGTAAAGTTGAATTTATTTATGCAGATTAGGAGTGCAGATAGTAATAATAATGATGATCATTTTAATATAAAAACGTCAATGATTAATCGATAATCGATCGTTAATTCTCTCGACGATCGATTAAGAAAATTTCATCGAATGCCCATCCCTATTTTGAATAGTTAAAGTTTTCACAATAAGAACAAAACATGTGGATATAAAATAATTAGTTGCGTCATCAAAAAGATATATGCACATTTTTAGCCTGATTGTTCTTGGTAAATCGTAGGGATGCAATGATATTCAATAAAATATCAAATCGTTCTATACTGGTCTCACGATTCTATACACGTGTCGATATGCTCGTGTCTCTCCATGCACGCTGCGTTGTCATTTATTTTGGTCCGAAAGGAAAAGTTATTGCAGCGTCCTTCTCAGATGCAGGAGAAAAACAGCTCCATAGGGATTTAGAGCTGAAATATTCTAACAGAGCAGAGTTTTATCTTTCAGTCACTTTTTATTTTACGTTTATAGACCCAGAAAATAACTAATATATTAACTTTTAAATACTTAAGAATCGCTTTTAGCTTTACATTGGCTTCAATCAAATGCGCTCGTATGTGCATGGTGTACGTGATCTCAGACTTTATAAGGTCTGTCGAGACATTTTTATGTAATATATCATAGTTTTAGTGTCCAGAAAGAAGATGGGAGAGCGCAGTGTGTCACAGATTGTAGCAGGACAGTGTGGGAGGAGCTACTGTCTGTCTCTGCTGGAGGAGGCAGAACAGCACGGATACAGGCGTGTGCACACAGTGAGACTCGGGAGGAAAAGAAATAATCAAGACATCATCAAAAAAGGAAAAGTCTGATAGTGTAACTCCCCTACCGCTCTATATTAACAGTAGACTGGCTATATGATAAAATATAAAACAGCCTGAGAAAGCTCTGTTCTTATTTACACTGAATCAAAATTCTGAGCTGTAAATCATTGAACCAAATGAACTAAAACACTTCACATATAAACTATAACTGTACAGTTGTTGTGCTGTAATGTATGTAATGTTTAATCATAGTGTTATTATATTATAAGCAAAAAAAAGCTGAAAAAACTACAGGAGATTTTTCTATTTTTGCATCTTAAAAAGTATTGAAATCGAATTGATATCGTGACCCGTGTATCGAGATACATATTGAATCGTAGGAAAACCATGTCGTTGCAATCCCTAGTAAATGGTCACTTTTTTTATACAGCGCTTTTCTACCGTCAAGTCACTCACGCTTTACAACAAGGAACCACTCACCCATTCAGACACACATTCATACACCAGTTTACAGAGACACCAGGGACGAGGTGGATAAAGTGTCTTGCTGTGGGAGCTGGAATCGCACCGCCAGCCTGTGGGTCAGTGGATCTGCCCGCTCAACTGATGTTTCTGTCGAACTGCCAACCTCCTGATCAATGGACAAAAGCTCGTACCAACTGAGCTACTGTCGCTCCTCTTCTGTTTCCATTTTTACCCGTTACTCTGTTCAACAAAACAAATCTGATGTACCAAGGACAATCTGGGAATAACACATGAGCACACACAGACTGCCACAGCTTAAAATAATATTGGTGCAAAATACTAGCTAAATTTTCATACCTACTAGTATAATACATCTGAAATATTGCCTGTTTGTAATACAATCTACTCAAGACGTACAAGTCAATTCGCAAATGATGAAACAAATGACTGACTTGAAGAAAACCTAACACTGAACCAATCTAATTAACATTTGTCATGATCTGATTATGTCTTTAGAAGCTGTCTGTGACCTCGTCCAATGGGAACTCTCCTCTGCTCATCAACACCACAGAATGTAACGGAAACGTGAACACCGGCTGCACCACCCCGGAGGAGCCGGACGAGCTCGATGCAAGGGTAAAAAAAAAAAACTCTTAAACCATTTCACTGAATCCAGATCACACAAAAACAAACATTCTGTATGACATATCTCCAGTATTGGGAAGGTGACTTTTAAAATGTATTCCCCTACAGATTACAGATTACATACACCAAAATGTAGTTTGTAACGGAATCTATTAGGTTACCTTAAGGTGAGTAATGTAATCTGAATACTTTGGATTACTTGGTTTGCTCTAGACTAGCAAAGACTAGGAAATCTTCACATAAGATGTTTTGTCTGCTAAAAGCAATAAAAAAAGCCCAGACTTTACTGAACCAAATAAAAAATATTATTGATAGAAGAGGAGGAAACACGGTCCATGCAGCATGATTTAGTCCTGTTAAATCCTGTAGACCTGGTTTAGACCTGGTTCTAGTCCTGTTTTATACCTGGTTTAGTTCTGGTTTTGTTCTGGTTTAGTTCTGGTTTAGTTCTGGTTTAGATTCTGGTTTAGTCCTGGTTTAGTCCTGGTTTAGACCTGGTTTTAGACCTGGTTTAGACCTAGTTTAGTCCTGGTTTAGACCTGGTTTAGACCTGGTTTTAGACCTAGTTTAGACCTAGTTTAGACCTGGTTTGGACCTGGTTTGGACCTGGTTTGGACCTGGTTTAGTGCAATGAGTGGAATTACCGGGGAAAAAAAAAAAAAAGGGATATAGCCCGAAATATGTGAAAACAGGAAAATATCACTGTGTAATCCATTTATTTCAACCAAGTAACTGTAATCCAATTACCACTCACTGAAACAGTAACTGTAACTGAATACAGTTACTCATAATTTGTACTCTGATTACGTAACTCCGGTACATGTAATCTGTTACTCTCCAACACTGCATATCTCACCGTTAATTAAATTTCTTGCTACTAAACTGTGTGCGTTTTAGTAGCATTTGTCATTTTAGCGCAAATTGGGTTTGACAATGACGACACCATCGACAGCGTTAATAAAAATCGATTACTTCTCATTTCTCTTTTCTTAAAAAAGAGTTACTTCTCAATGAACAGAGAATGATTCAGGCTTAGTAACTGTTTCACTAAGGGGTTAGAGTTGGGGTTAGAAGCACAGTTGGGGACTTTTTAATTACTTGAGTCACTATTTTTAAGACTTGAGACTTGACTTGATAAAATGGACTAAATCTTGGGACTCGACTTGGACTTGAAGGTCAGTGACTTGGAGAAACATTTTTAAATCTGAATTCTTTCTATTCTGACCATAATGATTCACTTTAAAATCTTGTCAAGACATTTAAAAAGGGAAAATTAACTAAATTTCCACAACTCTTATATAAATATGCTATGATTTTTTTTTTAAGTACAATTTATTTTAAAAATCATATAAATTGCAAAAAATCTCTTTGGTTTAAAGACTTGAAATGACTTGAAGCTCAAAGCAGACGACTTGGACTTGACTTGGACTTATGGGCCAGTGACTCGAGACTTGACTAGGACTTGCCTGTATTTGACTCAGGACTTGACTCGGACTTGAGGTCAAAGACTTGAGACTTGCAAAACAACGACTTGGTCCCACCTCTGGTTAGTAGTGATTAAGAATGAATTATTCTTTATAAACTATTTGTTCTTTATGAATTAAGTCCTTCTGCATGCTTCATTAACGCTAATTCAAGAGTAGTTGTTTTGAAGTGTTATTTTGTTTACGATTATCGATTAACTGAATGATCTTGACCCCTAAAATTCTGTAGTTTTATGTTATAAGGTTCATTTTTCAGACCAAGAGTTTGTTTTCATACCTGACAGTTTCGACTGCTCGCTGTGGTCTTCCTCAGAGTCACGTGATGGTGCTGTGATGTGTCCGTTCAGCTGATTTAAACAGGTTTTGGCGCTGTCTTCCTAAAGGAGGAGGCAGGACGACAGTGCCACCTGCAGCCCGACTTCCTCAGGACAGTATCCCAGGTGTGTGAGAGTAAAAAGACAAAATAGACCAAGAGCAAATGTAACGTCATATACGAAATACCCTGCATGCTCTGCAATAAAACACACATTGGGGAAACAGGGAGGGTGTTCAGTACACAAAAAAAGGAACATAGGGCAGAATGCGAGAAGGAAACGGCGAAGGCGAAACATGAGCAACAAAACACAAAGCAGAACAGGAACAACTCAAATCAGCTGTTAAAGAGAGGACCACATTATGGGCTGGGACGGAGCAAACATCACTGGGACAGAGGAAAACAAACACCGTCGCTGGATTAAAGAGGCAATCGAAATACCGAAACAGCCTGGTGCCACCTAGTTCCTCCACTCGATTTCATTTCTCTCCAGCGACTAGGTCAGGAATCGGAATACACTAGACCAGGGGCCGTATCCAACCTACTTTGATTCCAAAGGGACCGGATCAGAAAACTCATGTCATATAAACCCCAAAAATAACAATAAGTTCAAATATTTGTGCAGAGAAACACAAATTTATTACAGAAATCTTTAAGAAAAATACAATTTCAACACAAAGTTTTAACATGAACTTGTATGTAAATAGGAATAATTCACTTTTTCTTGTAAAATCCTGCACTCGGCTCCACTTTTCTCATGTTGGACATTTTTCTGATGAGGGTGTCACTGTCAACAGTCAAAACGATCGTCCTTTAAGAGCGTTTGGAAAGAGACAAGTCTTCATTTGTGCTGCTCTGGTGGGAGGGGCCACATACAGAGACGCTGGAGACGCTGCTATGATAAACACCACAGAAAATTAACAAGATTTTAATAGAAAATACAATTCAAATATTTTAGTAGAAAATCATCTGAGGGCCAGATTAAAGGTCTTGGAGGGCCAGATCTGGCCCCCGGGCCATATGTTTGACACCTGTGCACTAGACGGTTCACAAAAACCTCAGAAGTGCAAGTTCGGGCACCAGCCAATCAGCGAAAAGCCATGTATTCTGTGTTGCCAACAATTCCCAACATCGAGGATTTAAAGCCGAAATAAAGAGAATGTTTGGTGAATTTCATCAAGGGGAAAGACATTATTGCCCTTTTTCCTACAGGATTTGGGAAAAGCTTAATATACCAGTTAGCCCAAGACCAAACAGCAGCGATTGGTTAAATAATAAAAAGTACCTGCATACCGTCAAGCAAACGAAGTCTAAGGCTGCGAGGTCAGACGGTTTGTACAAAGTGAAACGAAGTAAAACCAGCTGATGAATCAAGCTACCGAAACATGCCCATAGGACTATAAACCGGGATGAGGGGCTTGTTTACTCTCACACACCTGGGATACTGTCCTGAGGAAGTCGGACTGCAGGTGGCGCTGTCGTCCTGTCTCCACCGGTAGGAAGACAGCACCAAAACCAGTTTAAATCAGCTGATGGACACGTCACAGCAACATCACGTGACTCCGAGGAAGACTCTGCAAGGAGAACTCAAAACTGTCAGGTATGAAAACAAACTCTTGATCTGAAAAAAGAACCTAATAACATAAAGTATTGGAAGACCAAATCGAAGAACGTATAATTTTATATTCTGTGGACGTTCGCTGTACCATAACACCAAAATACAATTTTGCCTGTGCCAGTATTATTTCGGTTTCCATATTTTGAGTTGTTGCGCCTGCAGGTGGTAAACCCGTCTTTCCCAAACCCGCGGAGGAGGCTGCGTCTGAGGGACTTGGCGGAGCGAGTGATCGACGCTCAGGAAAACGAGCAGGAGCTGAACAAACTGTTGAACGAGGCTCTGCTGGAGAGGGAGACTGTGCAGGCGTGAGTATATGATGGATATTTAACCAGCTATCCACCTTATTCCAGAAGTTGCCGTGCGCGCCGCTGTCATTGTTCGGGTAGTATTATTTTGTATGGGGTTGATCTTGACAGTAAATAAGTTCAATATGGACGATAAAGCCGTTTTAAAACTTCCCAGAGAATTGGTGGAATGTTTTCTTGTTGGTGCACACGGAAACTGAATATTTTACACAAATGAATCCGACTTTATATCAGATTTAAGATGCAAAACATTTCCTAAATTCTCCATTGACATGAACGGGATCCCCAATTAACCAGAAGTGCCACCACAAAAAGCACGGTTTAGGAGCATTTAGAGACAAAAATGAGCGGGGCAGAATAACATGGATTATCTTTGTATGTCTATTTGGGGTGTAACCATATCCAAGTCTCACAATACGATATCCTCACAGTACGATATTTATTGCGATTTCATGGAAAAGCTCACAATATGGTGGGGAGGCTCACAATTAGGGATGTAACAATATCCAAATCTCTTGGTACAATATTTTCATGATATACATCTCACGGTACGATATTTATTGCGACTAAAACTGTTAATATGCTTCTTTTTCCTCTTAAAATGCCTTGACAAAACTTAATCCAAAGAACTAAGACTTAAAAGTGTTTAGAAGTGTTATTTCTTCTTGTAGTCTGCACTGAAATGGAGCAAAGGATCATGGTCTATGTAGTTTCATCTGTCTTTTTTCACTATTGCTGCACCATAACTCTTCATTTAAACAAAGACACTTGTAATTCGATATATTGTGATGGTCCACGATATTATTGTGAGAACTTTGACGATACGATATCACGATATTTCGGTTATTGTTGCATCCCTAATATCTCTGACTGTGTACATTAGTCCTGGTTTAGTCCGGGTTTGGTCATGGTTTGTAGTTTAGTCCAGGTTTATTCTGAGCTCATGTTCCTCTGATGAATTGACTTCTAGACTGGGCGTTTCAGAAATTGTATCATTAATTTATGTATTTTATATAATTAAATTCATGTATTTTTCAGTAATAAAAACATATGTATTTGATTAAATGTAAGATTTGACTTTAATGCTAGACTGTGGAACGTTTTATAAGCAAAGCGGTAAAATCTCCATGGAAAAAACCCCCAAAACTCTCACCAGAAAAGTTACACGGTGTATCTTTTAAAAATAAAATGTGTGTTAACCTTCAGTCTATTTAAGGGCATTATGTTAGAATAGTTTGTCCCACTTTCCCACGCTGGATTTCCGTTATTATTTGGGGTTTTCTGAGGGCAATTTGGCTCACAGAGGAGTCCACTTTTACTTTAAATTCAATGCTTAAAGGTGCGCTATTCTCACGAGCTCTAAGCCATATTAGAATGTTACCTCATCAAAAACAGACCTGGAGTTGTGTTTTTTTTTCATTCACACATGTTTGAGTAACCCGTTATTATTAGAAAGCTCAAAACACTTTACCTTTTACTTTTAGTTCAATAGAGATGAGCAATTCTAGGGCTGAAATTATCCAAATCATTCTAGTGAAGGTGAATGGAGTGAGTGTTTTTATTTTGAGAGAAAAACTCAGCCTAAATCTGCAGGGTTTGTGTGTTCAAACATGTGTGAATGAAATGAAACACAACTCCAGGTGTGTTTGCGATGAGGAAACGACATCATAATGGATCAGAAAATAACAAAATACAGGCAATTTAAACATATCAATCGACGTGGAGATGTAATCAGGCCAAGTTACAGTTCAGATCTGTGCAAAGATAAGTCCACACACAGTAAGAATTAATGTATTTTCAAGGTATTTTCATTGCAATTCAAACACCTGTAATGAATAAATGTAAATGTGGAATATTCTGAGTAAAGCAGTATAATCTCAAAGAAGACAAGCCACCAGAAAAGTTGCACAAAGCAAAGTTGCATAAAGCATTTAATTTCATTTATTTATTTTTTTATTTGAGCAAGGTAAAACAAAATCAACAACACTAACAGGGATGGGCATTTGATTACATTTTCTTAATTGATTGTCGGGAGAATTAACAATCGATTATCAATTAACCATTAACATTTTTGTATTAAAATTATCATCATTATTATTACTATCTGCACTACTAATCTGCATAAATAAATTAAACTTTACGACATATAAACCGTAATGACTCTAGAGCCACATCAGCCCGTTTGAGATTATCATGTGTTTAATGCAGCTTTGCCCAACTCTCGCAGAAACGAAACTTAAAACCGCATGGCTCATTTGCATAAACTAACGGAAGAAAAAAAAATTTGCTCTTGTGCGCTAATGTGGTCAACTTCTGTCGGACTAAAGGACACGACTCAGTGGAATACAGGTTAGTGTGACCATATTTGCGTTTGTCAAAACCAGGACACCGTACGGGGGGCGGGAGGTGGGGCCTCGTCATCGACATTGAGCTACTCTCACCTGGCAAAGATTTTTCATGTTTCTCGGTGTCCTGGTGCTTTGAGGTCCCTGGCACCGCCACTGGACACCGAAACAGATGTGCCTGCTTTATAAACTGTGCACATGGACTCACACTTGTCTCGACCGGAACAGAAAGCGGGAAATTTCTTGTACAAGTCATCGTTAAATGTGCATTTGTGCTTCATCATGTTGCAGACTGACCGACTGTTTGTGTCTGCTCACTCCTTCTGAGAGCACAAAGAGCTACAAGAGCCGCTCAATTTAATGGCCTAAATGAAAGGAAATGAAAACCAAGACATTTGCATCACTTTATTAAGAAAAAAAAAACAGAACGGCCGGGACAGGACGTGGAAAACAGACATGTCCGGGGAAAAACAGACGTTTGGTCACCCTACTCTACGCACAGCAACCTACATTTGGTTTGTCGATTAAAAATTAACGAAATCGACGAAATTCTTAATGATCAATTATCGATTAATCGACTAATCACGCCCATCCCTAAACACTAACAAAAAACAAAACAAAAACAAGGGTATGTACAAGTACATATTTGGGACCTGGTGTTTATCGTTTATGATCTTACAAAAATAAACAGTAATGAGAGTGTAAAATTTGGGGATTTTTGTGTTCGTTTATGGTCGTACAAACTAATAACAGAGATGAAGACAGCACTAAAGTTTATCGTTTATGAACATACAAAGTAAATAGTAATAAGATTGAAAAGTAAGAAGATTTTTGGTTTTAATTTATAGTTGTTAGGGTGCATCATTTGTCCCCATGTCAGAAATTCAACTTGTGCCCAATTTTAAAATGTGACAATACCAAATAAAAGAAAATCTGTGGAATATTAGCTGAATTGAATAAAATCTAATGGGTCCACTAAGACTCTTAAGTTCCATCCTAACAGTGTCCATAAAGCTCTGGCAGAAAAATCTGTTTTTCTTAAATAACTTAAAAAATAATCAATTTAGGGCCATGGTGTCAATGAAAGTTGAATATAAATGTTGCTATTGTGCATCTTTTGGTATCTCTATCTCCATAACTTTCTAAGATATGACAATTTTGTCCAAATTTTGTGTTTTTTTTTTTTTCATAATTATCCAATATCCACAAAGGCCAAAGATGAAATGAGAGACATAAAGTTTGTTCTTTCTGTAGTGATCATAGACTGATTGCATCTCAGTGACAGGAACGGCTCAGGGTTTGGTAAACTCAACTTTCCAGAAAGGTTAAGGATGTTATTAAAGAACAGTGTTGGAGTAACAGATTATATATACCGGCGTTTCATAATCAGAGTACAAATTATGAGTAACTGTATTCAGTTACAGTTACTGTTTTAATGAGTAGTAATGGGATTACAGTTACTTTGTTGAAATACATGGATTACATGGAGGTATTTTCCTGTCTTCGCATTTTGGACTAAACCAGGACTAAAACCAGGACTAAAACCAGGACTAAACCAGGACTAAACCAGGACTAAAAACCAGGACTAAAACCAAAAAAAAACCAGGACTAAACCAGGACTAACCCACTAATAAACCAGGACCAAAACCAGGACTAAAACCAGGACTAAAACCAGGACTAAAACCAGGACTAATAAACCAGGACCAAAACCAGGACCAAAACCAGGACTAAACCATTAATAAACCAGGATCAAAACCAGGACTAAAACCAGGACTAAAACCAGGACTAAAACCAGGACTAAAACCAGGACTAAAACCAGGACTAAAACCAGGACCTAAACCAGGACCTAAACCAGGACCTAAACCAGGGCCAATTTGAAGAGAACAAACATGTATTTTCAGGATGTGGTTGGTACAGTCATGTAGTTTTAAAAAACATGACAATATCAAGTAATCCAAAGTATTCAGATTACGTTACTTACCTTAAGTAATTTAATGGATTCTGTTACAAACTACATTTTGAGGTATGTAATCTGTAATCTGTAGGAGAATACATTTTAAAAGTAACCTTCCCAACACTGTTAAAGAAACACAGATTTTTCAGATCAGATTTAAGGCTTCCAAAGGCCTAGTGGACCCAGTAAACATCAATAGAATTTCATGAAATTTCTCACGGAAGTTTTGGCAAATGTAAAATATTGATACTAGGTACAGATTGATTTTCAAAATTTTTTTCAAAAAGTTGAGCAAATGATGCTCCCTGATGGTCGTACAAACTAATAATAATGATAACAACGGCACAAAATTTTAGACCTGTCTAATCTAACCTGTCATGTTTTGTTCTTTCAGTTTAAAGGGGAAGCACACGAATAGTCTTTCTCTGCGCTTTGTGGATCCGGAGTTGGAGACACGTTACTCTGTGGAGAAAGAGAAGCAGAGTGGAGCCGCCTTCTGCTGCTCTTGTGCTGTTCTGCTCTTCACTGCAGCCATGGAGGCCCTCATAGATCCTTGGTAAACAAACACACTCACCAGGGACGCAGCTTTGCTCAATATAATAACAAGTTCTAACGACATGACCCTCACATTACAGCACACACCAGTCAATCAATATAAATGTCACTACTCCAGAGTGCTGTGTTATGTCAGCTTTCAGATGATATCACAGCATTGTACAGTTCCTATATCACAGTTCACCTTTCGCGGTCTCGTTGTTTTGCGGATTTTTTAGTGCAGTTTTCCATGTTTTTTTTTTTTTTTTTTTTTTACAGCATATGAACGTGTATTGCTTATTACGAGCAGGTAGTAATTACACACGGGTGGGTCAGGACTAAACCAGGTCTAGTCATGGATTTAAGAGAGAGAACGCAGCATATCGGAAAAGACTGGCTCTTGCTGTAAGTGAATAAAATCTTTTTCTTACTTTCTGTCTGTTACGCGTCTGGCATGCAGGGCAGCAATGTCTCTCCATTTGAGGAGATTATCTTCGTGGCTGTTTCCGTAACAGATTATTTCTCCAAGATAGAGCTGTTCGCCCTGCGCTCAACCCCCGGAGACTCCCAGTGGTTTTCTGTGGGGGTTTTCCTTCCCTTAGCCGTCCATTCCAGATATTTGACAGCACCGGATGTTTGTCTTTCGCCTGAAGAATGATCAGGGCCACCAAACGAGGGGGTTTGACATGTGACCTACTAGAAGAGCCTGTGGTATACAGCGGGCAGTCTGCTCAAGGACTTTTTTTTAAGACGTCCACTGTTATTTATTGACCCCCTCAAGGCCTATAGCAGCCTTTTGACACCTCATAAAATGTTGTATCTATTGATCATTTCCATAAAATAACATAGGAAATATTAGTTTTTGTTCATTTGAGGTTTAAAACATTGTATTGATAACCTGACTCGTGTATCTAGATCAGGGGTCTCAATTTGTAACTCAGGAGCTACTCGTAGATCTCCACCCCCTTCCAATTAGTTCAGATTTCTGAATTACCGTATTTCCCGGGCTATTAGACGCGCTCTTAAGCCTCCAACCCCATCAAAAACGACTGCACGCTCCGCAATCCAGAGCGCCCCATACACGAATCCACTCAGGTGTCCCAGCACGACTTCAGTAAACTACAAAGCCACAGAACACGCAAACACACACGGAGCAGACAGCGACCGCACAGCCAAAAACACCCACAGACACACTCATCACTCCACGCCGACGAGGAACGGAACGAAGGAACGAACCGAAAAAGCGAGTGCAATGTGCCGCTTCTAGACACAACTGAACAACTGAGTCACTGCGAACACGCCGACAATCCAGCGATCCCAGACAGCACCCTCCCTACACGCCACAACTGAACAAAGCCCAGAGTCACAGTGAACGCCACAAACAAACAAAACCACTCACCCATCCAACTGTTGTGTTTCGCTTAAAGTCCAGTGCGGTTTATTTGTGAAAAAAGTTTGAAAATATACCATTTAATGACAGTGTGTCTAATAGCCCACACAATACGGTACACATATTGTTTTATAGGTATTTAATTGTTCCAAATTGAAAGGTTTCCTATGCTGAATTTCTTGTGACTGCTAAAAGTAGTAGCTGTTTGGCATTTTTATTTTTGTAAAGGTAGCTCACCGGAGGAAAAAGGTTGGAGACCCCTGAGCTACATACAAATCAAATAGTGATAAAAATGTTTGGTGGCATCTTTAGCACTCAAACTATGGGACTGTAAATGGATTTGCAATATTATGAGTCATTTTATTATTCAAAAACAAGATTATATTCACATTTTAAACACACCCAAGAGCATTAACATTTAAGAAAAAACTGCTGAACAGATATAAGAATCATGCGTTTCAGAACTGGTTTGTAAAGCCTTAATATTCCCATGGTAAGAGTATCAGGGCAGTTGCAGGGTCTTAAAAGTCTTAAAAAGGTCTTAAATTGTATGTTCCTAAATTAAGGCCTTAAAAAGTCTTAAATTATGTTGCTCAAGTCTTTTTTCACAAAGGTCTTTGTCTAATTAGCCTATTTTTTTGTTTACTCAACCAGGCTAAAGTGCGAAGTTAAATGGAGGGAGGGAAAAAAAACAACGTGAAATCACAATCACAGCTTGAATGAACGTCTAATTTTGAGTATGCATAAACAATACTCAGTTTGTCTTGTTAGAATGTTATAAATCATTTTTTGGCCATTTTACAAGCAATACATACGACTGTAAATGAGTTCTAAATGCGATTTTATTTATTTTTATTTATTGTTTAATATTTTATAGGATCATTTGCAGCAAACAAAAACAAAACATAAACCACGACTACATAGGTCATGACAGGAAGAGTCCGAGCTGAAACTAAAGGCACCAAACGCATGCACAACAAGTTTGCATTCACAACTCCACTCACTGTACATATAAGAGACAAAATATAAATTAAAAAAACAAAACTCAATGCATAATTCGTCAACTCCAGAGCTCCATATTTTCCAAAACACAACAGTCTGTACTCTTTTTTTAAAAGGTTTGCAGTGTTGAACTGTTTAAAGTCTTCGCGACGAATATTTTACAAACCAAAATCTCTACTAGAAATTTCTTTCTTCATCATTCTTATTTTGTAAAATTATTTTTATTTTTTATATATATATATATTCCCCCCCCCCCGTTTATGGTCGTACAAACTAATAAAAATGTTAACAAAGTGACGAAAGTTTATCGTTTATGATCGTGCGAAACAGACAATGTGAATGAAACAATGTAAGGATTATTTGTTTTTCGTTTATGGTCGTACAAACTAATAGTAATGTTAACGAAGGCAAAAAAGTTTATCGTTCACAATCGTGCGAAAATGCAATTTTATAATAAAAGTATTTTTTGTTATTTGTTTGAGTAATGGTCATTTTTAGAATTGGATCTGGTGTTTTTCACCCGCATAATGGGCGTGATGTTGTTGGGGTGTTTTAATTTTCATTTAATGGTATTAAAAAGGTCTTTAAAAAAAAAATTAGGTTCGTCAAACCTGGGGAAACCCAGAGTATTCACATCCTACACTGGAATTTGATGAAAACATAAAATGAAAACATAAATTACAAATCTGCGGCCTTTATTTTATGATGGGGAAACTGAAATTTGAGCTGCTAAAACAATACAAGAACCCCATATCTCAATTTATATGTGCATTGTTCGCTTGTAGTCTTGGTTTAGTCCTGGTTCAGATCCGTTTTAATTCCAGTTTTTAGGTTTTGCAGTTTTGAATTCATTTTGTGCATCTCCACCGTCAGTGTACAGCAGATAGTTTGAATAATCTTTTCTGTTCTCTTCTGTGAAAGGTTGATTGCGAACTACATCACATTTGCAGTGGGAGAAGTTCTGCTGTTGATCCTGACCATCTGCTCGCTGGCGGCCATCTTTCCCAGGGTCAGTGAACATGCCACGAGACTTTTACAGATTTTAAATAGAGCCAAAAACATCAAACAAGCCTCTCGACCAAAATCAAAACATGCAAATTGTGAATGAATGACTTTGTAGTTGGTTAAGTGGATTCAGATTCAAGTGCTCTTAAGATTGTTCGGGGTAATTGGCCACATAAACAACACACTGGTCCAGTATAATTTTGAACAAGCCAAAAAGATAATTATTTTTGCAAAGCTTTTTGTTGTTTTCAATGTGATTTGATAAAAAGTGAAAATAACTTGAGCTCGACAAAGTACTTAGTTTAGTAATGGGTATTTGTACAAGTAGTGGTGGTACTATTCAATTAGTTGTAGTAGTTTTAGAAGTATTTGTTGTAAAGTAAATGTGTTCCAAGTTTAGTAGTAGATTTTTTAGATTTTTTTTTTAAATTAAGGACAACAGAATGTAACAGTTAAAAAAACAAAACACAAAAACATTAAGCAACAACCACAACAAATACAAAACAAAAAAAAAGCCCCTATTTCTTTCTGACCACACACGCCGACACAAATTTGGCTAAATTAAACAAAAGTAATGTGGTAGTGCAACATAAACACACCACTAGGCCCCCCTTACATTGACACATTACGGTCAGTTCATAATTTAATTTCCTTTTCTCTCTTTCTTCCTCTTTTTTTTCCTCTCCCATTTTTAAATAAACATTTTTAAACCCTATACTATAGTAGAATATTTTGAGTACTAATTTTTTAAGTAATGTTAGCGTGGTCTATCGGAGAAAATAACAACTGGAATCGATCAATTAAAATCACAAAAATGTATTCCCTATTCGATACAATTCTAGTACAGAGCTCTGGGTCAAATCGTTGCCCCTGATCGCCTGATGTAAGTCCCGTGTAGCTGTAGGCCATCTCAACGCCTGTGTTTCCCTCAACCCAGAAATATAAAACATCAGTATGAATATGCAAATGATATGTTGAGCAGGTACACGCCTTGGATCCTCTCTGAAGCATCTCCGTTTTCCTTTACTGTGAAGGGATGACAGCCAGGTTTAAATTACGTTCAAGTCTATTTAAGCTCGGTGCCAGCCAAGACGACTCCACTGCAACTGCTCTGTGAAGAATTTCCTTAAAAGTGCACAACCTTCATCTCTGCAAAGGGATTACCTTAAAAACACTTCCCTAGCTAGGACCACACTAACAACGGCATAGGGCGAAAAAGTTTATTGATAATGTACGAAGCGGGGCAGAGATGGCTGGGTTGAGACTGTGGGTGGGGGCTCCGTCTCAGTCTTCAATTGGCCCAGCCGGAATGGGACCCCCACCCTGTAGGCGTCTTATGACTGAAAGACAAAATAGTGGATGGGAGGGTGGGGTCGAGTTAGCCGAGACCAACAGGGATGATGGGAAAGGCTGCTATATATAGGCTTCTGGGAAATTAGAGGCGTGGTGGAGGAGTGGTTGGCTGATGAGAGGAGAGGGCGGCTGAGGCGTGGTCCTGCTCCTGAATCTCAGTTAATCATATTAACCACATATGTTTTCACACAGTGGTACCTTTAGACATATATATCAGATTTCAGTGGTTAAGCATTAACTCAATGTGCAATATTCAAACAAATATATAATCTCAGTATTTAATATACGCACGATACTTTATAACTTGATATAGTCTTCAGTAACCACGTTTGACTTGTGTTTCTTTTAAATGGATGCACAACAATAAAAAAATTTTCAAATATTACACAATCCAACAATATGAGCCTATGTAAATGATTTAACATTTGCCAACCACTTTAACAACTAAACCTTAAAAAGACTTGATTTATAAGAAAGAAATTGTTTATTAAAGGGCCCATATTACACTATTTTCTGATCTAGGTCATGATGTTGTTTCGTCATCACAAACATAGTTAAGGCTGGGTATTAAGAAGTTGCCGATACAATACATACCTCTATACCTAAACAATATGATACATATTTCAATACAGTGCACTTTCGATTTGATACAATATATTTCAAACTGTTTCAACCACTTCTTGTGCAAATTTAATATGAAACGCCCACTTTAATCATCAAAACAGAGAAAATGTCAAATGTGTTGCATAAATGAGTTTCCTTCCTCTAAACAAGCAGCAAAACTGTAGCTGTAACAAAATAATTCAGTAAAATATACCAAAAAATACTCTTGGCGATATATTGATTCAGCAGCCCCCGATATCGATACTGTATCATCACATTAAATGATACGATATACGATATATATAGATATTTTGATATTTTTGCAATCCCCTAAACATACTGTACCTGGAGTTGTGTTTTATTTCATTCACACATGTTTAATTCACTAATCCTGTAAACTGTATTTAGGCTGAGTTCTTCTTTTTTCCACTTTGTGATGTCAAGAATTCCGTTGACGTTTAACACTCCATAAACATTTATTAGAATCATTTGGACAATTTCAGCTCTGGAATTGCCCATTTTTACTGTGCTAAAGGTAAATGCAGCTGTTAACTTGGAAAACTACCACTACATGACATCACAAGGTGGAACAAAGCATTTTGAGCTTTGCAGATGTAGACAGACAAATAATATAGATTTATAAACATGAATGAAACGAATCACAACTCCAGGTATGTTTGTTTTTGATGAAGTAACAATATTATAACATGGCTTAAAACTCAGAGCCAATTTTTTATAATTAGGACCTTTTCTTTTTTTGTAGTAGTAGTTTTATTCAGTCATTTTGCAGCACTACAAAACAAAACAGAACAAAACAAAACAAAACATAGACTACAATCCCACAGATCCGGGCTGAAAGGGTTTAGGCCGAAATAAAAAGTACTTATAATGCCAAACCTTTTTAAGAAGGATTCAGGTTTAGTAACTACTTAATTCATGATTAACTAACTTCTAACTCTAACCCCTTAATCAAGTCTTTGTTCATGTTTTTAAGGCTTTTAAAAGTGTAGTTATTAAAAGTATTAAACCTTTTTTATTTTCAATATATTTGTATTTTACACATATAAACAGACATGTCAAACTGTGTCCCGCGATTTAATTATATTTGGTCCTCGAGATCATATCAAACATGTATTAGAGCTGCCCGTCGGCAACAGATAGACTATAGAGGCATTATTTATTTAAAATGTTGTTATTATTTTATACTATACTTTTTCTGGTTTCAATGTTTAAGCAAAATTAAATAAATTAAAATAAATTGAACATTTAAAAAGAACGAAAAAACTGAGGCGTTCAAAAAGTACAAAATAATTAAAAGCCTTTAGTACCACATGGCAGATAAAGTTAAAATGTGTGTGTTAAGATGTGATTTTAACTTTATCTGCCATGTGGTACTAAAGGTTATTTTGTACTTTCTGAGTGCCTCACTTTTTTCCTACTTTGTATTTGAGACTGGTCCCTACACTGAAGAGCACCAAAAGGACAATTCTGCACAATTTTTGTATATCGAAGTAACACTCCTGCCCCCAAAGCTTTGCAAAATTAAAAATTTATTTTAATGAGAAAAGTTTTATATCTCGAAAGAAGAGAAAACATGCAGATCTTGAATTTTTTTAAATAAATTTGGCCCACGACTTAGTCCCAGTTTTTTATTTTAGCCCTCTGTGAATTTGAGTTTGACGCCCCTGCTCTATTCTAAATAAAAATATGAAAAAAATAGCATTCATAAAATTATAATTACCGTAATAATTTATTTCAGTTGGAGTGGTCCAGGTTCATTTTTCAGTCCTGTCTTGAACCCTGAATTGTTGAAAACCCTGTGCACTCACTTCCAGTCTGTTCATTATTTTTTGGCACCCCCTCTGCGCTTTTGGGCCCTTCCTGTTTGTGGAAACTCGGATATATTGATACGTCCCACGGGAGCTGGGCCAGTATTGATCCCCCCCCGCACAAAATCCAACATGGCGGACCGCTGACGGGGGGTGTGAAGATGCGCTGTCACTGTTAATAAAGCCGCGGGCGTTTGGAAGCGAAGTCAATATAGTTTCAGATTAAAACGTCCGACAGTCAGCAGACATCAGCTTGCGTTACACGGTCCGGTTTGAGGCAGTGAGGCGGAAGGCGGTCACGTTTACTGTACAACTGTGGCCTCCCTCGGGCTTCAGATACAACACCTCCATTTACAGGATGTTACTGGTCAATAATGAAATCAGATTTAAGCCAGAATTACTTTTAGAAGAGAACGTTTATGACTGTTTTTGTATTTAACTTGTCCCTCCAGTTTATGACTGTTTTTGTATTTAACTTGTCCCTCCAATTTATGCTTCCCTGCTGAGATAAATGACATTAGATTTAATCAAAAGATGTCAGGGATGTAACGATATCCAAATCTCTCGGTATAATATTATCACGATATGCGTGTCACGGTACGATATTTATTGCGATATTGATTTGAGGTTGATATAATTGTAGATAGGACACTTTTTTGCTTTTAAAATACCCTGACAGATTTTGGTGTGAATTATTTCTGTCATAATCCCAAGAATTCAAGTAAAAAACGCATCTCTTCATGTTGTCTGCACTGAAATGAATCATGGGATATGTAATTCCCGATGTTTATGAGCTGGAACTACTATAAAACAATGCATTTAAGCAAAGGAACTTATAATTCGATATATTGTGACAGCCCACGATGTTATTGTGAGACTTTTGATGATACAATATCACGATATTTCGGTTATTGTTGCATCCGTAATGACAATGCAAATAGTTTTCTTGTATTTAATCATTCTTGTATAATATCAGATAATAGCAAGCTTATCTGGCAGCCATTGTTGCAGCCAAATTAAATATGTATTAGAGCTGCCGCCGGCTACAGATAAACTATAGAGACATTATTTATTTAAAATTTTGTTATTATTTTACATTATACTTGTTTTGGATTCAGTGTTTAAGCAAAATTATTGTTAAACCTTTTCTTATTAAAATAAATGTTTAATATTTCATATCTCAAAAGAAGAGAAAACATGCAGATTTTGTTGAAATTTAACAATAAATATTTAGTTTGGCCCACAACTTAGCCCCAGTTTTTAGTTTAAGCCTCTGTGAATTTGAGTTTCATATCCCTGCCCTGGACCAAACTTAAAGTTATGTGGCTGTAATGTTGTGCCTATTATTATACCACCCAAAAATCTAAACACAAAGGTTACTGGGCAAATGGTTCTCAGCTATTGCCCCCTTGGATGCACTTTTAAATGACTAATGAAAGTGTATTTGTCTGCAGGTTTTCCCAAAGAAGCTGGTGTCCTTCTCCACGTGGATCGACCACACGCGCTGGGCCAGAAACACCTGGGCTATGACGGCCATCATCATCCTCACTCTGGCCGACATCGTGGACATGGTGAGCTCCTCTTCTTGCTCAGTAGTACCTGGCAGAGGTGGGGACTTGCAAGTCGTGACTTGGACTCGAGTCAAACTTGAGTCACTATTTTTAGGAGACTTGAGACTTGACTTGATAAGGCAAGGCAAGGCAAGTTTATTTGTATAGCACAATTCGTACACAAAGTAATTCAAAGTGCTTTACAGAATAAGAAATACATTAAAATCATAATAAAAACAAATCAAAACATAAATAGTCATGAAGATTAAAATTAAAAAAGAGAGACATAAATTGGAGAGAAGAGTGCAGAATGAAAACCTTTCAGTTATATGCACAGTTAAACAGAAATGTTTTGAGTCTGGATTTAAACAGCGTCACTGAAGAGGCCTGTCTCACATGTTCAGGAAGACTGTTCCAGGTTTTAGCTGCATGAACCTGAAACTCTGACTCCCCTTGTTTAGTCGTGACTCTGGGCACCAGCAGGAGGCCGGTCCCTGAGGTCCTCAGAGTGTGAGATGTTCATACGACACTAACATGTCACAGATGGACTTTGGTGCTCGGCCATGGAGACACTTGTACAAGCAGAGCTGCTTTAAAGTCTCTGAGCCACAGGAGCCAGTGCAGAGACCTGAGACCAGGACTTATGTGCTCGTACTTCCTAGTTCGAGTAAGGACCCGAGCTGCAGCGTTCTGGATGTTCTGCAGCGTCTCACAGCTCGTTTGGAGAGACCAGTGAGCAGAACATTACAGTATCTAACCTACTGGAGACAAACGCATGGATAAGTTTCTCCAAGTCTGCTTTAGACAGTAAACCTTTGATTTTTGCTATGTTTTTTAGATGGTAAAAGGCTGCAGATGTTATTGATTTGATGTGGCTGTTAAAGTTCAAGTCTGAGTCCATTATTACCCCTAGATTTCTTGCCTGATTTGAAGGTTTTAGAGAGAGAGACTGGAGGTGACTGCTGACACTGTCCCTTTGTTTCTGTGGACCAAAGACTATGACTTCAGTCTTGTCAGAGTTTAGCTGGAGAAAGTTGTTTTTCATCCACACACTGATCTGTTGGATGCAGTGACCAAGTGAGTCCACTGGTCCATAGTCTCCTGCTGCCAGAGAGACGTAGATCTGATAAAATGGACTAAGACTTAGGACTCGACTTGGACTTGAAGTTCAGTGACTTGGGACTTGGCTCGGACTTTAGGCCTGTGACTTGAGAAGACTTGACACTTCTCTTAAAAAAAAATACATTATATGTTTCTAGAAAATACTTTTCTCTTTACAGTTGATACATGAGGTACTGGATTGTAAAGGAACACACTGGAACATGTCTCTCCCACTTCTGTTACTTTGGATGAAACTGAAGTACTGTGACATGCAAATGTACTACAGTAATACACAGTACAATACAGTAAAACAGAGGGAACTACATAGAACATGATTCTTCCATTTCAGTGCAGATTACATGACAAAATCTTAATTAAATCTTAATTCTTTCTGTTCTGACCGTAATAATTCACACTAAGCTCTTGTTAAAAAGGGGGGAAAAATGCATTTCTACAACTCTAAATGCTCTTTTTTAGTACAATTTTGCTTAAAAGTCACATAAATTGCAAAAATCTGAAGACTTGAAATAACTTGAAGCTCAAAGGAGAAGACTTGGACTTTACTTGGACTTTTGGGCCAGTGACTCGAGACTCAACCTGGACTTGCCTGTATTTGACTTGGGACTTGACTCGGACTTAAGGTCAAAGACTTGAGACTTGCAAAACATTGACTGGCTCCCACCTCTGGTACCTGGCTTGAGAATTTGCCTAATGTGCATGTTTTTATTGATGAGGAAATCCACTCAAACACAAAAAGAACATGTAAGCTCTGCGCCCAACCGCTGGGACCTTCAGACCAGAATTCTAAACACTGGCCGCACTGGTCAAACGTACAAAATTAAGAACAAAAACATTATGCAATAGTGCTATCTGTTTCATCTGTTGTCCTAAGGCAGATAAAACCTTTCTCCCTCTCTCTCTTGTGTGCAGTTGAGCTGTTTACCTCTTGCGTCAGACCTCTCCTCCCCCACATCCACCCCCTCCTCTCCGCTCCCTCCCCCCTCCTCCGGGCCCGGGCGAGGGGGATGTCCCGAGAACCCAAAGTACTACAGTTACATCGCGGTCCTCGCCCTGATGGCCACCACGATGCTGGTCCAGGTCAGTCACATGGTCAAACTCACGCTCATGCTCCTCATCACGGCGGCGACCGGCATCGTCAACATCTACAGCTGGAGGGACATCTTTGACCGCTACGACAAAGAGCGCTTCCAGGAGTACAGGTAACCACAGCGGGAACGTGGTTTACGATGTAAGTCAATGACCCAACTCAAATTTAGGATGTAGGATTACTTCATTTAGAGTAAGAAAACATTGTTCTAAGGCAAAAAATTAACTAAAATCCTTGCTATATAAACAATGTATATGTACACTGCCGGGCAAAAGTTTTAGAACATCCTAATTTTTCCAGTTATTTATTGCAATTCAAGCCGAATGAAGAGCTTGAAATGGTACAAAGGCAAATACTGAACAGCCAGAGGTTTAAAAAAAAAAAACGAAAAAAAAAACCGATGAAACATAACAAAACACAAGTCCAAGCTCTGCCAAAACTTCCTCAGGAAGAAAGAACAAGACTGTGAGCTTGAAAACATGGAGTGTCCAGCAGCACAATCTCCAGACTTAAACCTCATCGAGCTGGTTTGGGATGAACTGGACAGAAGAGTGAAAACCATGAAACCTACAAGTTCCACACCATCCATCCATTTTCTTCCGCTTATCCGGGGCTGGGTCACGGGGGCAGCAGTCTAAGCAGGGACTCCCAGACTTTCTTCACCCCAGACACGCCCTCCAGCTCCTCCGGGGGAACCCCGTGGCATTCCCAGGCCAGAGAGACATAGTCCCTCCAGCGTGTCCTGGGTCTTCCATGGGGCCTCCTTCCGGAACATCTCCCGACGGAGGCGCCCAGGAGGCATCCGGAACAGATGCCCGAGCCACCTCACCTGGCTCCTCTCGACGTGAAGGAGCAGCTGCTCTACTCCGAGCTTCTCCTGTGTGACTGAACTCCTCACCCTATGTTGTCCTGTTGGCTTCATCAAGCCAGGACCTGTAGTGTGCACTGGGGCGGTTTGCAGTTCAAGGCCATGGTTCTCGACCAGAAAAAGGTGTCTTGCCCTCTCCAGGTGGGTGGAGAGTCCCTGCCTCAAGTGGAGGAGTTCAAGTATCTTGGGGTCTTGTTCACAAGTGAGGAGAGGACGGAACGTGACATTGACAGGTAGATCGGTGCAGCATCTGCAGTGATGCGGTCGCTGTATCGGACCGTTGTGGTGAAGAGAGATTTACCGGTCAGTCTTTGTTCCTCCCCTCACCAATGGTCATGCGCTTTGGGTAATGACTGAAAGGACGAGATCATGGATACAAGCGCTCGAAATGAGTTTCCTCACCCAAGTGCCACACATTTATGGGAACTTCTGCAACAGACTTGGGAAGAACTTTCTGAAGAATATTTGATTTCTGTTGTAAAAAGAACAAGCCACGAGTGTGTTCAGCTGCTATATCTGACAAAGGTGGACACCTTCATGAATCAAAAGATTAGAATATGTTTTGGTCAACGGTAAACTGTAAACAGAAAAAAAAAAAAGTGTGGTGTTCTAAAACTTTTGGTCGGGTAGTGTATATCTTGTAGCTCTTAGCGTGCATTGGTCCACAATATGAATTAACTTCTAATAAGCAATCATGACTAAGAACTGTATGCACAAGAGAAGGATGCAAATATTTACTTATTACATCAATGGAAGTAATAGACATTTCCAGTTCATGTATATAATTTCGGAGAATTGAGGGCACTGTCAGGCTGGGCTAGAACGAAGAGTCCCATGATCTGCATTTGGTCCATGAGCCACGTATTGGAAATGTCCTTGAGTTTCCTTGTGTACATACTGTTTGTGAATCAGCTCCTGTGGTCTCTCTTTTGGTCTTTTGACAGCAAAGTTTGGGGCAGACCATAGATGTACTGAAAAGTTTTTGAAAGTTTTAGTCAGGTTTTTTTTTTTTTTTTCTTTGGTTGACCACTGCCCAAAAAATAATATTCATTTGGTAACGTTTGATCAGATCAACATTTATAAACTCAGATTAAATTTTTTTATTTGTTTTTTATTGATTTAAACTATTTCCTTTTGTTTTGTTGCAGCCCAAACTTGGTTCCCTCCAAATTCACCATGACCGTTATGATCTTCATTATGATGGTCAGCTTCTACTATTTCTCCAGACACGTAAGTTTTGCATCTCTGCTTTGACTCTGCTTTTGTATTTTTGTCTTCACGGAGATGCCCGGAATGCCCCACAGTATGGCATTAAATGCAACTATCTTTGCTGCAGGTGGAGAAACTGGCGCGGACTTTGTTTTTGTGGAAGATCGAGGTTCACGAGCAGAAGGAGAAGGTTTATGAGATGAGACGCTGGAACGAAGCTCTGGTCACAAACATGCTGCCAGAGCACGTGGCCAGACACTTCCTCGGCTCCAAGAAGAGAGACGAGGTAGACATTCTTATGTGTCTAATGTGTATTTTTAAATATACATAGTCAGATTTATGTTATTTTGCTATAGAAAATATCACAATACAGAAAAATACTGAAACTACTTTTTACCACTGACACAATTTTCCTAAAGCAGTCGTACTCCCATTAAACCCTCTGTAAATGAACCATATTGGAGAGAAAAACTAAAATAAGTTTTTAGTGTCAATAATGAGCCATAGATTTCATAGACTTCATAGATTTCACTTTCTACAAATCAAATCTTATACAAAAAAGAAAAGGTAGTGTAAACAAAATGTACACAATAAGTATTGAGCTTCAAAAATATGATTCTTTCTATAATTATCTAGTACAGGGGAGTCAAACTCAAGTTCACAGAGGCCAAAATTAAAAACAGGGGCCAAGTCGTGGGCCAAACTAAATATTTATTGAAAAATTTCAACAATATCTGCATGTTTTCTCTTCTTTTGAGATATTTAATGTTAAACCTTTTCTTATTAAAATAAATGTTTAATAATAGTTTTGCTTAAACATTGAATCCAGAACATATAATAATATAAAATAATAACTTTTTTTTTTAACAAATAATGTCTCTGTAGTAGAGGTAAGATCTTAAGACCGAGCCCAAGCCCGACCCGGGTCTAAAATGTCAATCATTACTTCGGGTCGGGTCGGGCTCGGGCTTCAAATAAATATATGTTTATAAAATGTATGCTAAAACGATGTGTGGATACTAAACTAAGGAATACTTGTTATAAAATAAATAATATGGATAAAACAGAGAAGTAATGTAATGTAATTGCTATTTAACTACTAAACAGGATCCGCAGAGCCAGAGCTCTGCGCACGTGAACGCCCCCTCTTCATTTAATCATCTTCCCCTCCGCAAGTCTGCATCTATTTTGACCTGGTGTCCCCAATATGGAGGAGCAAGAAGTTAAACTAAAGGCAGGAGAACTGAAAAGACAAACACGCACCGGTAAGAGTGAGGTGTGGAAAAGCTTCAAATTGATTGTTGAAAATGCTACAGAAACTTGCGTTGGCTTCGCTGAATGTGGCGCTTTGCTTTCATACGAGAGCAAAAAGACTGGCACCTCGACGCTGAGCACTGCTCCTCCTCCCGAGTCACAAATAAAATATGACATTTCGGGTTTGCTTCGGGCTCGGGCCTGCAAATCAAGTTAATTGGTCGGGCTCGGGCCGGGTCGGGTTTTAATACCCGCGGGCCGGGTCGGGTCGGGCTGGATTTTTTAGGCCCGATCTCACCTCTACTCTGTAGCCTATCTGCAGCCAGCGGGACAGTTCTATTAAATATTTGAAACTATCTCGTGGGCCAAATTTGGCCCCCGGGCCTGAGTTTGACATGTCTGACCTAGTAATTATCATGACCATAATACATAATAGGTTTTATTCATATTTGTTTAACATTTTGCACCTTTGCATTGGCATTTCTCCTGTTATTTTATACATGGAAAACTGAATCCCTGTTTGGAAATTGGAAAATCTGTGTAGTTATCACAGTATGAAGCGAACAGATTCTTGCTAATGAAGGCAAAAGCATTCAATTGAAGTCAAAGTGCATTATTTCATAGAGCATTGCAGTGATTTTTAGAATCAAAATCAGAATTTATTTGTCATTTCAGTATTAAAAAAACTCACAGAAACGAAACACAGCACTCAGGTCCAACTCAACAGCAACATAAATAGTAATAGAAATAAATAGTTTAAAATAACGTATGTCAAATACAGTCTTTAAAAACAGCCCCCACCTGCCCCTGTTTTCTAAAGTGCTTTCCAAGTCAGTGCTATTTTGTAAGGTGCATTAGTGTCCAGGGTTTCTGACAGAATTGATCTGCCTAACAACATCAGGATAAAAACTGTTCAGGAGTCTGGTGGTTCTGGCCCGTAGATAATTGTCAGGTGATTGGTAGTAAATTAAACAGACTTAAAACCAGGGGGGACAGAGCCTTTTCTGTGACCCTAAACTCATGAACACCCCACAGTGGAGTGTTTTAAGTCTCATCTAAAGACCCACTTTTACTCTCTGACTCTGATCCCATGAGTTGTATGGTCCTCTGTGTTTTTAAATGTATTTATTTAATTTTAATTTGTATATTATTTTATTGATTTTATTTGTTTATTGCTATTTTATGGCTTTTATTTATTTTATTTAGTATTTTAGGATTGGCGGGGGTAAAATGAGTATTTATACCCTCTGTTGGTTTTTTTTATACTTTTTGTTGTTTTTAATGTTATCTTTATAAATGTAGCACTTTATTTATATAGCACATTTTATCAACAAAATAGTTTCTAAAGTGGATTTGGGTTTTCTTTGCCTCTGCAGGAGCTGTACAGTCAGTCGTACGATGAGATTGGAGTCATGTTCGCTTCCATCCCAAACTTCTCTGATTTTTACACCGAGGAAAGCATCAACAACGGAGGCATCGAGTGTCTGCGCTTCCTCAACGAAATCATCTCAGACTTCGACAGTGTACGACATATGTTTTAGATTATATGATTTCAGCTACATTCATTATTCCCCCTGTATTTTATGTTAACTGTGTGACAGATAGAATAGAATAATATATAAAAGTGCTCTGTAGCCTTCTGTAATCTCCATATAGTAGTTATTAGTTTGCTCAGAATGCTCCAGAGTATGACATTATTCATAGTTATCTTTAATACTGATGTAACAATAACCAAAATATCGTGACATCATATCGTCAAAAATTCTCACACTAATATTGTGGACCATCACAATATATTGAATTACAAATCTCTTCTCTTAAATTAAGAGTTATGGTGCAGCAATAACAAACAAAAAAAACAGAGGGAACTACATAGACCATGATCCTTTGCTCCATTTCAGTGAGACTACATGAAGAAATAACAGTTATAATCACTTTTAAATCTTAGTTCTCAAGTTCTCTAACTAAGGCATTTTAAGAGGAAAAAGTATATATCGTAGTGTGAGATGCATATCGTGAAAATATTGTACCGAGAGATTTCGTTACATCCCTAATCTTTAATTGCAAATGTTTTATTACATAGAACGACTCCTGTCCACATTAGTACATATTCGAGTTGTTTTCGTTGTGGATGCAGTATTCGTCCACACTAATCCGATGGAAAACGACTTCAGAGATGGAACGATCTGGTGCCGTCAGCTCCCACAAATCCATCTGAGTACAGATCTGATCTGGCACTGTGTGGACACCTGAAAACACTGATACGCTGATGTAGGAGCTCTAGTTGCGTCTTTATTGGACCACGTTACTTTGACTTGCACCTTCCTGATACGTTGGGTTTGTGGCATTGGTCGTGTGACGCTATTGCAGAAAACAGTTTAAACCAATCAGAGACAAACGGGAAACAGTGGAGGAGTTAGAACTACTTATTACTTTCACACTTGCCATCTTCCTCAGCTCAAAATCGGCTGCTGCAACTTCAGACACGGTGCTCCACTTCCTTGTTTTTACTGCCCACGTGACGTCGTGATGATGTGACGCCAGCCTAGTCATGTAACTAGTGTTTCAGGCAGTTTTTGCGTTACTGTGTGGATAGGGAAGGCTTGCGGACACAGAAACGACGTGTCTGGATGCAAATCGTTTCCAATACGCGATATGGTTCGTTTCAGTGTAAACGTAACCTCCCCACAGATCTGACCTGTAACCTATCTTGAAGCCATATTGTAGATAACTTGTAGGTAACTTGTTCTTATAATATATATATTTTCTCTGTCTGTTTTTTCAGCTTTTGGATGAGCCTCAGTTTCGGTGCATCACTAAAATCAAGACGATCGGCAGCACGTACATGGCAGCGTCCGGGGTCACTCCAGACGTCTCCAATGGATACTCATGTGTCAAGGTTTGCACTTTTTAGCTTTTCACCATGTTATAATCTAGTTGTAGGTTTGTCTTTCTTTTCTTTTTTTACTTTTTAATTGTGCTTTTTCAAAATTTTAGAACAGTCAGTCTGTGGGGATCTACAAAAAAATAGAAAAATAAAGTACCTCATACTTTCGAGTGGGTTTTGTAAATAGACCATTTGGACCATCGCTTTTAAAATTTACCAGCTTTCAGTCTCAAATAATAGGTTATTTTTTCCATCCCATAAATTTCCTCCATTATCTGTCCATCGCTGTAATTTTAAAGAGTCATCCTTCAGCCAATTTCTTTTTATTACTTTCTTACTGGCCAAGAGCATCACTTTAAACAAATGGAAGTCCTCTGTTCGAATGTTGTTTTTATGCAACGAGCCCAAGTACATAACACGTGCGTCATTGTGTATTTTATAGCCAAATACCTCTTCCATTACAATTGCAATGTTTTCCCAAAAAGATTAAGTTTGTCTTTCTGAGTAGTACCAGATCTGAATCAAGTTTTGGACTGTTCAAGGTCTAATCCGGGGTGAAACCAGGTCTAAAAGTGGACTATCATTTCCACTGTAGTTCTAAACAAGCAATTATCCAAAGGAGGACAGAGAAGTGGAGACAATTAACTCTAAATTAGGCAAACCCACAAACTGAAGAGCTGTTCAAGTACCGTCTGAAGGAGCACCTGAACCACCATTTGAGAAACACTGTATTATATTATATTTACGGTAGTTATGTTTTGTTTCTTTCATGCATGTCCGGTAAATTGGTCTGTCTTTCTCAGAACTCTAAACTCACATGGCCTCTTGTGCGCTCATTATTTTGATGCACATTGATGTTTTTAGTTTCATGCAAATATATTCACTTTAAGAGGCCAACAGGCTTAAGTATTTCCAGTGGTGGAAGGTAACAAAGTACAGAAGTAAGTACAAATTTTACACAACTGTAAATTATACAATGGATACTTTTTACTTTTACTTCACTACATTTGAGAGCAGCTATCTGTACTTTCTACTTTCTACATTTTAGATCTGGGCTGAAAAGTAAAAGGTATTTTTCTTTATAATGCAAGTCCTGCTGAAAAGGCTGAGGCTTTTTTAGTCATAATATTTTTATTGAGCCAAAAAGGGAGCACAATTCAAATTGTACAGGAGGGCCCGGTCAAGCAGAAGTAAACATCAAGGCCAAAAATTCAAGTTAATACATCTGATATAAAAATGTATTGAACAGATACATATGTACTCTAGTTTATGAAACTGTTTACCTTTTTTCTGTACCATTTTTGGTTTTAAAGTTCCATATGTTTTAAACAGACCATGTATGAAACATGGAACAAAAATTATTTCCCAAATTTCAAAGACCTGCAAATCATGTAAATAAATGGATGTATTTCATCATATCTTGTGTTATTCCATCTTTGAACTGTTGATGAAGGTACATGATTTTAAAATTATAAAAATTTGCTTGGAAGGACTGACATATTTTATAGAAATAGCTTCCTTTCATTTTGAAGTAATATTAAAGTATTCAGAAGAAAAAAGCGACAAATTATGCAAAATCATGCACCTTCTACTTGCTTGTACTATTTTCCCTCCGTTACTTTTCCCTCCGTTACCATGATCTTTCTTAATAAAAAATCTCATTACTCAAAAAGTAACAGGTAAGTAACAGTGAGAGCCACTAGTTATCACTGTTTGTATTTATTGCCCAAAAAGTGCTGCATATTTCATTCCCTCCGTTACCGACATGAGTTTAATTTTTTGTCAACAACTTGAAAGAATATCACAGGTTTAACTTTACCCTGTTGGAGTGTAACTCTTTCCTACATTCTGATATCTTTCTTATTTCAATAGTCCCTCTAGTTTCTGAATAAGAGCTATTTGAATGTAAAAAAATCTGCCTGTTTCCCTCCGTTACCACTTGACCGGACCCAGGATCACCAGCGCTCAATACTTTTTGGTATATAAAAGTTAAAATAAAAATAAATTTCACAAACTGAGAACAAACATAGTAACATATATCTGTGAATTTGGAGATGTTATTCACATAGTTACAGATTCTAAAAAATAAATAAAAGGTTGCCACACTTTCTTAAATGACATTAGTTTATCCTTTAACAAATATCGTATTCTCTCTAGATGTAAAATGTTAACAAGATCTCGGAGCCACATTTTACATTAAGAGTAATTTCTTAGCATTAATAAGACAATAAGAAATGAACTGCTTTTGGGCTGATGTCAGGTTACTAAATACTTCTGATGTAAACAAGGAAAATTAACAAGGTTTCCAGCAATAATGTCATTTTAACAATCTGCGATATTGTATTAAACACATCAGACCAGTAGTCGGCCACTTTTGGACACGAGAAAAATGCATGGTATAACGTTGCATCAAAGGAAATCCTGAGACTTTTTATTTACATTTTTTTAGCACATTTAATTTGGAGTTTCTTGTCTGAACTTTGAGCAAACCAAACACACAAAAGCAGCTGGAAAAATAAGAAATCAGTTGAATCACTTAAAATCTGCCAAATTATTTTTCAAAATCACTGTATTTCATCCTTTAATTGTGAACTGTTGTTAATGTTAATTCTAAAAATCTCTGCAAAATAGTTTTACTTTTTACTCTTAAAGTGCATTTTTAAACAGGTACTTTGATACTACTTTTAGGGCCTGTTTATACGAGAATGCTTGCGGGTAAAAACGACAAAATATTTTATCGGAAGTGCCTTTTGTTTAGACGGTGATTGCGTTTTTGGGGTTTAAAAACGCAAAAAATCTGAAGCCACCCTCCAGAGTGGAAAAGTTGAATACACTCCGCCATAACTTTTTACCTTTTGTATTTGTATTTTTACTTAAGTAACAAAATTTAATACTTCATCCACCACTGGTTATTTCCAAAACATAAACAATAGATTAATACTTCAAGAAATGCTGAAGTTATAGTAGTTCGAAAAACAAGTGCAGTCTATGGGATCTTTATGCATCTCGTGTCTGTTCTGAAGTTGTTTGTAATGAGTTTGTTGTTTGTTTTGTTTTTGTTTGGATCAGAAGGAGGATCTGACGGACCGCGAGCGCTGGCAGCATTTGGCCGACCTCGCAGACTTCGCTTTGGCCATGAAAGTCACGCTCATGAACATCAACTACCAGTCCTTCAACAACTTCATGCTACGAATAGGTACTGACTGAAGATTTCACTTTTGACAGACTATATTTATTTTTATTATTTATTTAAAGGTCCTATATTATGCTTTTCTGGACACTCAAAGACGGTCAAAAGAGCAATAAGCAAATAGTACTGTAAATATTAAAGCAGTGAATCATATTGAGAAAAGTTAAGCATTAAAAGCTATTCTAAACAGATGGGTGTTGAGAGTTTTATTGAAGGCGGTGAGGTCAGTGCAGTCGCAGAGTTGCTGAGGTAGTGAGTTCCAGAGGATGGGGGTGGTGATAGAGAAGGCTCCATGTCCCCAGGGTCGGAGCTCGGTCCTGCAAGGGAGAGACAGGAGGTTTGCGTCACAGGAGCAGAGGGACCGGGATGGAGGAGGTGTGGAGGTGCAGCAGGTCTTAGAGGGAGGATGGGGCCTGGATGTGGTGGATTTTGATGATTGTGAGCTTTAACCAAGCTCTGGGGTCAAGTCAATAGGCCGAGCTCAATGACGCATGACTCCAGATTCTCCTTTAACCCAGTGAGGTACTTCCAGTGGCTCCGGGTCGATTGAGCATCCACAGTAGTGCTCTTTTCTCCCGCAGGCACATGCGAGCGTACGCACGGAGCACGGTCTTGTGTATCACGTGGTCGCTTTGACCAATCAGAGCGAGAGGAGCTAGAGCAGAGCAGAGCCAGAGCTAACGATTAGAAAGCGTTTTTTAAGACAGCTGAAGGATTTTGAGCTGAGAAAAAGTTTATGATCTAAAAATAGGTAAAAATTGCCACAACATCGACATTTTTGAAAGTTGAAGGTGCCCTGTCAGCTGAACATGAGCAGTTTGTGATTACATTGCGGCATATGAGAAAAATCCTTTCTCAGCCCAGGGGATTTTTTCCGCTGTAGCACCAGTGAGTGGCCACTACATCAGCTCGAGGCAGCTACAAGCAGCAACACCCTATCCAGTTATTTAATAGATCCATGGCTTAAAGTCATGTTACAATGCATCAAAAACACACCTGGAGCTGTGTTTTGTTCAATTCTCACATGTTTGAGTAGTCCATTATTATTAGCAGTGTTGGGAAGGTGACTTTTTAAATGTATTCCCCTACAGATTACAGATTACACACCACAAAATGTAGTTTGTAACGGAATCCATAAAGTTACTTAAAGTGAGTAATGTAATCTGAACACTTTGGATTACTTGGTTTGCTGTAGAGCAGCAAAGACCAGGAAATCTTCCCATAAGATGTTTTGTCTGTTAAAAGAAAATAAAAAGCACAGACTTTACTTTAAAAAATTAAAAATATTATTGATAGAGCAAGAGGAGACACGGTCCACACAGCATGATTTAGTCCTGTTAAATCCTGTTTGAGACATAGTTTAGACCTGGTTTTAGTCCTGGTTTAGTCCTGGTTTAGTCCTGGTTTAGACCTGGTTTAGACCTGGTTTGGACCTGGTTTTAGACCTGGTTTGGACCTGGTTTTAGACCTGGTTTGGACCTGGTTTAGGCCTGGTTTTAGTCCTGGTTTAGTTCTAGTTTAGACCTAGTTTAGACCTGGTTTTAGTCCTGGTTTTAGTTGTGGTTTAGACCTAGTTTAGACCTAGTTTAGACCTAGTTTAGACCTAGTTTAGACCTAGTTTAGACCTGGTTTAGTGTCCACCTGGTTTAGTGGGATTACCAAAAAAAAAAAAATCCATTTACCACTCACTGAAACAGTAACTGTAACTGAATACAGTTACTCATAATTTGTACTCTGATTACGTAACTCCGGTACATGTAATCTGTTACTCCCCAACACTGATTATTAGGCATTCCACATTCTACTTTCTGTAATACTACTGTTTCCTATTTGAGAAAAAAAGCCCAAATATGCAGACTTTGTCCATTCAAATGTGTGTGACTGAAACAAAACAAAACACAACTCCAGGTCTTGATGCGTTAGATAAAACAAGAGCGGTAGAGCACTTCACTGCATCTTAAAAGAGTAAAAAGTATCAGTACAGGTGTTTTACGAGGGTTAAGGCAGTGGTCTTGGAACAGGAAAATGTAAAAATGGGTAAGGTAGAAACCCGAGGCACTCCGACTGAATATATTAAAAGTCCTTTATTACATGAAGGGACCCCAACGTGTTTCGACCAGCAGGATCGTCGAAACACGTCCCTTCATGTAATAAAGGACTTTTAATATATTCAGTCGGAGTTCCTCGGGTTTCTACCTTACCCATTTTTACATTTTCCTGTAAGGGTTAGGGGTGTGCAAAAATATCGGAATATCGATATATCGTATCATTTAATGTAATGATACAGTATCGATATCGTGGGCTGCTGTATCGATATATCACCAAGAGGATTTTTAGGTGTGTTTTACTAAATTATTTTGTTACAGAGCTACAGTTTTTTTGCTTGTGGAGTGAAAGGAAACTCATTTATGCGACACATTTGACATTTTTTACTGTTTTGATGATTAAAATGTTTGTGTTTCATATGAACTTTGCACAAGAAGTTATTTAACAAAGACTTTTAGTATCACAGCCACGATTTTGCCTTTATTTTTTATTGAACCGTATCGAATCGATTTGAAATATATCGTATCGAATCGAAAGTGCGCTGTATCGAGATATGATATCGTGGCCTGTGTATCGAGATTTGTATCGTATCGGCAACTTCTTAATGATACCCAGCCCTAGTAAGGGTAATTTTCTGTTCTAAGACAACTCCAGGTCTGTTTGTGATGAGGAAACAACATTATAACACAGATCAGAAAATAGTGTAATGTGGAACTTTTAATTATATTTTTTAATACTGTCATTGTATCTCTAGTTAAAGTTAACATTTTACCCTCATCATTATCGAATTGTTATGTATTTTCACTATTGCACATATAAATATAATGACATAGAGACACTTTACACTTGTTCAGATAATAAAAAAGCTTTAACTGTTCAAACTAAACTAGTATTTATTTATTTTTTTTTCTTAAATGCGTCCTCTCTCAGGTCTAAATAAAGGGGGGGTGTTGGCTGGAGTGATCGGTGCCCGGAAACCTCACTACGACATCTGGGGAAACACTGTGAACGTGGCCAGTCGCATGGAGTCCACCGGAGTCATGGGCAATATACAGGTTTGGATGAAAACCACCACAGGCTTTAGTTTTTCAGTGGGAGATAAGTGAAGTTTTCTTTTAGTTCCAAGGTTAAATCCACTTTGAGTCATGAGTTGGACGTAGAAAACCCTGTGTCCTGTCAATCATAACATTTTTGCACTTTTTTTCCCCCTTACGACCTCTTGTATTTAGCTGAGATTTTTTAATTACTTATTTTTCCATTTTATTTTTATTTGTACATTTACATTTACCTTTCTCTTGCTATTTTTGCTGCTTATTTAGAATTTATTATTACCATTTATATGTTTGTGGATCAGTAAATTTTGTCTAAGTCTATAGTTTAAAGTGGAACATAACTAAACCTATATTCCTGTGTTAAAATTGTAAATGGGCCGTTTCAACCAAAAAACACCAATTTAATTAAATGAATCTGTGTATCATTCTTTCATTTGTTTTTCAATATAAAAACAAAAATAAGAAAACAAAAAAACAACAATTTTCTCCTAAGCCAAAGTGAAAAAACGGATAATGATTTGTTTTTTCAGTTTTCGATTTTGTGTTTAAATGAATAATGGTCCCGGTCTCAGTCCTTGTTTGGTCCTGGTCTCAGTCCTGGTCTGGTCCCGGTCTCAGTCCTAATCTGGTCCCGGCCTCAGTCCCAGTCTGGTCCCGGTCCGGTCCTGGCCCGTCCTGGTCCGGTCCCGGTCTAAGTCCCGGTCCCGGTCTAAGTCCCGGTCTAAGTCCCGGTCTAAGTCCCGGTCTAAGTCCCGGTCTAAGTCCCGGTCTAAGTCCCGGTCTAGTCCCGGTTCAGTCCCGGTTCAGTCCTGGTTTAGTCCTGGTTTAGTCCTGGTTCAGTCCTGGTTCAGTCCTGGTTCAGTCCTGGTTTAGTACTGGTTCAGTCCTGGTTCAGTCCGGCGTCACAGTTTAAGTCACAAATTATCCGTTTTTTACCATTCTTCATTTAAACACAAAATCAAAAACTGAAAAAAACAAATCACTATCTGTTTTTTCATTTTGGTTTTGGAGACAAATAATGAAGAAAACAGTTGCTTTTTCGTTTTCATATTTTTGATTTTATATTGAAAAACGAATGAACGAACGATACACCTCTTCCTCTTCCCTGCTTTAATATATTTTGTTTGTCGCCCTCAGGTGGTGGAGGACTGCTACAACATCCTAAAGGAGTACGGGTTCCGGTTCGTTCGTCGGGGGCCGATTTTTGTCAAAGGCAAAGGCGAACTGCTCACGTACTTCTTAAAGGGGCGGGACAAACAGGGCTCCTTCATTAACGGCTCCTCTGTTACTTTGCCGCATCAGGTGGTGGACAGCTAAGGACTGAAGAACCCGCCCAAAGACAATAATTTTCATACAAATAACAGACAATAAAACTGAAACTTTCCTGAAATCGGACTGAAACCAATCGACCACTGTTTCCTTAACCATTCGCAAGACACGGGCTGCCATTTTGAGGACCAGCAGAAATGGTAAAACATGCCAAGAGGTCGTAATAGAAGAGTTATATTTCCTTAAAGTGATTCACAATGCCAAGCTTAAAACTTCAAATGATGTACGTTTTTGTTTCTATTTGTGGAATGATAGACCGATCCTTAAACTTTTCCTTTCGCAATAATAACAAAACTCAACTCAAGTCATATATAGTGCAAGTCCCAGTTGTACAATCTGTATTCTAGAAGACAAAAATTTGTTGGCAAAGTTAAAATGTTCAATATGAGTCTATTATGTTATTTTTAAAGTCACAGTATGTAACTTTTTGGACAAAAATAGATTAATATAATGATTTTTTTCCCATTATCTTTTCAGTTCTCCTTTAGGGTGGTGTAGTATTGTGACCAGGAGGACTGAACCAGGACTGAACCAGGACTGATCCAGGACTAAACCAGGACTGAACCAGGACTGAACCAGGACTGAACCAGGACTGAACCAGAACTTTAAAGGGGAATGAACTAGGACTGAACTAGGTCTAAACCAGAACTGAACCAGGTTTAAACCAGGACTAAACTGAGGACTGAACTGAGGACTGAACTGAGGACTGAACTGAGGACTGAACTGAGGACTGAACTGAGGACTGAACCGAGGACTGAACCGAGGACTGAACCGAGGACTGAACCGAGGACTGAACCGAGGACTAAACCAGGTCTAAATAAGGTCTAAACCAGGACTGAACCGAGGACTAAACCAGAGCTGACCCAGGTCTAAACCAGGTCTTGACCGAGGACTGAACCAGGCCTAAACCAGGCCTAAACCAGGCCTAAACCAGGCCTAAACCAGGCCTAAACCAGGCCTAAACCAGGCCTAAACCAGGCCTAAACCAGGACTAAACCAGGACTAAACCAGAACTGAACCAGAACTGAACGAGGTCTAAACCAGGTGTAAACCAGAACTGAACAAAGGACTAAACCAGAACTAAACCAGGACTAAACCAGAACTGAATGAGTTCTAAACCAGCTCTAAGCCAGAAATGAACGAGGACTAAACCAGGACTCATCTTGGACTAGGACTTGGACTCTAGGACCGTCTCTGAGAGAACCCTGAGCCTGTAGAGCAGGGTGTCCGCAAACCGCGATCGGGCCTCAGCTGCAGTTAACCACAAAAGTGCGAAATATCATCGAGTACCTTTATTATCCAGACTAAATTATATATATTTTTTATTTTCTCATTTTTTTGACAGTTTTCACATTGACAATAAACCTGATATTGTAATTTGTCATATCTCAAAACCAAAAAAATAATCTTAGAGTTCATAAAAACCTCATTTTATCATTTTTCAAGGAAACTGTCCAACGCTTGTGTAACCTTGGCTCTATCTTTCCACAAATACAGAATAACTTAAGGTGTTTAAAATGTGTCGATCGCAGTGGACAGACGTGTGCGTGTGGGCGGAACTTTAACACTGGAAGTTTTCAGCTTGTTTTGAACCGATCCGAGGTCGAAGCACGAAGGCGTTTAAGGACACACGAGATTATTTTCCGTGTTGATGAATGTAGGAGATTGGTTTTAGATTGTAGCACAGAGAGGACTGTTCATGAAATTATAAAGGTATAAAGTGGAAGTGCCTATCACAGCTATGAAGTTATGGTGGAAGGAAAACAGACAACAGAACCTTCAAATTTTTTTAGTATTACAAAGTCCGGGAGGATTGAAGTTACTTGAAACGACTTTGAACAGCGAGTTTGAGGTTCAAGTGTTGCACAAAGATCGTAAACGAATCCAAAAGTGCAAAATTATGACGTTATTTATAACTAATAATGTATTTAACTAATAATATTTGCGGCTTCTTTAAACAGTGAGGTTGAGGTTTGACGTATTTGTGATTATCTTGCTTTAAAGGGACACTAGGTAACTTTTCTGACAGGGGGACGACGCCACCTGCTCGTCTCCATGGAGATGTAATTTTTTGTATGATTGTATTTGTCAAAGAGTGATTAAATGTTAAGTGGATTGCAAAAAGAAATGTATGGAGTAGGAAAACTTTCAGAAATATTCATGTGCGTACAAAAGAAATCTGTGCATATTTGTTTGTAGTTGAGCATAAAAAAATATTCGTAAACTCGGGAATTAGTCCAGTCGACATTGAGAATTACAATCACGAAATTAAAATTTATGATTTACGCTTTCTTCTGTACGAATTTGCAGATGTGACTCGACTGTCAAAAATATCAAAAATATGTCATCACTTCAACGGCATTTTTTATTGAGCAGAAGAAACATCGATCGAGATGCCGAACTTTTGCGCCGCATACGGACTGAACCTGGAATAAACCAGGAGGACTAAACCAGGACTGAACTAGGACTAAACCAGAACTGAACCAGGACTAAGACAGGACTAAGACAGGACTAAGACAGGACTAAGACAGGACTAAGACAGGACTAAGACAGGACTGGTCCCAGGACTGAACCAGGAAGACTAAACCAGGACTGAACTAGGACTAAACCAGAACTGAACCAGGGCTAAATTGGGACTAAATTGGCACTAAATTGGGACTAAACCGGGACTGAACCAGGACTAAGACAGGACTAAGACAGGACTAAGACAGGACTAAGACAGGACTAAGACAGGACTAAGACAGGACTAAGACAGGACTGAACTAGGAGGACTAAACCAGGACTGAAACAGGACTAAACCAGGACTTAGACCAGGACTGAGTCTGGGACCAGACCAGGACTAAACCCGGAGTAAACCAGGACTAAAAGAGGACTGAACCAGGGCTAAAACAGGACTAACACAGGACTAAAAAAAGTACTAACACAGGACTAAAAAAGTACTAACACAGTACTAAACCAGGATTGATCCCAGTACTGAACCAGGAGGACTAAACCAGGACTGAACCAGGACTAAACCATGACAGTATTCGTACTGAAGAAAGCGTAATCGTAAACTTTCATTTCATGATTGTAATTCTTGACGTTGTAACTTTTCAATTCATATTCTGATGGATAAAATTCACACAACACATTATACGTACGACTGGACTCATTCTCGAGTTTACAGAATATTTATTTTATGCTCAACTACAGACAAATATGCCCACAAATATTTCTGAAAGCTTTCCTACTCCATAGAAATATCTTGAAAAACATGCATTCTTCCTGTAAGCGTCGTCACTTCTCCGCAGATCTGACTCATCTAACTTGACCTTGAGTGAATCGGTTTAATACCAAACTGTGGAGCATTCAAGACAAATCAATAGCATCTCCATGGAAACAAGAAAATGACGAACCCTCCGCTAGAAAATGTACATGGTGAACCTTTAACTTTAACAATTTTGAGATTCCAGCACAAAAAGAAAGTAGGTTTTGTTCTCCTTCCACTCTTAGCCAGACAATAGCTACATCTCACAAAAAAAATTAAATATACTTATGTCCTAACATTGTATTTTGAACCATTTAAAATATTGAGAATGCCTACGGAAGTCTTAGGGGTCTGTGCCGATCGTGAAGCCCATTGCCGTGAGCTGAAAATGGGCTAAGTGCAATAGATCCCTCCCTCTCTCTCTCTCTCTTTCTCTCTTTCTTCCCCTTTAAACTGTATTTTTATAATGTAATTTCATTTTAGTTGTATTTATGGACAGAAAACGCAGTGTAAATATAGAGTGTTATGGTTATGCAGATTTATTTATTACAGAAATACTATGGGGTGACGCTTTTTGTTTATCTTACACAATGAAAATGTGTGAAAAGTGCCAATGATAAATAATAATAATTATACCGGCTTCAATGCCAAAGCTCGGACCACAGCTGTTTACTGTAAGAAATCTCAGGCTTGGGAACAAAAAAGCACTTTGAAAAATAACGTGGCGACTCTGTATTTGATTCTTTGGTTTTTGTCCAAGGTTTTAAAACGCCTGTATTATGATATTTTCTGATCTGTGTTATAATGTTGTTTCCTCGTCGCAAACGGACCTGGAGTTGTCTTGTTGTTTTGTTGTTGAATCCGTGTTTCATTCGTTTAATCGTTTTTCAATATAAAACCAACAATAAGAAAACGAAAAAAACAACAATTTTTTTCATTATTTGTCTCCAAAACCGAAATGAAAAAACAGATAACGATTCGTTTTTTCAGTTTTCGAATTTGTGTTTAAATGAAGAATGGAAAAATACAAATAACAACCGTTTTTCGTTTCAGACTGAAGCAGGTCTGAACCAGGTCTAAACCAGGACTGAACCAGGACAAAACCAGGACTAAACCAGGACTAAACCAGGTCCAAAACCAGGTCTAAACCAGGTCTAAAAAAGGTCTAAACCAGGACTGAACCAGGTCTAAACCAGGAGTATCGGAAAAGGCCCGGAGGTGCACCCACATAGACTAGCGGATGATCAGGACTGAGACCGGGACTGAGACCAGTTTAGTCCTGGTTCAGTCCTTGTTTAGACCTAGTTTAGACCTGGTTCAGTCCTGGTTCAGTCCTGGTTCAGTCCTGGTTCAGTCCTGGTTCAGTCCAGCATTGTTGTTTCGTCACGGAAACGAAAATCAGCTATTATCCGTTTTTTTTCATTCTTCATTTAAACACAACATCGAAAACTGAAGAAACAAATCATTATCTGTTTTTTAAATTTTGGTTTTGGTGACAAATAATGAAGAAAATTGTTTTTTTCATTTTCCTATTTTTGGTTTTATATTGAAAAACAAATGAACAAATGATACATGAATTTTGTTGACACAAACAGTGCATATTTAGGTGTTAGAAGCTCTTCTCTCAAACTGAAAACACTCTGTTCCACTTTGTGATGTCGTGGTAATACAGGAAGTGCTCCACTGTGTTTTTTAAACTCACCTTCATGAGAATAATTTGGCCAATCTATACTAAAGAAAAGGAAAAAAGGTGCCTGTTAACTTTAAAACTACTATCACAAGGTGCAACAGAGCATTTTGAGATTTGGAGCCATAGACAGACTAATAATAATAATGAAGAGTTACTCAAACCTGTGAATGAAACAAAACACAACTCCAGGTCTGTTTTTGAGGAGGTAACAGCATTAAAACATGGTTAAAAGCTCTTTCTGTGTGGTTAATAGGTCAAGCAGAAGCAACACACTGACAAATATTTGTTGCAAAACATTATATTTTTGTTTTCAAAGTCAGATATTTTGGTGAGAAAAAAAAAAATTTAATCTATCACTGGTAAAATGGACTTGTAAATTGGAATATGAAAAATGTACAATGTATTTTTTGACCACTGTCGACTCAAGAAACCAGATATTTACAAAACCATATAACGTAGTATTTTTCTGCTTCACCTGCTCGTCTCCATGGAGATGGTGCTGCTTTGCTTGGGATGTCCCACAGTCTTTATTTATTCAATTACTCTTGTTGTCATTGCTTTAAAATATATTGACAAACATGTAACTTTACTGTGCGCAGGCTTGTCTTGCAGATCTGACCTGTAACTTGGTCTAATGCCATCAATACCGTATTTTTCAGACTATAAGGCGCATTGGAGTATAAGTCGCAACAGCTAAAAAATGTGTAATGAAAAAGAAAAAACATAAAAGTCACACCTGACTATAAGGCTATGTCCACACAACAACGCTCCTGGATTTTTTTCTTTGCGGGTTGAAAAAAAAAAAACACGTGCCGGATCAATAAATATACACATCCACATGACAACGGAGCAGATCTCAGCACCGTTTTTTAAACTTTAAGGTAATTTAGCCTATTTTAGATGTATCCCAGAAATATAGCTGTTTTGTTTTTCTGTTTTTGCATCAGAGGACCCCGACGATCGTTGTCCCAAAGCTGCGGTTTTACTCAGCCACATGACAACGCGGCGCCGGAGTTCTCAGATTTCTCCACTCTGGAACCCGTTCTCAAAAAACTCAATTTTCGTCCACCCGAAACGCCGGCTCCGTGTGGGCGATGACCAAAACGAAAACAAACTTCTCTGTTTTGACCAAAAAACTTTGTCGTGTGGACAGCCCCTAAATTACACAAATTTGGGGGAAATTTATTTGTAAAATCACCGTAGATAACTCATCTCTACGGTCTACGATACAGGAGGAACAGAAGGAGCAGATACTGACTCACAAAACTAGAGCCTCTCGCGGCTGTCAGTGTGAATTTTTTATATATAAGTCACCCTGGAGTATAAGTCGCAGAAAACACCCAAACCATTAAAAAAAGTGCGACTTATAGTCTGAAAAATACGGTACCTACTTCAGCACTGAGATGGGTGAGTTTAAAGGTTGTATGGAGGATTATTTTTGTTTCAAATTGTCGATGAAAGTTCAAAATAGAATTATAGAGATGCAGCAGCCTTGTAATTATGATGACAAAAAAAAAAAAAAAAGAATGAAAATCCATCAGCTGTGGACGTGGTGGGGGCAGATAAACATCAACCAATAGATAACAAGGCTACCTCTTTATCTATTGGTTGTTGGGTTGTCAGTCAAACTCCCTACGTTTCTAGCGTCACCAACTTGCCGGCGCGTGGGGATTACGTGGTTTAAGTTTGCCTCTCATGCACTGATGCTGTTTACTCAACCAAAACAGCGGTTCTTAGCGTCTTTTTCGAACTGCAGCTTCCTCTCAGTTTGCACAAAGTGTGTTGTAACTGCAGACAAGAATCCACGACCAGTTCACTGCAAAAGAAAGTCTGTTTTTGATGTCACTGAAAGAAGAAGAGAAGGGGAAGAGGAGCGAAGCGCAACATTTGAAAAACTGTCACTGCATTTCTCTTTCATTTGAAAATCTTCCATACAACCTTTAACATACTGGGGAACATTCTAGGCAAAGCAATGTCATCTCCATGAAGACAAACATGTTTCCCACCAGAAAAGTTACATGGTTTGTCTCCAAAAAGTGAAACAGTCAGTCAAATCTGCAGGAGGATGGTCCCAGTGGTCCACGTCTCCTGCTGTCTGCTTAACTTATTATTTTCTGACACTAAAAGGACAGACAGCGCCGACAGTGGTGAAAGAGCAGAACTACACCGTCCCGTCGCTCAAATCGATCCGAGTTCGTCTGAGTTTTATTCCCGGTTTTGGGTCCTATTTGAAGTTTGAAGAGGCTGGTTTGAAGGAGGTTTGCGTCTTTCTTTAAGTTGAAGAGATTCTGTTCGTGTGCCCTCTTTGATTTAACTTATACTGTATGTCCTCTTAAGGTGAGATCAATAAAAAATAAGAAGAAACAAAACCACATGTATGTTTTTTAATGACAGTTTTACTTTAATCCACTGTGGACCATGAATGCTTGCACTTGGGTTCATTTGGTTCTGCTTTAGTCCTGGTTTAGTTCCAGTTTTGATGAGGTGTGTGCAAGTATGAACACATCCTTAAATCTTAAAGACATAAACAGACAAAGTACCACAAATTAATCTTATTTTCTATTACAGTAAGTTCAGTTGTCACATTGTAGAAAGTTCTAATCCTTAGTTTCTCTTAAATGGGTGCACAGGACTCTTATTTTCAAGCTAAAAAGAATCATTTATAGTGTCTATTCTATTTTCATTCAAGCATACCACCAAATTTGCATAATACCAATCATTTGCATAGAGAAGCCTACAATTATGTATTATGCAACCAGCCCTATATTTTCTTGTTTAGACCTGTGATTTCATGTTTACATGTTGTTCAACCTGTTCTAAACTTGTACTGAGATAAATGATTCATGTATAATAATCATATTTTCTTAGGGTGACCAGATTTTCAAACTAAAAAACTGGGTCATGTCTGGTTTAGTTTAGTTTGTAATAATAAAATTGTGAAATGAGTGTGTAATTAAGGAAAATTGTTCTGCACTCGGCACTGATGTGAGTCAGTATAGTCACTTTTTCTTTGTGTTTTGGTCATTTTTAAGCAGCTTTTCTGGATTTTATCAAAACAAATGACAGTTTATGCCTCTCTTTACTGTTGACAGGGATCAGATTGGTCAAAAATAAGGACATCTGGGACATTTCTTGTATAAAACTGTGACATATCAGTGTTTTTTGATAAATCTGCTGGTACAGGGGACACAGGGCTGTCTCGGGTAAATGGAGACGTCTGGTTGTACTAGTTTGAATAGGAAGCAATGAAATCAGTTTAAAGTGAGATAACAGTAACCACTTTGGACTTTGGAGAGACAGGAATTGTGTCTGAGAAAATGGAAAAACTGAAGTGAATGTGGTGTCTCCTCTTCATAAAATCAAACCATTTCATCCACAAATGTTGTGGCCTCTTCATTTTATAGTTTAAAAATCAGAAATCCATTTGACTTTTAGTGTTTTGTGTTCAAGCGTGTATAAATAGGGATGTCTGGTCACCCTATGTATGCTGTATTTTTGTGGTGTTTATGAAGTTGATTAGACTCTATGCCATAGAGTCTATGGCTGATATTCACAATTTTGCACTCTTGCTCCAAAATGCCACACAGTAGAATGAAGCTTTATTTTGTACATATTTTACCTGTTTACAAAACTGGACATCCCTTTATAACTACAGAACTGTAATAAAATCATAATAAAATAAAATAAAATAAAATAATAAAGTTAAAAAAAACATAAAATATGAATAAAATATAAAATTATATATAAATAAAAAAATTAAAGTAAAATAATACAAATAAAATTATAATATATAATAAAATGCAATAAATAAATAAATAAAAAATAAATAACAAGCGTGTATAAATAGGGATGTCTGGTCACCCTACATATGCTGTATTTTTGTGGTGTTTATGAACATGACAGAGTAGAATGAAGCTTTAATTTGTGCAAATTTTGCCCCCTTAAAACCATAAAACTATAATAAAATCATAATAAAATAAAATAATAAAAAGTAAAATAAAATATAAAATAATATATATTTAAAAAGTGTATAAAAACTAAATAATAATATTTAATAAAATAAAATATAAATAAGTAATAAAATAATAAAAGTCTGGTCATCCTACATATACTGTATTTTTGTGGTGTTTATGAAGCTGATTAGAATTACATTAGATAAAAATATTAAATAAAAATAATCAAATTAAATAATAAAAATAACATATAATAAAATAACATATAAATAAAAAGAATATATAAAATAATATATACTACAATAAAATATAAAAAAAAAAATGTATAATACAAGTTTTTATTATAGATCTATGTTTATAACGCGGTCCAGTGGCGCCCCCTGGAGGTGACGCAGCGCCTGGACAAAACGTGCAGGAATTTCCGCCGACGTCACTGCGTATGTCCATAACAAGGCTGCAGCTGTCTGCGAGCGCAACAATAACAAGCGCGATCCGGCCACTTCTGTGCGTAAAAACGGGCCCTGACAGCGCACAGAACCCCGCGATCCCACATCATGCGGGCTTCGGAGTAACCCGGGCCTCCGCTGCTCCGTGCTCCGCGTCGAAAAGCGGCGGGTAAACACGGTGAGACTTGGCCGCAGTGGAGGCGCTCTCGCTCGGCTGCATCTGGGTCAGTGAGTCGGGCCCGCGTCGTCCCTCTCCGAAGCGGTGCGCAGCGTTCAAAGTCGCGGTGTCGGGAAAATGCAAGCGAACTGGAACCGGGCAGGAGCGGCAGACCGAGCTGTCATGCCGCAACGGAGCCCAGAACGGCGACTCGACAGCGGGAGAGGTTGCCAATGGACTCCCGCCTGTCTCCTCCAACAATAATGGCAACTCCGTGAGCAACAATAACAACAATGGAGTGACAGCGGCGAGCGAGCTGAGCAGCAGCCCGCAGATCGACGTCTCCTCGGCGGGGAAGAAGAAAAAGCGCCTGTCCCAGTCCGAAGAAGATGTGATCCGGCTCATAGGACAACATTTACACGATTTAGGGCTCAAGTAAGTCCCCGGTGCGAGGGGAGGGGGGGCCGGGGGGGCCTGGGGTCATTGGGTTGACATTGGGACATGGTTGTAGTCCGAAATGTTTTTCTATGTTCATGCGTGGCTTTTCTTTTAAAGAGTAATTTTTTTATTCTGTTTTAATGTTGTTTCCTCATCAAAAACACGCCTGGAGTTGTGTTTTGCTTCATTCACACATGATTAACGCGCAAATCCTGCATATTTTTTTGAGCTTTGTTCTTCTCCCAAACGGAAAACACTCTGTGCCACCTCGTGATGTCATGTTGTAATACAGGAAATGCTCCTTTTGTCTTTTTAAACTCCACACAACATCACTGGATTCATTTGGATAATTTCAGACCTGGAATTACCAATCTCTACTGAACTAAACGTACAAGTAAATTATAGGTTAACTTGAAAACAACCACTGCATGACATCACAAGGTGGAACAGAGCATTTTGTTTATAGGTGTGGAGATGTAGACAGACAAATATTAAAGGATTACGCAAACGCGTGGGAATGAAACACAACTCCAGGTTTGTTTATGATGACATAACACCATTATATCACGACTTAAAGCTCAGAGTAATAAATTCTGAGTAATATCGAATCTTTAAGATAATTGTTTGTTTTGATTGGGTTTTGGCCATACTTTATTTAGTTTATTTTAGGGTAATACTAAGGGGGCATTGCAGGTTGGTGTACTGATTAACTTTTTACATCGTCTTGTAGGGATGTAACAATAAACAAAATATCATGATATCGCATCGTCAAAAGTCTCATGACAATATCGTGGGCTGTCACAATATATAGATTATATCAATATCAGAATGTCCTTTTTCTTAAATGCATGGTTTTATAGTAGTCAGGCTGGCGCCACCTAGTGCCTCCGCGCAATTTCATTTCTCTCCAGCGAGTAGATCAGGAATCAGAAAACACTAGACGGTTCGTATAAACCCCGGAAGTGCGAGTTCGGGCACCAGCCAATCAGGGAAGAGATGTACATTCTGTGTTGCCAATGATTCCCGAGATCGAGGATTTAAAGCTGGAACAAAGAGAATGTTTGGTGAATTTTATCAAGGGGAAAGACGTTATTGTCCTTCTTCCTATGGCAAGGGTGTCAAACTCAAATTCACAGAGGCCAAAATTAAAAACTGGGACTAAGCCGTGGGCTAAACTAAATATTTATTGAAAAATGTCAACAACATCTGCATGTTTTCTCTTCTTTTGAGATATCTAATGTTAAACCTTTTCTTATTTAAATAAATGTTTAATAATAATTTTGCTTAAACACTGAATCCAGAACAAGCAGAATATAAAATAATAACACATTTTTAAATAAGTAATGTCTCTATAGTCTATCTTTAGTCGGCGGGCAGCTCTAATACAAATTTGATATGATCTCGCCGGCCAAATATAATTATATTGTGGGCCAAATTTGGCTCCTGGGCCTGAGTTTGACATGTCTGTCCTTCGGGATTTGGAGCATTACATACATCACAACCAAATAGCAGCAACTGGTTAAATAAAAAAAGCACCCGCCTACCATCGAGTGAACAAATCCTAATGCTGCGAGGTCAGACAGTTTCCACAAAGTGAAACCGTCTGATGCATCAGGCTAAATTTTATAGAAACAACAGCTTATAAACATCGGGAACTACATATCCCATGATTCATTTCAGTGCATACAACATGAAGAAATACATTTTTACTTGAATTCTTGGGTTTATGATGGAAATAATTCAAATCAAAAACTTTTCAAGGTCTTTTAAAAGCAGAAACGTGTCCTATCTTCAATTATATTAGCCTAAACTATCCAAAATATCGCAATAAATATTGTACCGAGAGATTTGGACTTCGTTACATCCCCATTGTCTTGAGATCTCATGCTCTGTCGTATGGAATTACATTTATTTATCTCCATGGAGACAAGCCAAAGACCAAGTTACACGTCAGGTCTGTGTGTAACTCGTGTAATTTAATAAATGCAAGTTATAGGCTGTAAAAGTGTAATACCATACCGTGGAACATTCCAGGCAAAGCAATAAAAGACGAGGAGGTGTTGCTGTGTCAGACCCTCCGCCGCTAAAATGTTCCATAGTGCTCCTTTAAAAATAATGTGTTGTGTCACAATATGTCCTTAATCCAAATATTTAAAAATCACTTCATATTTAAATACTTGGATTAAGCGTCTGACTCTGAGTTGGCAACAGTGGTTTAAAAATAGACACAATTAAACCTATTTCAATATGCGGTTTTATCCATTTAATCTTGGCTTTGCATTTGTTTAGTCAAGGTTTATTTCGAGTTCAGTCCTGTTTGGTCCTGGATTAGTCCTGCTTCAGTCCTACTTTAGTATTGCTTTAGTTCTGGTCTGCAGTTCCCTCCTGCTTTAATCCTGCTTTAGTCCATGTTCAGTCCTGGTTTAGACTTGATTTACTCCTTGTTTGTCCTGGTTTAGTCCTGGTTTAGCCTTGACTAGTCTTGGTTGAGTCCTGGTTTGTTACTACTTCAGTCTTTTGTTTTGTGTAGACCTGGTTTGGTCTTGGTTTAGTCCTGGTTCATTCCTATTTCAGTCTTCAGTCTTGGTTTAGTCCTGGGTTTAGTCCTGTGTTTAGTCCTGGTGTAGTCCTGGTTTAGTCTTGGTTTAGTCCTGGTTCATTCCTACCTCAGTCTTCAGTCTTTCCCTAGACCTGGTTTAGTCTTGGTTTAATCCTGGTTTTGTTCTTGTTTATTCCTGGTTCATTCCTATTTCAATCTTCTGTCTTTGTGTAGACCTGGTTTAGTCTTGGTTTAGTCCTGGTTCATTCCTATTTTTAGTCTTGAGTCCTGGTTAAGTCCTGCTTTAGTCCTTGTTTACTTCTGATTTATTCTTGGTTTGACCAGGTTTAGCTTTACTGTAGAGCTGGTTTAGTCTTGGTTTAGTCCTGGTCCATTCCTATTTCAGTCTTAAGTCTTGGTTTAGTCCTGGTTTGTTCCTACTTCAGTCTTCAGTCATTGTGTAGACCTGGTTTATTCTTGGTTTAGTCCTGGTTTAGCCTTGACTAGTCTTGGTTGAGTCCTGGTTTGTTACTGCTTCAGTCTTCAATCTCTGTGTAGACCTGGTTTAGTCTTGGTTTAGTCCTGGTTTATTTCTATATTGGTCTTGAGTCTTGGTGTAGTCCTGGTTTAGTCCTTGTTTAGTTGTGGTTTAGTCCTGATTTAGTCCTGATTTAGCCTGGATTTAGTCCTGGTTAAGTCCTGCTTTAGTCTAGGTTAGTCTTGGTTAAATTCTGCTTTAGTCCTGGTTTATTTCTGATTTACTCCTGGTTTAGTCTTGGTTTAGTCCTGGTTCATTCCTGCTTCAGTCTTCAGTCTTGTGTAGACTTGGTTTAGTCTCGGTTTAGTCCCGGTTCATTCCTACTTCAGTCTTCAGTCTTGATGTAGTCTTGGTTTACTCCTGGTTTAGTCCTTGTTTAGTCCTGGTTCTTTGTTGTTTATATAGACCTTTTTTAGTCTTGGTTTAGTCCTGGTTCAGTCCTACTTGAGTATTTGTGTAGAACTGGTTTTGTCTTTGTTTAGTCCTGATTCATTCCTACTTCAGTCTTCAGTGTTTGTGTAGACCTGGTTTAGTCTTGGTTTAGTCCTGGTTTGTTCCTACTTCAGTCTTTGTGTAGACCTGCTGTAGTCCTTGTTTAGTCCTGGTTTAGTCCTGCTTTAGTCCTGGTTTAGTCCTGCTTTAGTCCTTGTTTAGTCCTGCTTTAGTCCTTGTTTAGTCCTGCTTTAGTCCTTGTTTAGTCCTTGTTTAGTCCTGCTTTAGTCCTGCTGTTTAGCCCTGCTTTAGTCCTCCTTTAGCCCTGGTTTAGACCTGGTTTAGTCCTGCTTTAGTCCTTGTTTAGTCCTTGTTTAGTCCTTGTTTGGTCCTTGTTTGGTCCTGGTTTAGTCCTGGTTTCGTCCTGGTTTAGTCCTAGTTTAGTCCTGGTTTCGTCCTGGTTTAGTCCTAGTTTAGTCCTGCTTTAGTCCTGCTTTAGTCCTGCTTTAGTCCTTGTTTAGTCCTGCTTTAGTCCTTGTTTAGTCCTGCTTTAGTCCTGCTTTAGTCCTTGTTTAGTCCTTGTTTAGCCCTGTTTTAGTCCTGGTTTAGTCCTGCTTTAGTCCTTGTTTAGTCCTGGTTTAGTCCTGGTTTAGTCCTGCTTTAGTCCTTGTTTAGTCCTTGTTTAGTCCTGCTTTAGTCCTGCTTTAGTCCTTGTTTAGTCCTTGTTTAGCCCTGTTTAGCCCTGTTTTAGTCCTGGTTTAGTCCTGCTTTAGTCCTTGTTTAGTCCTGCTTTAGTCCTTGTTTAGTCCTTGTTTAGCCCTGTTTTAGTCCTGGTTTAGTCCTTGTTTAGTCCTTGTTTAGTCCTGCTTTAGTCCTCCTTTAGCCCTGGTTTCTTGCTGATGTTATGGCCGATGTTACTCAGCATCTGTCACACGAATTATAATCATCATGTATCACACTTGAGCTTCTGCCGCTCAATATTTATGACCCCGAATAAACCACATTTAATCACCGCTAATAAAAAATACACTTTAAGTTATTTTTGGACCAGAGCAGCAAAAAAAGGGAACTACAGATAACCACTTATAATTTTGCTGATAAAGGGGACGTGATGTAAAGCTTTTAATCATGTTTTAATCGTGTTAACTCATCATTCGCTGACTCAGTGTTGTATTTTGATTGATTCACACGTGTTTGAGTAATCCTGCATTTGAGGCTTGTTAAATTCGTTAAATTAGAGTGGTCATGTGATGCTGATGCCGTGATGTGTCCGGTCAGCTGATTAAAACACATTTTGGCGATGTCTTCTTACCGGTGGAGGCAGGACAACAGCGCCATCTGCAGCCCGACTTCTTTAAGACAGTATCCAGGTGTGTGAGAGTAAAAAAGGCCCCCTCGTCTCGGTTTATAGTCCAGACTTTTAAATCACTGAACATCACCAGGACTAAACCAGGTCTAAACCAGGTCTAAACCAGGTCTAAATCAGGT